AAAGCGCGAGGGAGGCGATGCGGCTTCCACCAACAAGACGAACGTTTGTTAGTGATCCAGACTCGCAGGCATTGAGCACGCCTGTAGACAAAGCGCCTTCTGTTTTGAATGAGACTACCGGATTTGAACCAGCCTTTGGCACCAGACCTGCGAGGGCGCGCCCTGCAACGACCGGCCGGGCCGATTGCGTTGGCTTCCCTTTTGGCTTCCCTGACCCCCCGGGTTAGGGAAGCTAAAAAGGGAAGGCATTCCGTGTGTCTTTTTCCATCACGCGCCCGCCCCCTAGATCAAAACCGAAGCGTCAAATGGCAGGATGCCGCAAGACATAAGACGTTGCAAAGCTGTGTCGCGGGTGAGTTTTTCATGCCTCTGGTAGTCACTAAGCTTGCTGGTCACATTGTCAATGGCGACCATCTGCTGCTTGGATTAGAAAAGTCGCCTCTGCGGCTTGCCCATGATCGCATGTCGCAAGAAAGCAAAGGTGGAAGCAACTTCTTCTGGAACACACTGAGGCTCCAACAGCTCCTCTTAAAGTCTGGGCAGTTCCCATGGATGCAGGACATCCCGGAAAGACTGAGGCTCAGACTGAGGTGGACGCCACGGCCGGTGCCGGAGTCGTCAAAGCCGTCCCTCATCCTGCTGTACGCTGGGAAGGATGATGCGGGGGCCCTGGATGCTTACCTCCATGCCTACAACCCGGCCTTCTCGGAGTACATTTGGGCGGTGGACATCAGGCGAAAGGGTGGAGACCTTGGACAGGACATGCTGGGCGAGGAGCCGTACTCTACGATGTGCTCCATGGCCATGGCGGGCAAGGTCGCCTTGGTGGGGGGCGGCCCCAACTGCAGGACGTGGAGCATCCTCAGATGGTTCCCCAAACCGGGGGGCCCGCCGCCGGTGAGGGGCAGAGCAGAGCAGACCCTGTGGGGCTGGAGGACACGGACAATGACAGCGTGCTCATGCTCCGTCAGATGTACCTGACCAGGGGCTAGGTCAGCTAACGGTCCCGCAGGTGGGCTCCTCCTTCTTGGAGCACCCGATGGACCCAATGGAGTGCAGCAAGAGCCCGAGCGCAGCGAGGTGCTCATCGATCTGGGTCACACGGGCCTACATTCAATGGGCGAGCGCACTCCACCACTCCCTCATCAAGTTTGACGAGTGCCGCCTGGGCCAGGTGGTTGTGAAGTCCACGACATTGTCAACGGACCTTCCCCTTCACCATTGGCACGATCTGCGTTGCAACCACGGGGCTCACCCCAGGGGGGAAAAGCTCAACTCCAGTGACCTCAGCCGGTACCCGGAGCAGATGATGCAGGGTCTCGCAGCGGCCATCCTTTGCCGAGCGGGACCCGTCCTGGAGGCGCTGAGGCCGGGGGGCACGGCGCCCCAGGCGAACCCAACGACCCCCCCGAGGCGGCAGAGGGAACCTTCTCCCAGCACGCCGGGGGACAACAAGCGCCAGTCCCGGAGGCTTGAGGCTGGCCAACAAGCGTTGGCAGGACTAACCTTGGGTTCACTTCCGGTCTCGGCCTCGGACAATCCGGAGGTCCGGACACCGACACAGAGGACTGGCGAGACGGACGAACTGGGGGGGGGAACTCTTTCCCCTGAGCCATGGGCACACCATGGCATGGAGATCTCGGATCGGCCCACCATCCTGCCGATCACGCACGACCCCAATCTCTCCGACAAGGTCATGTACCTCCAGATGGCCTTCAAACAGCGCCCCCTAAGGGACGGAGGAGGAAAGCCCTCATTGGGACGGTTGGCCCCATGGACCCGGCCACTGTCCAAAGCAGCAGCGATGGGGGCCAAGATCTGTGTCCTCACTTCGCCATGGGGGGACAAGCTCCAGGAGTCGCTCTCGTTGGGGGATGGGTCACATCCCTTGGAGGATATCAGAGAGATTCTGGCGCCGGGGGCCGGCCGACCAGCTAACGGCCAACCCTTCTTCCTGGACATCTTGCACAGCGTGGCGCTGAACATTCAGGACCCCGACCACCAATTTTCCCGGGATCTGGAGCAAGGGGTCCCACTGGGGGTCACGGACCCACCCTGACCTCACCGGGCATCTGGCCAACTCAAGAAGGAGCTGAAAGGGGAGGAGCCGGAGTTCCAGCAACTCCCTCACCCAACGGGCAGGGGTAACTACCCCTCGGCGGATCACTTCAGCGAGCTCATCCGGGGCACATTTCTGGAGGAGGTCCCCATGGGCATGGTGGAGGGCCCCTTCAGTAAGGTGGAGGCAGCATCGCGCTGTGGCTGCGAAATCGAGGACCTTTGTCCCGGCCCCCTAGCGGGCATCGACGAGGGGGACAAGATCCGCACGATCTACGATGGCTCGGTGGGAGGGGCCAATGACACCATCAGGAACCAGACGGTGGAAAGGACGACGGCTCCGACGGTGCTGGATGGGGTCCAAGCTCTTCATTGGCTACATGCGGCAGCTGCGGAGGGACCCCCCTCTCAGGGTGCCCCTGGCCCCGAGAGGGGGGTCGTCAAACCTCCACCTGGGGGCTGGCTATGGCCGGAGCCGGGCACCAGGTGGGTGCTGCTCAAGGCGGACGTCACCAAGGCCCACCGGAGAGTGAAGGTCCTCAGGAAGGACTGGCGGTTCCAGGTGGCCTCACTGGGGGAAGAATGGTGGGTGAACAAGGTAGGCACATATGGCATGGCCAGTGCCCAATCCTACTGGGGACGCCTGGCAGCCCTTCTACTCAGGGTCCTCTACGCACTTTTCCCTCAAGTGGATTGGAACTTCGTCTTTGTCGATGACTTCCTGTGGCTGCTTCGAAGCGAGGGGGCAGTAAACTTGGCGGTGGCGCTGCTGGCAACACTCCTGGCCTTGGGCACCCCGCTTAGCTGGAAGAAGACGCATTTGGCGGAGGTTAACACGTGGCTGGGTTTCGTGGTCCACCCGAACATCCCGCAGGTTCTCATGGCAGCCAACAAACACATCCTGGTTATGGAGGTTTTGCAGACCATGGTGGAAGGGCAGGCGATGCACTCAAAGGACATCGAGAAGGCCCTGGGTCGCATCCAATGGGCGACGGCTGCATGTCCGCTGGCGAAGTCGATGCTCCAGCCACTTTGGGCCTGGAAGATGGCCACCACCACGGTGGGGAAACCCCCCAAGGTGGTCAGGATGCTGGCGTTCATGCTGCGGTTCCTCTTCAACACGCCTTTCGTCCAGTACTCCCCTTACTTGCCGAAGTCCTCTTGGTGGGGTTGCAGCGATGCTAGCGCCTCGGACGAAGGACTGGCATTTGTGGGAGGTTGGTGCTCCAACAAAGTGGAGCCGGAAAAGAAGGAGGTGTACTGGTTCCACGAGCAGATCCACGTGGAGGAGTACCCTTGGGCTTTCAAGAATGGGGATCCCAAGCGGAGGATTGCGGCTCTGGAGATGCTGGGCACGCTCTTCCTCTGTAACATGATCCTCACGCACCAAGGCCCTCTGTCCTCCCGGGTCCGACTCCCGGTGGGCAGTGACAATCAGGGCAACGTCATGGCGATGCTCAACCTTGGATCCAAGAAGCCCTACACGGCGGCGATCCTGATGGAGCTGGTCTTCCTGCTCCACACCCATGGTTGCTCGCTGGCGGCCAACCACGTGCCCCGTGAATTCAATCAATGGGCTGATGAGCTGACGCACCCAGATTTCTCTGGGTTCGACCCTTTGCAAAGGGTCCCCAAGCAGGAACTCTGCGAGGAGTTCGTTTTTCTCCCGCGTCTCCTGAATGGAGATGCATTTGATCTTAGCGTGGGCCCACCCATGCTCCCGTGACCGGAGCCGGTGGGCGACTCACTTCCCCTGGTGGCAGACCCCCCTGTGGCCTGGGTGCCACGGGCCCCGGCTCAGGGGCGGGCGCTATCAGTCTGCACACCCGTTCTTCAGTTTTTGAGATTGTGAGTTGGGTGGCCCATGGGGCCCACCCAGCCTTTGTCATCTGACAAGGGAAGATGAGTCCCTGGCACCAACACGCTGCTCGGATAAAAGAGTTATCGCGTGCTTGTGTGTGGTGCCGTTTGGTTAGCTTGCATACACTAGCCAAAGCCAACCAACCTACAACCCAAAAGCAAGAAAACCCAACAACACACAACCTACATGATATGTTTTGGCACATAGCTAACACATGTCAAAGCACGCGTTCATCATTGTACTATGGCATATTGATCACATACTGTGGATGGACGATATTCCGCACCACCTAAAAGACCCTGGAATGATGACCCCCCTCTGTAAATACCAACCATGGTTTCTTAGGCAGTGCAGGATTTTGTCCATCCAGAGTATTGCTAGTGTGCGCCTACCGCAGTTCTAGCATATGGATAACATGAGCTCGGCATGTTGCAGGCACACTTATAACAATGCCAATGATAGTACTCATACTCTTGTGGCACATGCTTGGAATGTGTCTAGCATATGTCTGCTATGTTGCTTAGAATTATGCCTTGCTGATTTCTACTAAAGCACACCCGGTATATGTCCAGTACATGTCCCGCATATGTCTAGCTGATGTTAAGCATATGCCTGACGTCACCCCTATTGTTTTTCAACACATGAAACACACACGGGATGCCCAGCATATGTCCAGCATATGCTTGCCTTTATTCTAACATTAGACCGTGTGTGTGTTTCCCAAAGAGTACGTGGGAGCACAACGCCAAAAACAGCGTTACTGTTATTTAGGTGTAGCTGGCCGCCGCAGTTGGCTTGACCTTCGAGGATTACGCAGGTTTCCCAAGCTTGAAGCTTCAGGAGGAAGAACCTTTGGGGGAAAGGGCGGTTTCTCAATTGCTTTACGGAGCTGCGAAGCCGACCAAAGGCGAATCATTTGATTTGGTTTCCCCATTTGGGCTATAGTTAAGTTTCCAAAAGGCGACCGTTTGGTGAACATAGGCCCAACACCCCCATGGTTTGTGCTGCCCCTCTGGGCCCAGGTTCATGGGCAAGCGTTCACTACCAGATCGGCTTCCGGCGTTCGCATTTTGATCGCCAGGCGATCGGCATCGAGGCCCCAGGCCATGTGGACTCAGTGGCACAGCTGAAGCTGGATGGAGTGTCCATGGTCTACACCTTCAACAACGCCACGGCGGAGGACCGATGTTCGCATGTAGGGGTCCATTTGCAAGGTTAGCAACACCACCTTTCAGGGCCTTTTTGCCTATAAACCATAGGAATCATTGGGGGTAGGTTTGAGGGTTGCGCTTTCATGGCCCCAGTCGAAGCAATGCCGTTTTGTTCGGAAATTGTGTGTTCTTTATCCTCGCCCCAACAAGAATTGGAACTGGGAGAGGGGTGTGACCCCTGAAATTCCATTTATGGTTTTAGTTGTTCCTCTTGTGGGAAGGCAGGTGCCTGTTCCTCGGTTTGGCCTTAGGTGCTGAAACAAAGTAAACTACATGCCACGTCACAACCAAGTTAGCATATGTTTTTTCCTCAAAACAAATATGCAACACACAAGGATGACTCAGGCAATCTCTGGTGCATTGGATTGGTGGCTTTGGAATTTGAACCGCTAATCCCTGTAGATTGCAAACGGGAAACCACCCTGACTTCCAAACGGGCTCCAGTGCACCAATCAGGCCGAAGGTGCATGACTGTAAGCTTGAGCAAATGGAAGCTTCAAGAAACACTTTGTGCCATGGCCTTTCGGAGGATCGATTTGATCCTTTTACAACTTTGTCCTTTTTTCATGGTTGTTTTTGGGAAGCATTTTACATTTTTGCTTCTTGTGGTTTAGTGGTTGAAATCCAAATCCACTTAGCTGCTAACATTTGAGAATTGTTGCTCCCCTTCCAACGTCAACCAAGGTTTTTTCAGGCATCAGGATTTCTTTTCCTTGAGTCCCAATCGACTTGGGGAATCCGAAGGCATCCGGAACATCTAGAGCCCCCGGGATCAGCGTGTTTTTTTGTTTTTTTTTTTTCTTGTTTTTTTCTCACTTCCTGAGTTCATGAACTTTAAACTGTTTGGGAAGACCATTTTAGTGGTACAGAATAAGTTTGGACTTGTTTTGGGCCATCCACTCAGCCAGTGAGTTTTAGGGTGCTGAACAACCCGTAGGCTGTTTTCAAGTGTCCCAAAAGGAAACTTAAAGCGGGATGGGAACCCGCCTGTCCACCTTTCGCTGAAAGGAAATGAGCTTTTGTTTGAGGGTACCCTTTTTGGGCTGGTTTGAAAGGGAAACCAAAAGGACACCAGCCATTTTTAGGGGGTCCAACCTTAACAACTGAGCTGCCCAATGCCGACCTGTTGACCTTTTGGTTTCCCTGTTTTGGTCCTTTCTTTCGCCATGGCCTCAAAAGGTGATCGCCTTTTTCTGTGGGGCCCTCTGGGCAAGTGAGAAAAGCGCGTCCTTTGTCCAAATTTGTCCAAGCTCCCTAGGAAAAAAGTCAAGGCACGTGCTTCTCAGGGCCGGAAGAGCGCCCAGTACTTCGAGGTTATGGGCAGCCGAGGCCTCTCCGAGGGGAATTTGTGGCGGTCTGTGTGCTTCTTCCGGCCATCCGGTTCCTGAGGTTGTTAGTTGGTGGAAAGGGACACCCAGAGGAAACTACAATATTGGAGGTCCCCGAAACCAAACAAATCCCAGGACCCAACTGAGGATTGTTAACCCACCTTGTTCAGGACGGCGGAAGGCCCAAACCTTGTGCAACCATCCCTTGTGCTCTGGGTTGGCTTTCATGAAAGGACAGCCGGACCTCGAACATGACATGCGTGTTTGAATCTCGCGTTCTAGGCGTCAGGCACCGGGTAAGAAAATGCAATCCCCAGTTTACCCAGGCATTTGGGGGCTTGCACTTGTCTCCCATCAAAGCGCGCCAAGCACCTAACAACACACCAACCTTCCAAGACCCCCGAGAGAACTTGAGCCCCTGTCAGTTTCCAAGGCTTTTTTTTGTTCGGTTGAAATGTGGCTTTGTGGCCTGAAACGACGCGTTTTTGGAGGCGTCTACAAGGACGGGTGGTTCGCCTCGGTCTTCGGGCCCCGCATCCCCTGGACGGACCCCAACGAGACGCGGATGAGGGCCTGGGACCCAGACACGGACGTCTGGGAGCTCTATGACCTCTCCACGGACTACAGCCAGGCTGGCCACATGCGGTTGGAATCCCGAGTGTCGGAATTTCCTTGCTGATGTGGAAATGAGCCCAGGGTCCCCTTGCAAGGAAACCACAAAGAATGATTTATGGGGGGTCATTCCCTCATTCCCTGCGTATCGCACCAGCAAGCTTCTTGGACGGTTGGAGTGTGGAGTTGGAGTTTCTTAAGGGTATACTATTCGAAGCGCACCAAGCCCTTTTCAATGTTGCTGTTTGAGGTACGGCGTGATGTGTCATGGCACCAAGCAAATTGAACCGGAACACCTTTGACCTCCCACTTGCAGAGTTCCTGGATTTTGCACTTTTTGAGAATCAAACAGTTTGGACGTTTTGTTGGCCAATCTCGGAAAGTGAGACCCACTAGCGACCGAGAAGTGAGGTGGGTTTTTGACGGTGAGCCCCAAAAAAGGCCGGCAAGCGCCTTGGATGAACGTTTGGCTCAAGGTGGACAGGGGTTATCAGTTAGCTCCCCCATTTTGGGGCCCGGCGCACGGAGGGGGGGTCCAAGTAATTGAGAACTTTTGTTTTTTGGTTTCGGCCGATGCCGAAGGTCTGGATTGCAGAAATATCCAACGCAGGGAAGGATCCGCTTTGAGATCCGTTTTTGCCTGTGCTCTTTTACAGGTCCCAACAGGTAAACCTGATTTTCTAGGCCCCTAAGAGCCCCCAAAGCGGCCGGCCAGGCCCGCGATCTGTCTCGGGACATGCCGGAGAAGATGGAGAAGATGAAGCAGATCTTCCTGATGGAGGCGGGCCAAATGGCCCACAATCAAAACCTGGGTAGATGAAGGTTAGTAAGGGCCTTTTTATTTCGTTACATGGTTCTGGGTTCACCATTTTTGTACCAGGTTTTGATTATGTCTCAAATGGACTTCCTTTCGTGTTTTTTGAGACAAACCCGCCCCCCATTTTGGGGGAACCAACCTTCCCCCCCCCCGCAATTGTTCACCCGATTTTGACACAGATGTCCGAAATGTTTCTCGGAGGGGAGTGCCCTGGGTCTGTCTTTTTTTTTGGGGGGGCAACAGGTATAGCCTTGGGTTGGTTAAAAGGGACTTCTTGGCCATTTTGGGGGGTCCGATTCCGATGAAAAAGCTTCTTCAGAGAACGCAGGCTGCAGAGAACCAAGTGCTGCCTGTGGGTGCGGGGCTCTACACGGTGTATTACCACCCGGAGGAAGGCCCCCACTCTCCTCTGACCTCCTGGGAGCTGTATCAAGGATCGGTATGCATGGGCCGCGGGGGGGGGGGAAGGGGGGGAGGGGAAAAAGGTGTGAGGGATTGATGACCCAGTTCAGTGCCTCTCACTGCTTTGTTCATGCAAAATGTTGGTTGTTCCTTTGTTTGTGGCTTCTCAAAGCATGGTAACAAGAAAAAGGACATGCTCCCCGTCCAGGGTCACTGAGCAAATGCGAAGGGGGGAAGCGAGGTCGGTACAGCTCGAGGTTTTGAATGTGAGCTGAGACTTTTGTCGGCAAAATGCAATTGTGCAGTTTGGGGCAGTGAACCTTTTGATGGAGACCCGCAGCAAACACTGGCAGACTGCCTGCGTTTTGCACACAGGTTGCGGTTTGTAGTGGGTGTCAAGGCCTGGCTGCCTGCATAGAACGTAGTAGATATTTGCAGGGGAAGAGGGAACCCCTTTTTATTCTTGATACTTTGAGTTGTTCCCTGGTGCTTTATGACGGACTCCGGATACATACCGGGCACATGTTTATTTCAGGGAACTAGACAAATGGAGGACACTCACGGCATGTCTACATACGTTTCCCTGTTTCTGCTTTCCCTGGCGCTTCGCCCAGCGTTGCTTCGATGCGTTGCGGGCTCTATTCGCGTTTTTCTCAGTTGCCCAAAGCGAATCGACCTTTTAAACCTTTTGGTTTTCCAGTTTTGGAATCCCATTTTTAGTCATGGCAACCCAAAAGGTTAACCTTTTATTTCTGGGTCCCTAAGGGTTTTGGGTTGGCGCGTTTGGCATGCACGCGGCGTTTCGAAGGGCCCGCGAGGCATGTCCCGGATCGCGGAGTCCAACGCGCCATCCTTCAAGAGCGGCGCCTCTTCCTTGAGCACGCTTGACGTGGAGGCCATCCATTCGCGTGTTGTTCACTCTCGTGAAAATCCCACGAACAATGGGTTTATGCGCCAAAATCCTGGGGGTGAATCCCTTTTTTATGTGTGTTTTTGAGGGTCCAGGTGCAAATGGATCCCTTTTGGCGGATATTTGGAGGGTCCTCTAGGGGCAACTTCCATTTCCATTCTTTCCAGGCATCCTTTTTTGTACAAAACCACCCAAAGCCTTGCAAAAACAGCTGGTGGTTGAAAATAGCGATGGTTGAAAGGTGCTGTCCAGGCCCCCCCCAGTCAGGTGCCAACTTTTGCCGTGTCTTTTTTGGTTCGGAGGGCAAGCCCCTACCAAAGTAGACTACATAAAAAAAGGGGTACCACCTTATTCTAGCCTCTCTGGAGGACCTAGTTGTTCACGCACACATTTGGTACTTGGTACCATCCATGTCCATTCTTTCCAGGCATCCTTCCTTTTCTAAAAAGGCCACCCAAGGCCCTGGAGAAGCAGCTGGCTTTTGAAAAGAACGAGGGTTGAAAAGAATGGGGAACCAACCCCTAGAAGGTGTTTACCTTGAGCCCAACAAGGGGGCGGGCATTTGTTCATGTGTCCGGACCATATCTAGCACCCAGTTTATCGGGGTTTCGGCTTTCGATTTCAATTCTCAATCCGGCTTTGGATGCGTGAGATGTCCTTCTTGTGGTTGGTTTCCTCCAAGGATTGAGGCTTAAAATCGGCCAACCCTCCGTTTTGAGCATTCCAGACATCCGTGGCCCATTTCAAATAAGTTTCAACAAGTGCTTAGACTTGATACTTCGAACCAAGATCATGCTAATCCCTGAAAAACACAGAATTTGGCTTTGGCTTGGACCCATTTACTCAAGTACCAGCCTGGCCCTCCTACCAAAATGGGACTGGGCGAGAGCGCAGGCTGGATTCCCAATTTAATGCCGCAACACATTCTCTTGGGCACAAACCGATGCAAGCGGAGGACCTTACGCCCCGCTCAAAAGATAGCGCAGTTCAACTGAGTACGTGGTGCCAATTCGGCACAAGCCCTGCGCCGTAACATGCTCACTTGCCCAAAGCCGACCTTTTGACCTTTTGGTTTCCCATGTTTGGTCCATTTTTAGTAAAGATCCCAAAAGGTTAACCTTATATTTCTGGGTCCTCTGGGCAACTGAGCCTGGGTTGTTCAAAGTCAATCCTGAATCTAGATCCGAATGCTAGCTTGCTGCGATGGGGTCCATTGGTGTCCCACTGGATCCCCCCCATCTTGAACAATTCAGCTAAAAACAATGCAGATTTGGGGGGACCTCGACCCTCCCAAAACCGAAAATATCAACAACTACCTTGCCAATTTGGCACAGCTCTTTCAACGACTTTTTAAGAGGAAACAGGGTTTGTAGCATTTTTGTAGTGACTACGTACTGCAGTGTTCGTCTATCATATTGAACCTCCGAGGGTGGTTTGAGGGTAGTGGAGGCATTCAAAATGAGGGTAGTGATTGAGAGTAGCAAGAACATTTGAGTATGCGTCAGCCCCTTTTCAGCCAATCACGCCAGCCACTTCCGTTGGGTGTGTTAGCTCCCAAAACCAGCTTCGACTTGAAAACTCCGGAGGCTTCCGATCGCAGGTGCCGTCCAACGCCTCTGGGGTTTTGTTTTGCGTCGGCGGCACCGCGGGCGGCTTCTCCGTGTACTTCGACGGAGGCGATGGACGTTGGGCCCGGTCGGGCCCTGGGTCCATGGGTCCGGCTGGTGGGGCACGAGCCGATGGGAACCTAACATCCATTTGCTTACGATCCTTTTTTCCCCCTGTTGAATTTGGAGGGAATCTATCACTGCTGGAAAACAATCCAGGGGGCTTAAGCAAGTGGAAGCTAAGCCTATTTGAACAGATTGTTCTCGTTCTGATTCTGAGCATGTGTCTTGCTCAAAACGGGAAAATTCAGAAAAAAAGTGCCCAGGGAAGCCCTGGATATTAGCACTGACTTCCCCAAAGAGCGAGTTCCCTGTCCATTGTCTTGGCGCAGGTTCCAAAAGGTGATCACCTTTTATTCCAGGTCCATTGCGGTCTGAGCATAGTTTTGAGGTGTACCCTTGGGTGCCAAGTGAGAGAGTTACCCCACCCCCTTCCCCGTAGCCCCCTTAGGCATCCATGACAGTACGCAAGAGAATGACCGCAAGGCTACCTCTACGCGGAGTACATGGCCACGTTGCTCTACCGCTACATCGCCGTCTCCAAGGCTCCGGTCAGCCCCGGGCGCCACAAGATCGAGGCCTGGGTGAGAAGCAACGAGTCCCCGAAAGGCGGAAGCTGACACATCATGTTTTCGTCATCAATCCCTTCCTCCCAATGAACACGCCCAGATGAGTCTGGGGGCGGCCGGAACGATATTTTTTGATAGGGGAATTAGGCAGCAATTAGGCGTCAGATTGTTCCGCTACCCTGTGCTCCTTGATTGCATTTACCAGGGCAACCCATCTTAAGTACCTGCACCCTCGAGAATTCCATGAAAAAATGGATTCTGCCCCAAACTTCTGGGGGTGTGTCCCTTTGTTTCATGTGTTTTTGAGGGTCCAGGTGCAAATGGATCCCTTTTTGGGCGGATATTTGGAGGGTCCAGATGGCTGTGGGTCAAAAATAGGTACCCAACTAGAAGCCTGGCAAGTGGAAACATGGACATTTTTCTCCTGCGGTCCAATTCCTATTGGTTTGATTTGGACCTATACCCAGGTGCCTTGAGCCAGGTGGTGCTGAACTACGACATGTCGAAGCCCGAGGTCTTGGCCCCGCCCGCGGATCTCTCGCTGCGCGTGGACGCGCAGCAGGTGGCCTCCGTGCGGGTGGAGAAGTCCATTCGCCGCGTGGCGAAATGACTCGCCCGAAGCGGGGGGGAAATGGCCGCGGGCGGGTCCCTGCTTCCAGTTGGTTGCGTTGTTTTTTTTAGCAGTCAAATAATATGTCTGTATTTTCCCTGGAAGTTGGTTGAGTATGTTTGTGCATTTCCCCAGTTAGATTCAAAGGGAATCGATTTCACTACTGGAGATGGGGCGACAAAGCAATTGGAGGCATGGGTTTTGAAAGGTGTGTTTTCTGGTAGGGCGGTGCATGGTCATTTTTTGTTTTTTTTGCCCCCTGACTTTGCCAGCACCCCCCCAACAACGGCTTTTTCCCACGTCAAAGATATTCTTGGCACTGTTCAAAAAGCAGTTGTCGGGGGTAGGCGTGCTGGAAGGCTTGTTTTGCTGAGGGGGTGCCCTCTGCACCTTGGTTTCACGGGGAACGTGACAGACGGAAAAGGGCGGGTTGGGTTCCTTGTTTCTAAGGCACCCTGAAACAGCCTGTTTGGTTTGTTGTTTTTGTGCTTTCTTTGTTGGGGGAGGGGTTCAGAGTTTCCTACTTTGGATGCTTGGCTTACTTGCGATGTTTAGGGCATTCACCTTATGTTTGCCCTTGCGATGTCGCTTTAGACTACCTTTCGGTCGCCAAATGAAAGTGAGCTTTCTTTCAGGTTGTGTTTATAGCAGGGGGAGCTAAGTCGCACATTTTGGAAGGCTTTATTCGAAGGAAGCAAGGGGACAGAGGTGGATTTTAGTGCTGTTAGGGGCACCCAGCTATTCATGTTGGTCCCACATGTAGATAAAACAACTCATTTGTTTGCTAGTCTTTGAAGCTGAAAGGTAAGGAACAGCCAGGAAGCCTTGCCAGGGTGCCCGTTTGCCACTCCTGGGCTCGTCTTTTCATGTCTCCCCTTTCGTGGCGCCGGGCAGAGATCATCTAGGTGCAGGTGCCCCAGGTCTCACCCCTTTTTTTGGTTGGGAGGGCAAGCCCCCACTCAAATAGACTACAGAAAAAAGTTGGTACCAACTTATTCTAAGCTCTCTACTGGAGGACCTAGTCATGAAAGAGAGCTGCGCAAGCTTGCCCAGATTGCAGCTCGCCTGTACTTGGCAGATACTTTGGAACACATTGCCGGAAGTCCTTGCGAAGGCTGCGCCATGGCGGTGCTCACAGGTCATATGCTCGTGGGCTTCTGCTCGCTTCCTGAACCTGGGTAGGCCAATTTGGCTGTGGCTCAAAAAAGTGGAATCCCAAAATGTCACCGTGGTATATGGAACCAAAGACTAAAACCCGCGGTTTGCCCCCAGCTCTTTAATTTTGAGCCATACCCATTTAGTGAAGAAAAGAAGAAGTTCGGAGACCAACCCGACCGGAAGTCAGTCTTGGCTCCAGTCCTTGGACTCAACCTCGAGGCCTTGGATGAAGCCATCACCCCTGATTGAACTGCAGATGGCTCAGTCGCTCCTCTAAAAATAGGGCTTGGGCGACTCACATTGTTGAAACCCATATGGTTCACACGACCTGGATTTTGGTGAACAGTTGGGTAATTTGGGACTAGTCCCGGGAAGGTGTAAGCCATGTACTGTCCACCCACCCACAAACCCACCCACCACCCACCCACAAACCCACCGACAAACCCACCCACAAACCCACCCACCACGCACCGACCTTTCCACCCACCCCACCCTCCCACCCACCCCCCCAAGCCTCTCCAACCCGAGGCCTTGCCTTCGATGCGTCGGAGACCTTCGACGTGGGGATGGACCTGGGCTCACCAGCGTCTTGCTCAATGAGTGCATCGGTTGGGTTGGTTGGGGGGGTTGATGAGCTGGCTGGTTAGCTGGCTGCGTGGCTGGCTGGTGGTTGCGTGGGTGGGTGGGTGGGTGGGTTGGTGGATTGGTGGGTGGGCTGGTGGGTTGGTGGGTGGGCTGGTGGGTTGGTGGGTTGGCTGGCTGGCTGGCTGGCTGGCTGGCTGGTTGGCTGGCTGGTTGGCTGGCTGGTTGGCTGGGTTTGGTTAGGTTTGGCTTGGTTGGTAAGTTGGTTGGGTTGGCTGGTTGTTTGGCTGGTTGGTTGGTTCGGTTGGGTGTTCTTTCGTTTGGGTTGGTTGGTGAGTTGGTTGGGTTGGTTGGCTGGTTGGTAAGTTGGTTGGGTTGGTTGGCTGGTTGGTGGGTTCGGTTGGGTGTTCTTTCGTTTGGTTTGGTTGGTGAGTTGGTTGGGTTTGGTTAGGTTTGGCTTGGTTGGTAAGTTGGTTGGGTTGGTTGGCTGGTTGGTGGGTTCGGTTGGGTGTTCTTTCGTTTGGTTTGGTTGGTGAGTTGGTTGGGTTGGTTGGCTGGTTGGTTGGCTGGCTGGTTGGTTGGCTGGTTGGTTGGTTTGGTTGGGTGTTCTTTCGTTTGGCTTGTTTGGTGATTTGGTTGGGTTGGTTGGCCGGTTGGTTGGCTGGTTGGTTGGTTTGGTTGGGTGTTCTTTCGTTTGGTTTGGTTGGTGAGTTGGTTGGGTTGGCTGGTTGGCTGGCTGGCTGGTTGGTTGGCTGGCTGGTTGGCTGGTTGGTTGGTTCGGTTGGGTGTTCTTTCGTTTGGTTTGGTTGGTGAGTTGGTTGGGTTGGTTGGCTGGTTGGTTGGCTGGCTGGCTGGTTGATTGGCTGGTTGGTTGGTTCGGTTGGGTGTTCTTTCCTTTGGTTTGGTTGGTGAGTTGGTTGGGTTGGCTGGTTGGTTGGTTGGGTTGGTTGGCTGGTTGGTTGGCTGGCTGGCTGGTTGGCTGGCTGGTTGGTTGGTTTGGTTGGGTGTTCTTTTGTTTGGCTTGGTTGGTGGAGTTGATTTGCCTGGTTGGTTGGTTGGTTGGCTGGCTGGCTGGCTGGCTGGCTGGTTTGTTGGTTTGGTTGGGTGTTCTTTTGTTTGGCTTGGTTGGTGGAGTTGATTTGTCTGGTTGGTTGGTTGGCTGGCTGGCTGGCTGGCTGGCTGGCTGGTTTGTTGGTTGGTTGGTTGGCTGGTTGGTTGGTTGGTTGAGACCTGCCGCCTATCAACCCATCCCAAACAACCCATCAACCAACCCAACCAACCCAACCAACCAACCCATCCCCGTTCATCCCAACCCAACCCAAACTCCAAACCCCAAGACCCAACCCAACCAACCAGAAACAACCCACTAAACCAATATTACGTTTCAACACGGGTGGGTCCATGGCCTCATTAACCCTTGAATGCGACCTTTCAGGCATATCCTCAGAATTTCCTGTGCTTGCCAATGACGCCCACAAGTCCATGAAATCAGTCTGGCTCGAAGCGATCGGAACGGCCTTCGAAGTGGGTCCGCAGCAAATCCCACATGTAAAGGATGTCCCGAGTTGACCTTCATGCAAAATGGTGCCCATAAAAGATTGAAGGTGCTAGTCCCAGATTTGCTGAGGTCTCGCTGAAGTATGCGTCGCGCTCGCCCTTCACCTATCCTTCGACCATCTATGCGCCTTGACTCGCAATATATCCGGGTCAGCATGCTTCGGCAACAGGGGAGCCTTTTGTCTCCGTACTCTAGCACGACCTGCTTGAAATGTCCATCGCAAACGTGGAAAGTCTCAGCACCTGATGAGCTCCTTTTGCTCAGCACCTGCTGAGCTCCTTTTGCCCACCTCGCGCCTCTCCCTAATTTGGTTCCGGGATTTGCCGTTTTGTTTTGGCAAAGTCGAGACAGCTCACAACTTTGGCGTGAGGCCATCAAGATCAAGTACACCAACAGCTCCGAGCTTCGCCCGGAGGGCATTGTGATTTAATTTGTCTGCGGAGTGCTGCCACAAGGGCAAGCACCTGCAAGCTATGTGGGTTTGTCTGGTTCTGTTATGTTTTTTTGTTTCATCTTTTGTGGATTGGCAAAGGGAGACGACCCATCCTCATTTGCACGGCTGTCTTGTCACTTTGTAGTCAAGGGTGTTGGTTTTGCTTTCAGGGTATTCAAGGAGAGCCACAAGAGGGCCCATTCTTTTTGGTTTGGTGGCTCCTGTTGGACACTTCCTGAGTTCATGAACTTTAAACTTGTTGAGAAGACCATTTTAGTGGTAAATATAAAGTTTTAACCTTTTTTGGGCCATCCACTCAGCAAGTGAGTGGAGACAACCCCAGTAACCCGTCCGGCTGCCGACTCCTGAGCGCAACCATTTTTGTGGCGTCAGGGCTTCGCCCTGGGTCACCCAAAGCACGCGGGCGCGGGCAGCAGCGGGACCCCAAAACCGCTAGCTGGAATTGGGTTCTTTTCCAGAACCAGGTTTGTTCTTTTTTGGGGTGGACTAAATCTATGAGGATGTTTCTTGTCCGGGTGTGGGCCAAGTTAATTAGGGAGAATGCTGTGTCTACCCGCGTTTCATGGCCTTTTGGGTGGCCCATGGGCCATCATGGGCCTGTTGCTCGTTGCCAACAGCGACTTTTGAGTCACAGGTTCGCAGCTACACGTGCAATCGCTCGGACATCATGTTGCTTGCCGTCGGTAATACGGCACCCAGGTGTGTTGAGCACGCAGCTTCCAGCTGCTCTTAGGGCCGTAGGGGTGGCTACACCCTGGGCGATGGTTCCGAGCTCTCCATTGGCAATGCGGACAAAAAGTCTTTGAAAGTAACCACGCAAACCTGGAATTTGCTTTCTGCGGAGAACTGGTTGCTACGCAGGCCCCATCTTTTCCGAAAGGAAGCCTAACGGTACAACGGGATAGATGATTTAACACCCCCCGCAATGGTGTGCGCTGACGCAGCCTAGGAGCATTTCTAGGACATTTGTTGTTAGGTTCGGATCCGACAGTTCCTGAAAGTGCAAGCAAGGGCTGCAACTAAGTGACCTGGGCGCCTTGTTTCCTTTTTGCTCCAGTGTTCAGTCGAACCCTTTTTGTTCTTTCCCCTGGTTGATATCCTGGCCCCAAAGCGTGATCACCTGCTATTCCTGCGTCCTTTAGGCAACTGAGCAGACCATGGCTCCCTTCTTCCAAAGAGATCCACGCGACTTCCTCTTTGCGACAGGCCCCAGCCCGCGGCAAAAGCCACAGGCGGGTAGCCAGGGGTTGAGGAGTCCATTGTGGGAATCCTGCAGCTTCCAGCTGAGGCAGTCACTGAGCGGCGGGATATCACCCGAAGTGATATGGGGTGTGTGCCCCTCGGGACGGCCTTTTGGAGTTTGCTCCTTGAGGGAACCAAAGCGAGACCTTCCAGCTGAGGCAGTTTCCCGGTCGAAAGTTCAGCCAGAACCGGAGCCGGCCCCAAGTTAGCCGGATGTTCGACGAACGTAGTATCTGTGGGAGGGTACCTGCAAGATCAATGTCCTTTTCAATGGGCCCCTTGGCAGGTGGCATGTTAGTGGGAGGAAAGGTATTGCATTTCACTTTTGAAAGAACTCGAGAAAGAGCCGTGACAAAGAGTGCACAATTGATCCGGCATCTTTTCTTGGCAGGTAGAGTGGTCAATGGAATCGCTGAGGCTTGTATGTTCCGATTCCCTGCTGCAGGATCATTTCTCAGAGATGTGCCGTCAAGCGAACAAAGCTCGCTTCCCAAATTGCCTGACTATATACCAAAGAAACAACAACATTTGGACCATGTATGAAGCAGGTCCAACTAGTTGTCTACGACCCTTGCGGTCATGAAATTCGAGAGGTTCTTTCGAACAGATGTTAGAACTTTAACTTTTTGCCAACAAATGAATTGGTTTTCCATTCAATTGGATGTTAGAACTTTAACTTTTTGCCAACAAATGAATTGGTTTTCCGTATTAAGCCACTAAAGGTTGTTAACTTCTTCTGAAGGGGAGCAGAAAGCAGCCGAGCTTCGAGTGACCCTTTTGGCGGTTTGGCGGTAGGCGAGACGGCTGGGCGCTGGCCTCGGTGGGGCTGAGTGAGGGCTGATGGCACCAGGGAACGACCGCAAGCGCGTGTGTTTCTTGCCATGGGAAACACACCCCGATTCTAACAATGTGGCTTTGCCCAAGAGAAAAGCTGTCTTTCGCAACCCTCCGAGCGGCAGCTTATTCTGGGAGGGAGGGTCATGATCCGGAATCTGGGGTTTGCGCCTCGTGCGGATGCACCAAATCCACGCTGATCGGAACTAGCTCGGATGGGATGAAACCTGAGTTGAATACTGGCTGAACAGCAAGTTCCAGCTGGTGAGAAGTGGATTTCTCCCACCACAGGACACCGGGGAGAAAAAGGGCGATTGTCAGTTGTTATTTGTCCTAGGTACAAGAGCACGGCCGTCGCAGCTGTGGGCTCGCAAGATGCAAAACATCTCACGGACGCTGACTCGCCGGGCTTGCCCCGAGGCGAAGCATTGCTCAGAAAACGGCTTGCCCCTTTTTCCCCCAAAGTAGAAGGCCCCCAGGTTCTTTCCATTTTCTTGAACGCCACTCAGTTAGACTTAGGATACATTTTGCGTTTTAATTACCAGTGACTCAAAGTGAAGCAAACAAGATATATATATATATATATATATGTATATTCTATAACTGGGCCTAACTCTAATCATGGCTAATAAATCTGAAACCTTCAGCTGCGGGCAGGCATCAGAGGCCGAGTCTTGCTGCACATCCCGTCCGTTGCAAGAAAGCCGGGCCCTCTTGGCCACGCGCCATGTGTGGCCAGCGCCCGCAAACGGGAGCAGTGCTGAGGCGGGGGGAGAGAACGGTGGGTGACTGTCGGCATCCGTGGGGTGAATTGCAGATCGGTTTTGTGAGGGTGCCCGGGCCTTTCAAAAATTTGTGTGGCTTTAAAGGGAAAGCAAGCAAAAGGACAACCGAATGCCATTGTGGGAGGGTTTTCGGGCTTCCTATCTCCGATGCCAAGTGGGATTCATCGCCCTCTAGTGAGAGATGTGACCATCCCCCTCGATTCAATCCAGGCAGGTTGCGAAAAAGGAATGAAGGCCCTGGAATCCATTCCATTTACCTATTTGTTCACAAGAGAGAAATGGAACCAATCATGCCATCACCCCCCTAACAACTGCCTTTTCCCATTTCCCCGCTTATCCCCGCTTGGTAATGTCCAAGCAAACAGTGGTTGGGGGGGGGAGGTGCTGGTGAGAACTTCACATCCGCTCATTGCCACTGGCGGGGGGGCGAGTAGTTGTACTATATCCGCAGCTGCAGGGAGCATTTTAATTTGCTGGGCCCGGGTGATGCATCATGGGCTCATGGCTCTGCGTCCGTCTCTTTTTTCGGCCAGAAGAAAAGCCCGCTGGTTTCGTCACGGCTGACTTCGTGTCTGCCTAAAAATCATCAGCCCTGGGTGGTTTGGATGGGCTGGAGCTCCGTGTCTGCTTCAAAAGGTTCAAGTCCGGTCAATTTGAATCCAGGGCTTCTCTGAGGTAGTTCAACTAGGTCCCCCAGCAATTGGTGCCCTTTCTCACCCCCTTTTTTGGTTGGGAGGGCAAGCCCCTACAAAAACAGACTACCGAAAAAAGAAACGGTACCAACTTATTCTAGCCTCTGTACTGGATCCGGGGACCTCGTCAAAACCTAGAATACCACACCTTCTGCCGAGCAAAAACCAGAAACGAAGAGGGGTGGCTGACCGGGTCAGCCATGGGACATGCCTACGGGCTTGCAGGTCGACACGAAAAAAATTGGGTTAATCCTATGACAGATGCTGGCCAGCCTCACTTGCCCAAAGCGAATCGACCTTTTGACCTTTTGGTTTCCCATGTTTGGAATCCCATTTTTAGTAAAGGTCCCAAAAGGCGATCACCTTTTATTTCTGGGTCCTTTGGGCAACTGAGAAGCAGATGGAAACAGCTTGCATCTCTTTGTCCTATCTCTCCCCTTTCCTGCTCTCTTTTTTTTATCTGTTTTGTTTTTTCTCTCTCTCTCTCTCTCCCCTATAGACGAGAACGGGAAAGAGAGATACGAAGAGATCAAGCCCTTCATGTCTGTTGAAAGAATAGTGAAGTCTCGGCTTCAAAACTACTTCTATGGAACTACATCACTGGGGCAACCAAACTTGGCAACCGAGCACTTTGAAACTATGTACAGGTTACAGAAGGATGCGGGCTGCCATCTCCCCACCTAAACATCTGACAGGGCGGGACTTATTTCTGGTTTTTGGAACCAAGTTCCAAGTTTGGAACCTTAAAGCACTGGGGCATCGACGCTCCCCATCTTCCAATTATCTCCATTGTTCTTGGCTTGGACCATGACCTATTTGTTTCTTTGCTTGAAAGGGGATTCATTGCGGGAAATACTGTGGATAGACGAAATCCTGCACCACTTTGAAACCATGGGAAACTATTGTTTGTTGGCATTTACAGGGGAATCATTATTCCAGGGTTTCTCAGGTGGTGCAGGATTTCGTCCATCCACAGTATGTCCAGTTTTTTTTCTTGAATCATGTAAGGAAGTGGAGGCCTAAATGTCTCTCCCCTTGGTACCCTTGGGGTCCCCATGCCGCACAACTCACAGGACCTCGAGCTCCTTCACACGCCAAACGCTGCCCGGCAGAGTGGCCCCACTGGTTTTGGGTTGGCAAGGCCAGGGTTGTTCCCCAAGAATTCCTCAACTTGAACCGATCTTTGGTGCATTTGCCAAGGGATGTTAGGACTTTAACTTGTTGCCAACTGAGTCGGGTTTTCCGTATTAAACCACTAAAACATTGTCAACTGTTAGCAGGGGAGCAGAGTTTGCAACCGAGCAATCTGGAAGCTGACGGTTCGCCAGATTGGTTGGTTTCAACGATTGTTCCCCAAGGCTTCTTCGAGCTGACCCAAATGTGGAAGCTGACGTTTGCTGTGGCCAACCCTCTAACAAAACAGCCCGGACGGCGCTTGCCATGAGGTAGGTCCTTGGATCTAACTCTTCTTTCAGCGAAATCCGCTTGGTACTGTCCCAAAAAAAAGACGGTGGGGGGCAGTGGGGGGCGGGTGCTGGCAGATTATGTGTTTACAGATACGTTGGGCTACAAAACCCTTTCTGGAAGAAGCACAGCACCTCGACGCATGGAGTCCATCACCTTCGGTTGGAGAACCTTGAAACATGGGTTTTAGTGGCATCCCACCGCGGATTGCGGATGAGGATGCGGGATACCTCCGATCTGAACCGCCTCCCCCTGGCAAAGAAGAAGAACTCATCTCCACCCCTTTGAAAGAACGGGGTGTACCCTTAGTAACAACGGACCCAATCTCTTCAAAAATCACGCATGAGGCCCGGGTTGTTTTTCAGAGGCCTGCTCAGCTCTGTGGCTCACCTATGGTGAGCTCACCTGAACATCAGGCGAGAGAAGGCCAAGGTGCAGGTCCTGTATTTGCGGAGCCCTTAATTCAGGTTTGGGGTTCTTGTAGAATCTGCAGGTGGGTCTCCCAGTACAGGGGTCTCTTTTGAAGATATAGTTTACATTTTTAAGCTTCATTTGACTCGGTCCCGGAACTACTAATGTTTGGTGGGAGGCCGGGCGGCGGTTGCCCAGTGACCGATAAGTGGGGGGGCGACGGCAGGAGGGAGGACCCTTGAGTCGGAACGAGGGCAACATGTTGCCGGCTGACGAACTGAAACGAATAAAACACGGTTGGCCGAGACGGATTGGCTGCAGCCTACGATCGGACGTTGAGCCAAAGTGGATTGAGCCGAGGCTCCAGCAAAAGAACCGCGAGAGCCGAGAAGATCCCAAGTGATGTTGACCGCAGATCAATCATCCTACTAATGAGGTGGGTCACCCGCAAAAGTGACAGATTCCCACCAAACGGGGACACCCCCGCGTATTAATTGATCCTGGGTCGACCCTACAGCACATTCCTAGTTTCAAGGCAACCTCTTTGGGTTGAAAAGGAAGCCACAGGGAAGCAACTCCGTGCGGGGGGGTTCCCTCACTGGAAGTTGTTGCAGGTTTCGGCGAGCCATAGGAGAACAAAGCAAAGGTGAACAGGGAGACCACCCAAACGCCAAAAGGAAAGATGGCTGGTTTCCCACTGTAGTCTCACTTCCTCAGTTCATGAACTTTAAACTTTTTGGGAAGACCATTTTAATGGTACATAGAAAGTTTGGACTTTTTCTGGGCCATCCACCCAGCAGGTGAGGTAGTGGCTTGCCTCGCCTGGTAAACTTGTCCACGGAAACGGTTGGTCCCATTCGCCAAAAGGTTCCGGGCCGCGCGTGAGGTTCCATGCGGCGCCTTCCTTGCACCTCGGCAGTGGAGCTTTGGAGATCTCAGCCCTCCGCATCCCAACTCTCCCGCCCCCCCACCCCCCCACCATCTCTACCCCCCCCCCCCGCCCACCACCCCCACCATCTCCGCCCCACCACGCCACCACCTCCTCCCCCCTTCACCCTACCCCCGACACCCCCCGCCCCAAACGCCCCACCCCTCCCAACCCCACGCCCCACCCCTCCCAACCCCACCCCCCACGCCTCCCCCCCCCCCGCCCCAAATGCTCTCCTTGTCAGGTCCAGGCCGTTGTCCTCCTCCTCAGCCGCTCCTCGGCGAATGTACTCCCTTTCTCGCCAAGGAATCGGCGGTCGGCTTGGCTTCCACGCCTTTACCCCTCACAACTTGGCTCCAAAAGGCCATCCGGTGCCTTAGCTTTCTCGCCTTTTAGGGGTTAGGGGTAGTTTCCATACTTAACCCACTAAAAGTTAGTCACTTTTAGCGGGGGATCTGAGGGCAGCCCTCACAAGACACCAGATCCACGTGAGGTTGTCCCTATTTCCTGTTCTTTGGAGGCCCCCCGTTAAAGTGAACTGAAAGCTTTGGCTGCATGTGGCTTCAGCATTTGGGGCGGTGTCTTTTTCGAGGGTTCTCTTTTTTGGTTGCTTGAATTTCTGAAAGGGAAGCCAAAAGGAAGACCGTTGCGCCATTTTGCGGGAGACGGGCCCATTTGGTTGCCCCTTTGGCTAAGCTTCGGGCAATCACCGAGAAAGAGCCCCACTTAAACGGGGTCTGAGACCCTACAAATTATTGCAAATTCCAATGGTGTGGTGGCTTTTCATGTGGTTGCTTCTTGTGCAAAATGGGTTTGTCTGATGACCACCAAAATTATGGTCTTCCGTTTCTTCTATATTCTTAAGAATATGTGTTGTTTTCCCGTTGTTGGTTTAAAGGGGACCTATCACTACTGGACATATTGCTCTCTTTTTTTCTGCTGGCCAAAAACTAAATAACCTTTTCTTGGACATTTTCCCAGCCGTCCCCTTAGGTTTTTAGTTGGTTTCGTGGTTGGGTTTCCGTATTTCACCCACAAGTTCCAACTTTTAGCAGATCTGAAAAACGGAGAGGCCCCAGTCTTGGGGTTCCCTTTCGGCTCGCTCCCCTTTAAAAACTAGCAGTTTGAAGGGTACGCCAAGACCTATCCACGGGCTGAAGGGCGCCCTTTTGCTTGAAAGTCTCACTTGCCCAAAGCCGACCTTTTGATCTTTTGGTTTCCCATGTTTGGTCCATTTTTAGTAAACGTCCCAAAAGGTTAACCTTTTATTTCTGGGTCCTTTGGGCAACTGAGAAGTTGCTACAGCAGCAGCTCCTCTCTCTTTCCTTACTTGCAACCAAAGCGAATCGACCGGATCTGACCTTTGGTTTTTTTTGGGTGTGGTCTAGTTTTAGTCATGCCCCCAAAAGGAGATCACCTTTTATTTCTGGGTCCTTCGGGCAAGCGAGTTTTGCCAAGTTGCTAGCTAAACAAATTTGAATAACAGATAACAAAAAAGATACATGACACTATACAGCAGCAGTTCCTCTTTCCTTTGCGTCAAAGCATCAGAATCGGACTCCGAGGGCCGAGTATCCCGGACCTGGTCCCACTCAGATCTTCGGCGCCTAGAGGTGCTTGAGAAGCCGCCTGGTTGAGAGGTGGTTTGCGCCTGTACGGATCCGGCCTGTTGAGACAGACCCAAAAAGGAAGGTAGCCAAGGGAACCCTTAAACAACCAGAAGGAGAGCATGGTGGTTTACTCCTACTCTTTATGGCTAGTTGGTGGGGTCTTTGGACTTTAACTGTTTGGGACATTGATTTTCCAGTGGACCCACGAAAAGTTAATTGTTTTTTGCAGAGGGGTCAGCAGCAGCCAGGTCCCTTTAAATGCGTTGTTTCCTTTTGGGAGCCACCAACTGTCCTCCATGTTGTTCAAACGCCAAGAACGGGTGGCATGTTTTGCAACCCTGGCCACTGGGGGCTGCGGGCGAGTGAACTAAGTTCCAGTGCCAAAAAAGAAACAAAACAACCCTAGTGCCCGACATGATGGGTTCCTTCCTTAAAATCAAAACAAACACAACAACCCTGCCCTCCAAAAATCCCCACCAGGCAGGCCGGGTAAACCGGCGCCGACGTCGCGCCGACGTCTCGCCCAAGGAACACCAGGAGCATGTTGGAGCAGGCAGGGGTGAGCCAGGGAAGCGATCTCAGTACGGGCAACGCTGTGTCCTTCCCCAGAATTAGCTCTCCTTGTTTGTTTTTTTGGCTTTTTTGGGGTCCCTTTGTTTTCCACTAACCAGCAAAAAATGTTTTTTGTTGCTGGGGTTCCTAATTCCAGCCTGTCAGGGATCTTGGCATAGGTGTCCTTTTTGGTGGTTTTGTCCGAAAATCGATGAGCCTGGTTGACCTGAAAGTTTCATAATCCACAAGGGCCAGGCATTTTCCCAAAAGGACGCCTATGGGTCATTTGTGAGTGTACCCCGCTCGGGGTCGCTTCTGAATGAGTGAAGCGCGAAGCCAAAGCACCAAAGAGCAGGACTCGCGCTCCTTGAGAATCGGGTTTGTTTCCACACAGTCCCATATCAGGCTTGGCTTCCATGATCAGCACACAAGAAAACTATCTTGCAGATCTTGCAGTTTTCGAGTTTCCAGAGTTTTGTTTACCAGGCAAAGTTGTGTCCAAATGATGTGCATAGCCAGGCAACAAACTCCATGCGCTTGCCCTTCGTGCACGACGATAGCATGCGCACCCTGCCGTTGCCTCGGCGCTACAAGTACGCTTTTTGGATCACATGTCTTATTTTGTGGAGAAACTCAAGCGAATGGACCTGAAATGATCCTTTGCCTTTTGTGTTTTGGGTTCTCAATTTTTGGTCATGGCCCCAAAAGGTGATCACCTTTTCTGGGTCCTTGGAAGCAACTGAGTTCAAAGTGGACCCTGCGTTCTCACAAAGGTCCCTTTGTCTTGACGGTGAGTGGCTCGTACATTGCAGCTGAGTGGGTTCCCTACTCAGACTGGGGACGATCCTTGCCCTAGAGAAATGGACAAGTTTAGGCCACGCCTCAAAGAGTGTGTGGTTGTCTTGTGATCGGGTAAAGGGTCCCCACTCCGCCAAGATTCATATTGAGGGATTGAAGTTTGAGCGCCAGATGGTTATTTGCTCAGCTAGTCCGCGCATGTTCACCAGCCTGCCTGTTTTGATGCCGCCCTGACATGAACTCGGGATGAGGGCTCCGCGTCCTGATTCCCATGATTTGGAGACACTCGTTGCTGGTTCTTGACATTTTAGGAGTCTGTAGGTCAAGCACCTTCACTTTGGGCAACATGTGTGTTGATTCAGGTTTATGTTTGCCAGACAGCAGCTTGCATAAAGCCCATGCCACTGGCGTATACTCGATGGCAACGGCGTGAAACTCATTGTGGCAAAAACACAAAAGTCGATCGGTTTTGAGCACTGCTTAATTAGGGGAAGCTGACTTGCGATAGTGATTTTGCGGATTTTACTTCAATGCAAGTCATTGACACGGAGAAGAATCGCATGGCAGGTCTCAGCATCCTATTGCCAGGTAGCACTTTCGGTGTCCACTTTTGATAGTCGAGTCCGGGCAACATGTGAGGGAATGCGTGTTGTACTTTGCCTGGAAATTGGGCCTTTGCCTTCAACGCTTTGTGCAGCTGAGCGTGTGATTGACTGGGCCAGACAGAATACCCGGGGCATTTTGTCGATTTTGTGAGGTGCAGTATAGGTTCTGGAGGTATCTAGGTGATATGCCACCTACACAAAGGCTAAATAAAATTACCTTAAAGGCTTGCATCGGTGCCTCCAACCCCCATCCCTGAAGCGCTCATGAACATTGACACTTTTGCACGGTGGATGGCCTCCCATTAAAGAAACCCAGCAGCTTCTTCGCACGCTGAGGTCAATCCCCTTGAAGCGCCTCGGATTGCTGGCTTTAGCTTTGGGTTGCCGGGACCGGGCGTAGAGGCGGTGGTCACTTTCAGCTCACTTGCCCAAAGCCGACCTTTTGACCTTTTGGTTTCCCATGTTTGGTCCATTTTTAGTAAAGGTCCCAAAAGGAGATCACCTTTTTTTTCTGGATGCTTTGGGCAGCTGAGTCAGGGTTTCCGAGCGCATTTCTCTTTAAAGGGAACCTCCCAAAGTGGGCAGTCTCAATGGAAACAGCAGTAATTAAAAGCTAAAAACAAATCAAGGGAAGATGCCAGCGACCCCTGTCCTCGCAAGGGCTCCAATTTTTGCGCCAGCCCAGGACCCTCAAACTGGGATCCATGTTGTAACTGGAGTCAGGCCCTGAATTTGGGTATGCGATCGAATGAGGCACCCGTTTGGAGGACCCTTTTGGGCGTCGGGTGCGAAAAGGGGGGGTTCCAACAGGTCGTTTGGATGATCCGCTTGGGGTCATCCAAGTTAGGTACTCTTGGGTGTAGCCGACTCAATTCAGGAGGGGAATTGCGGTACGCCTTTGGTCAGCAAGAACGAGGCATTCGCGGAGGCGTTGCATGTCTTGAGGCGGTAAAAGGAGTCAAAGCTACAACCTCCTTCTTTTCCAAAATATGCATCCAGAGGGTTGCCCGGTTTCAAACCATTGCAAATTCGCCGTCCACCAGCGGGGTTCCAATCATTTACCAGCACAATCCAACGGGGAATTACCCAGAATGGTGGCTTTTCTTCTAGCTTCGCTTTTAAGCATGGTCATCCCACAAGGGGTGCTCTCAACAAACACAAACACAAACGCACCACACACGCACGCCCACCTCTGTCCCCAAAGAATCTCTCAATCGTCAGGACCTTTTTGGTCGGTTGGTTTCCGTTTGGCTTCCCCTTGGTCCAATGCACACACCCCCCACAGGCCAGCGCCTTTTCTCCCGAAGCCGTGCCTCAGGTCACAAGACTTCGCCAGCTGCCGGAAGAAGCGGTCCACGGCGATGCTGGATGTGCCCTTCGGCTTTGCCCCATCCGATCTGTTTAGTTCCAGGAACTTAGTTGCCAGCGAATCGAAATGAAATGATCCATGCCATATGAAATGTCAAGGTCCCAAAAGGTGAACCTTTGCTTCCAGGCCCTTTGGTTGCAAGTGGTTGCATGTGGTTGCATTTTGTGGGGTGCTCGAAAAAAGGTGGTCGGGGGCTTTCAGGGTTGAAAGCAAGCAGGTATGGAGCTGGGGGTATCCAAATTTGCGGTGGGAGCCAAGAAGCTCCCAAGAGTTCTGTAAGGACGTGGTCCACAACCCGTGTTCAGGGGCACATTTTTGCTCTCCATTCTCAGCAGTTTGGCAAAGACGCAAGCGATTTGTTTATGTTCCACGGCGGCTGAACTGACATGAGGCAAGAACTACCCTCCCTTTTCTACAGGTCTTTTGGGACCGAGCCAGCTTTTGGATCATTTGTGTTTGGGGGGGATCCATCGTAGGTTGACTCAATGGGCATGTGCCAGGGGCTGGAGCGGGGTTGCTTGTTCTTGCTTTACCAGCATTACAGAGGAGTCATCCAAGTGTCAAGGAAAAAGCCAACAGGAGGATCATAGCTTCCTGGAAATACATCAATCCCCCCACCTGCGGCACCAGCCTTTGGGCTTCCGGAAAAGCTTGGCATTGGACTGGAGGCTGGTGGCTGATGGTTTTTGTAGGTAGCTGTGCACCACCCCACCAAGCTGTGCACCAAACCACCAAAAGGGAAGCGCCAACGCCCAGCGCTTCGAGCGTTGGCCGAACCGTTCGCGCAACGCCTTTCTCGCAGGGCCGGCATTGGCCTCTTGGCAGGGCAGATGGGTTCGGACGAGCAGAGCCGTGTTTTGGCGCGGTCAAAGTGGGCATTTCGGGGGTTCACACCATTGCATTGGGTTGACTTGACTGTTGTTGGCACGCTTTTTTGGTTTTAATTTCTGTTGGTCCTGTTCATGTTTAGCAAACAAAGTTTGTTGCTACCATACCAAGGGTAAACCAGGTTGTTATCCTCAGACTTACCCTTCAAATGGTGATTTCAAAAAGTCACACCCCGACAATAACAAGAAAGCAGTCATTTTAAGAACTGAGCAAGGGATGCGTCTCCTTTTGGTCCTGTAGCTTCTGGGTTCCAGGGCCGGGCATGGAGCTCGCCAGTCAATGGATCAACTTCTTTGAGCAATGCGTGGGGTGAACGTAGACGGCGGAATTCCATTGCGGGTCAGAGGGGTGATAAGTTGACGGGTCCTGAACATTGAGGGTGTCGCTTTCATGGATGGTCGGTCGGGTGCAGAGGATGGGGGCTAGCATTGGAGAGCTGCCAAGAATCCAGGTATGTCTCCGCGTCCTTTGGATGCAAGCAACAAAAGGTCCCAACGTGTCCCTTGCTGGGTGGTCTAAGCACCGCCTTTGGGCCAATTCGGAATGAGCTTTGCAAGACCCGCCAAAAGTTTGTGATTTCCTCAAAGAGAGGCCGCCGCAGGGCGCTGTTTTGTTCATTTTGTTTTTTTGTTCACGCCCCTGGCAAAAGCACCAAGCAAAAGCACCAGCTTTGGAACTTCCAAGAAGGCAGCAACAAGGAGGCGCCATCTTCCGCTCAGCTGCCGTGTGCCCCGAGACACGGAGCTGAAAGAGGACATGGAGATGGTGGGGGAGGAGCTCCCCATCGAGCAGGCCATTGCATCTCAGCTACGAGAGCTGCTCGGGGGCTGAGTCAGAGATGCGGATGGACGTTCAAAGCCCGGCTTGTGATCTTTGGGTTTCTTTTCTTCCCCAGAATTAGTTCCCCTTTTTGCTTTTTTGCTTTTTTGGGCTAACCAGGCAAACCATTGTTTTGCTGGGGTCCGATTTTTCTAGCCAAGTTTTGGGCTCACTTCCTGAGGTCATGAACTTTAAACTTTTGGGGAAGACCATGTTAGGGGTAAATGTAAAGCTTGGATACTTTTTTGGGGCCATCCACTCAGCAAGTGAGTGGGACCATTTTCAGTTGCCTCAAAAAGGTGATTACATGTGATCACCTTCTCTTCCTAGGTCCTCTTTGGGCAAGTGAGAAGCTTGGTGGATTTCGTGTTCCTTTCTTCTTTTTTTTGCTAAGAATGGCAACTGATGGGGTGAGTCTGTTTGAAGGCGGACGGGGCGGGGGTAAGGCAGTGAACCCTGCAAGCCAACTTGCTATCCCGGTGGCTGTTCGGGTGGGCCACATGTTTTCGGCTATCTTCCCGGCCACCACAGCGAAGACAACATCCAATGATTTGAACATTTGTTAGGGTGATGGATGGATTGCATGCATGGATCCATGCGTGCAAGCGTTTTTGTTTTTTTTCCACGTGGACGGACAGGTGAGACGGTCAAAATGCGTTTCCATCCAGGTCATTGCCCGCCAGATGGATGGATTTCCCCAACACTATAGTTGTCCAATTGCCTCATGAGAATGGTGTTTGTGATGAGCTTGGCTGACTCCGTCGCTGACATCCGTCATCTTGACACGGAACGTTGCATTCCCTTGTGCAAATATGTTCAAAGGCATCCCCCCCCCGCCCCACCCCCCACCCGCCGTTTCACCCCTTTGCCCTTTTCCCTTTCAGTTCGGTCGGCCTCCCATTTCGTAGCCGGGTCACAGGGCATCACAGGGCTTCCGTTTTAGACTTTAGTCACTTTGAGGGAAAATTGCTTTTTGGCACGTGAAAAGTTTGGCTGCTTTGTTGTCCAGCCTGGGAAAGTAATGCCAGAAAGCCAGTTCATCCTTTTGAACATAGGTGAGGCCTTTCTGATCCTTGGCGACCTACTTTTTGAACAAAACTGATATGTTGCCCACAAACCGGCAAAGCATGATTCACCTTTCGGGGGTCTTTGAGACCCGAGTTCCCCCCCTTGTCTCGAAATAGGGGAACCCTCCGAAGATGTTTTTTGTTTCCTTGTGGTGTTCCTTTGAAACCACTCCAAAAGGGACCCGGTACCCCCAAAAAAAAGCGCCGAGCGGCTTGATGCCCCGAGGAGCGCATCAAGGCCATGCAGATCAAGAGTAGCGACCCCAAGGCCATGCTGGCGCTCTCAGGCCGGGTGGTTTAGGGGGGTCCTGGAGGCTCCCGAAGGTTTCCACAAAAGACGCTGTGGGACCCTGAGGAACCCTCAGGAAGTCTAAGGAACTCTAAGAACCCCAGGAAACCTTACAAAGGCCCTTGGGCTTTGACATCCCTCAAGAAGGGTGGTGCAAGGGGGAGGGGGCCTTTAGGCTTCCAAAAGCTTCCCAAAAAATCCATACAAGTCCCTTTGAAACTCTACTGAGCCCTGGGGCTCTCAGCTACCCACCCCCTCTGTGCCTACCCCCCTTTGGGATTTCATAGTTGGGTTGGTTCAGGAAGACGACGAGGGTCTCATGTGTCAGGGAAGGTCATAGGCCAATTGAAGAATTGGGATAGGTCTTTGCCAAGGGAAGCATGACTGTCTACAAAAGGAGTTTTCACCCCGGCACACATAGGGGAAACTCCTGGGTTTTCTTGTCAAGCAACCCCCAATCAAATGTTCCCGCGGGAAAAAAAACAACACGCGGATGAAGGTGGGTGATCCTTACCTGAGGCTTGCAGATCAACCCAACAAACCCCTTTGCAGAGGTAGGATGTAGAGTTCGATGTAGTTTGGCATTGTTTTCGTTCTTTGGGTATTTTGTTGGATCGACATGGAGACCCCTGGCCGGGGGTGTGTCCACACGTTTGGCAAAAAGAAACTCCTGAGGTACCTGTGGTCCCGTTGAAGCAAACCGCTGGACATATCAATGCGGGCTTGGCGTTTCATTCAAGAAACATTGACTGCTATTGGGTTGGATCTTTAGACTTTTAACTTTTTTGGAAATCAAGGGTTTTTTCCACTAAACCCCAAAAAGCTATTCACTTTTTGCAGGGGGCGCCAACAGCAACCAAGAAACGGTGGTATCCTCCCATCCACCAATACTATAGAACCTGGCGGGTGCCTGGGGGACTCGTTTCCTCAAAAAAAAAGGGAGCTCTGGCGACTTCCATCGCAACGTGGACGGCAGAGTAACCCAAATCAGTGGCAGCATCAAACTGATGACTTGAGCTAGGAAGACAGGAAGGTTCACGTGTAGATCCCGAGGATGTCAATCCAACATCGGCATTACCCAAAGTCTCCCTCAAGTGCCCCACACCTCCGGTGCCGTTGATTTCTCCCTTTTGGGCGGGGCGTACCTTGCGAAAATCAACAACCACACTGCTCCAGAGGTCTGGGGCAATGTCCCCTTCGGCAACTGCCGCAGGATTCAAAAGAATCTCAGTTGCCAAAAGCGAGTCGACCTTTTAACCTTTCGGTTTTCCAGTTTTGGAATCCCATTTTTAGTCATGGCAACCCAAAAGGTGATCACCTTTTATTTCTGGGTCCCTAAGGGGCAAGTGAGTTGAATTCAAAGGCATTTGTTTGGGGCGGTTTTGGGTTGGATCCTATGAAATTTGCGCTAGTTCCCAGAAGGGAGCCCAGGGATTCGGAACCAACCTGGGGATGCCCAAAGGGAAATGATCAGGTGGATGGATAAAAGCGTGGGGTCATTCCCTCCTTTCCCGCAAAGACGGAACGGTTAAAGAATTACTAACTGTATACTCCTATCATGACGAAACTTGGGCTTCAGGTACTGATCATTTGGGCCCTTGCAGTGCGTTCGTTCTCAGTTTGGGCGTTTTCAGGTACTGGAGGTACTGATGCTCATACACCACCAATATAAGCTTGTTAGGCATCATACCCCTTAGCAGACACACCAGGGTGAGTAAGAGGATTACCAACCCAAATGAGCCACAATCAAAACCCGGCTAGATGAAGGTTAGTAAGGGGCAGTCCCAGTCAGAAGTAGTTGCAGCCGCCTTCTTAATTCTTTACATGGTTCTGGATAGAATATTGTAATAGCGGGTTTTGATTGTGACTCAAATGGTGCCGTCTCCCAAACTGACTGGTGAGACTGCGCAGGCATTCTCGGGGAGCTGCAGGCGGGCGTTTGCCAGCTGCGGTTCCGCAAGGATGGCTCTGTAGGCCGCTACGCGGCTCGGACGCATTTTTTTTGGGGGTTCTTCAACCCCGAGGTTACCCTTTTTTGATGGTTTGGAAAGGAAAACCAAAAAGGAAAGCCACCCTGTGTTTTCGTTTTTCTCTTTGGGGGGGGGGGTTCCACCCCTTTTTGGTGGTTTAAAGGAAAGCCACCATTTTGGAGGTCCCCCCAAAACAACAAAAGCCCGTTTTTGGGGTCTGCCGAAAGGTTTTTTTCGGCAGGACGGATTGATGAGGAATTGCTCAGGGCATTCCCCCAGTTTCAATGAACACCACCCGTTGGGAAGTCCAGGGACCTCTGTTAGTTATTTGTTTTGCTACAAAACAGCTAGCAAGAATGGGGTTACCATGCACCTGCCAGGTGGTTTTTTGGGGGCCCCATATTGTGGTCTCTTGTCCTCCCGCAAGCCCCCTTCTTTGTGGTGCCCTCAAATCAACACACCCATAGGACTTTTTGCTTGGTAGGTGTTTGATTGGTTTGTTTCATTGGTCTTGCTTGCTTGTTGCTAACATACCGCGTCTTGGGAAGTCTCGTTCGGTAGAAGTGAACAGGGAGCCCGCAGATTCCAAGGGGCTCTTCGGTTCTTCCGTAGTGAAGCCCCGTTTCAAAATGTTGGTTTGAACCGGGCAGATACGGCCAAGCCATGGGCATGTCTGGTTTAGCATCGCGCGGCATCGATTGAAAGGCCCTTCCTGAAATATGTGCTGTGGTTTGCCAGTTGGCCGCTGGAATAAAAATTGCAGAGCAGCTGTGGCTGAACGTGCAATGGCTTGGTTGCGGCCCTCGGCTCTAACCGTCACCACTTTGCGGGATTTGTCAGACCCGTTTGCCGAGAAATGTATAAAAGCGCTCTCTAGAAAGAAGCAAGTTCCCGACGTTCCACAATCCACGGGTGCAAACAAGGCCCACAGGAGCGCTCTGTAGGTGCGCTGTGGGCTCAAAAGGTGTCGGGGCTTCTCCGAGCCTGTAAAAGATGATCAACACGAGGATGCTGTGGATGGACGAAATCCATTTCGCACCACTTTGAAACCATGGTTGAAACCATTGCTTGTTGTTGTTTGCGTTGGGGAACCGGTGAACATCCCAACTTGGGGTTCTGAACGGTGGTGCGAAATGGATTGCGCAACGATCCACAGTATGAAGCTGGACAACCACCAAGTCCACATGTTTTTTGGCCAACGCCCAACATGTTGACCCCCGGAAGGTTCAAGTATGAAGCTGGCAAGCTTCCCTTTAAGGTTCCACTTGCCTGGGCTACACATGTCTAGCCCAGAACCCAGCACTATCCTTACCCGTTTCGCCGGGTTCCGGGGTGAAAATGGTCGCAGAGACTTCCTGCCAGATGGTTTGCCTCAAAGGGGCGGAAATAAGTTCCTCTTTGTCCACTGATATAACAAATTTTGGGAGGAGACTTGGAAGATCAATTTATTTCCCCTCTCAGGGACCCACTGTCAGGTGCCAGGGTACTTGGAGGGAGTGTACGAACTTTACTTTCAAGGCTTGATTCCTCCTAACACCCCAAACCCGAAGTCTAGTTATTGAGCTCCTTTGTGGGGCTGTCATTTTTTGGCATACGGTTGTTGTTTCGCCATTCCACAACAGAACCCCCCCCCCCCCCAAGGGGGGTCCTGATTTTGGGACAAACCCTTGTAATGTTGACCCTGAATAAGCCCCTGTTTATTAATAAGGCGGTGTCCCTGGTTTTAGTGGGGGATTCAGACCACTTTTGGAGGGGAACCCCCATATCAACAAAACAGGGGTTCATTGATCCGTGGTCAACATTATTACCCCGAGTTGGTCCTCTGGGGGCTAGACCTGTCAAGCCCTAGGTGACCCTGCACGCCTTGCGGATCCGGCGGCCAGAGGATGACCACGTCCTCATGCAGGCACGCTGCCTGCCAAGCGGTGCTGCCTGCCTACGTGAGGAGCATGTTTTTTTGTTTTTTTGTGGCTTTGAGGGGAGTCAAGAGGAGACCACAATTTGTTTGTCGTTTCATTTTTCATGTTGGGCGGGGGGTTGGGACGGATCGGTCTGGTTGGTTGGTTGGTTGGTTTTGGTTGGTTTTGGTTGGTTTTGGTTGGTTTTGGTTGGTTTTGGTTGGTGTTGGTCGGTGTTGGTCGTTTTTGGTTGGTTGGTTGGTTGGTTGGTTGGTTGGTTGGTTGGTTGGTTGGTTGGTTGCTTTGCCGCATCCCCGGCATCATCAGCCTCAATCGGCGCGGGAGTTGTTTATTCGCTCTGATTGAAAGGCAGTTGGGAGTTTCTGGGCGCTGGTTTAAGTTAAGGGGGGGTTGAGGCTGGCTTCGATCTTCATTAGAGTGGGTCTTGTGGTGGTTTGGGGTTGATTTAGTGCTGACACCCAGACCGCTGTTGGGCGGGTTTGGGGTTGACTTTGGGTGGATTTGGGGTTGGCTTGGAGCTGGTTTGTGTTGGGTGTGCTGCTGGCTAAGCAGTGCCTTTAGGGTTGCTTTTGGGATGTGGTTACGTGAGTTTGGTCTCGTTTAGGATTGGTTTTGGGGCAACTGGTGATGGCGGGGAGGTTGCCAGCCCTGCGGAAAACCAGCCCTAGAGGTGTGATCAAGAACTCCGGATTGGTTGTTGGTCCATTAGGGGTAGACATGGGGACAAGCTCGAAATCTATCACAAAAGGACTAATATGAGAATCACAACACAAATCGAGCCCTGCCCTTTCGGGAAGCAGGAATGTTGACCATGGCTTATGTCTAAGTCTATGTGTGTCTGTGTGTGCGTGTGTTTTTTGCGGGATGCCTGAAAGCTCCCCGAGTTCCGTTTTGGACTTGATCGCCAGGTGTTGGAACATCGTGTCAAAGCATGTTGTTGCTTTTCTTGGGTTTCGTTGTGAGCCAAGCCAGGAGGCATAGTATGAAAGGCGCCCAAGGGGCTAGAGGTCACAAACCAAGCCGCACGCCCTCATGGTGAGGTGGGCCGGTGGCGGCTAAGGAACGGCTGCTTGGCGTGGTGGGCAAACCGGGATGATGGCCGTGAGCAAAGGGTCACCAGTTAAAATTCAGACCCAAATCAATCCTGAACCCCTATGCAGGCTGGTAGTGGTTTCCCTTCTTGTGCTGGCCCATGCTGGCCCCCTTGACATGGTTTTGATGAGGAATCCCCTCCCAGCATTGATCACGCCAATTTGGTCTGTGCTGCGCGATTCAGAGGGCGCAGCCACTGACGGCCCATTTGTCCATTGCATAGTTACCCTGCAGATTAACAACCCGAGTTTGGATGGAGTAATTCAGGTTTGGGCAATACTGCGTGGAATGCGGCAATGCTTTGGGATTGCATGTGTTTGGCATTTGAATTTGGGCTGTACCTTTCTTGGGATTTGACATGAATTTGACGACGCTAGTTTAGAATTGCGCAATACTGGCAATACTGCTACAGAAGCACCGTTTATGAAACATGGGTGGGGTCAGGGCAGGCATACTCATTTGGTGCGACCAACCATAATTCTTCACATGCGTACTTATATAAATAAGTATATTGCCCTGCCAGAAATCATCACCATTGGAAGTTCAGAAGTCTTGTCTGATGCGTGCCTTGGCTGGAAGCAGTATGCAGCAGCTGAGGCGAAGCAATGCCAACAATGGGATGTGCTCGAAAGTGCGGAATCTGCATGTTGGCCCCCAATAAATCGAAGGGACAAAAAAGAAAAGCAACACAGTCCAGGGACGCAAGGTGCCGCATTTTGACACCCCCTAAAATTTCAATCAAACCTGACCACCCCCTTTTGGGTGATATTCAGAAGGAAATGAAGAGGAACCGACTGGGTTCGTGGAGCCCGATTTTGAGACATGTTGATTAATTTTCCTTTCTTGCGGGCACTTGCAAGTATATGGAGTGGGGGGGAGGGGGGCACCCCGTTTTGGCCTATTGAGATCTTCAGGCTTCGTGCCGATGTGCGGGTATCCTGGAAGCAAGCGGCCCTCTGCCAAAGACTTCAACAACTTCATCGACTTCCTCATTCGACGCTCGACGCGAGCGAGTTTGGGGAAAGAAGTGGCATATTGGTCAGACATGTCCGGTACAAACTGAAGCAACACGCGGAGTGCTGACCCATGGCTGTGGGAGACTCTCAGGAAATTCTGCTACAGGGTACTGGGGTTAAGTCGTAGCATCGTGTGTGAAGTCGTGGCGGCTGAGCGTTTGCCATTGGGGAAACCATGTAGCCGGGCATCAGCTTAAGAGATATTCACAGCTGTTAGTTAAACTAGTTTTGCTTCAGGGGAGCGTGTGCCGTTGGGAAAAGCTTCAGTTGGAAGTTGTTATGCTTGTCAGGTTCTGCCGCGGTGTCTGCAACTTGCTTTCAAACCACGCACGTAGAGGGTTTCAACTTTCTGAAAGGACTCTGACTTGCCTGCCCCACCGTTGCCTCCACCTGCAAAAGCTCCTTCTGAGCCTGCTTCTGATGATAACACGGAGCTAGACAAGGCTTGGCGAATGTGAATTTAGTGGCCAGGGTTTGAAACTTGCGCGGTTTGAAAGCGTGGCCAATATGATTCGGGATTTGGATGACTCAAAATATGTTGTGCGCCGTTGTGAAAACCCTTTCATGTTACTTGAAAGCACCTGGTTGTAGCGTTTCCAGTGTGTTTCATCTCTCCTTTGCGCAACAAAAGCACAGAACACCCAACGTAGTTCCATGCAGTTCCACTGTCACCCCCTTTTCATGTCACCTCGAAGTGCTCGCTCGCGTTAGCGTTTACAATGTGTTTGCGTGAAAATGCTGTGACTTAAAACGCCCTGCTAGGACTTAACGCGATCAGAGCGTTTCCAAGCGACTGCAAGGACTTAACTCGAGATGCAAGGACTAAACCCACACTTGTCGGCTGAAATATTGGACTGCCGTGTTGGGTGCGCGCGCTGAGAAAAAGCACTCTTCCACCACCATGGCAAGCCATGCACAGAGCCCCTAGCCCCCCTACAGGGGGGCAAGCGCTTGGTTTAGACCAGCCCCGGATTTTTGTTTTGAAGCGAGACCGAAGGGCGGTTGAAACAACAGCGGTTCAAGTTATAGCCATGGAAGTGAACAGAGGGTTGTCCAGAGGGAAAGTTGTCTTCCAACACCCTCCTGTCAGCTTCTGTGCTGGTTGGAAGGACGGCAAACCATGCTCAACAAACACGCAGCTCAGAGAAGAATGAGTCGGCGAGGTCAAGCTGCCACATGGGTATTGACGAGCATCACGGCCTGAGGTGAGCTCAAGGGTGTGCTGGGCGGCCAGCCTTTGACCAAAACAGGCAGGCGGGCGGACAAAACCGCCGGTGGCTTGGGGCTGTCGCATGTAGCATGCCGTGGCCTTGGCGTCCGCGAGGGATGCCCTGAAGAAACCCCTGGAGAACGAAAGATGTCCCATTTTGAAGTGGGAATCCGGATTATCACTTGCCGGGCTCAACGTTGAGAAAATTGCTGAGGGCATCCACCGTACTGAACAAATGAGGACGAGCCCTGGGCTCTGGGCGGGGAAACGACGACGTAGGTCCTTTAAGGTTGGGGTTGCATGCAGTTGGACATTTCCGATTTTATGTTTTGGAATGTTCACAGCACTTGCAGCTGTTCTTCAGGCGTGGCCATCCTTTTCTTGTGTGGGTAAGCTTCTTTTTCTTCTTCGTCCTCAACTTGGAGTAGTCCAAGTTGGGGCTGCGGTGCTTCTTGGTGTTTGTTTCGCTTCTTGTTTTTCTTCTTGAAGACGACCCCAAAATCATGGGGGCTGGCGGGAGGGAGCCTAAATATGTCCTAAAGGCCTTATTAAGAGCTGAATGAGGGCTGACTTGGGCTCCCTCCCTTCCCCTCTCTCCCCCAGACCCCATGACAAAATTTCCCTTGATTGATTGAAGACCCCAAAAAGGGTCGAAGTCCCGGTGCCGCAGGGAGCACCACGGATGTCTTCAAGGAGCAATCGCCGCAGTTCGAGTCTTGGCCACCTCGACCCTAGCTCAGTGGCCCAAAACTGGTTCGACCTTTCCTTTAGCGCGCTCAGAATGCGAAGTTTCGGGGAGGGGAGTTCGACCCCTGGAAGTTTCCATGCCTTCTCTGGCGCAGTTTGCCAAGGGATGTTAGGACTTTAACTTTTTTTGCCCAACGAATGAATTGGTTTTCCGAATTAAACCACCAAAATGTTTAAAAAAGCTTGTAGCAGGGGAGCAGAGTTTGCAACCGAGCTTCAACATTTTTGTGTTCCTGTCTTGTTTTGTTTTCCAGTTTTAGCCAGTTCCCCAGCTGAAAGGCTTGGGCTCCATAGGCCCGGGTGTTCGGGAGCGGCTGTTCTGGGGTGTCCGGCTGCCGGGGGTTGCTATGGATGCCGTGGAAAAAGGCGCCATTTGCCTTCGCTTGCCCAAAGCGAATCGACCTTGTGACCTTGTGGTTTTCCAATTTTGGGATCCCATCTTTAGCAAAGGTCCCAAAAGGTGATCACCTTTTATTTCCAGGTCTTTTGGGCGACTGAGATTTTCCTTCGCTTGAAGCTCTGAGAGGATAAGTATTTGAAGCTTGCTGGTCAAATCTTGGGTCGTTTCATTGATTTCTGGTCTTTGGTGTGACTTTCGCCCTGACCTTTTGGAAGCCGGCCCTGACCTTTTGCTCAGGCGGGAAGCAAATAACCCAGCAAATATCCCAGCAGTTCGTCACCAGTTTCATAATTTTCCGATTTGGAAACCAATGGGGATGGATATAAGTTGAAGACCAGGTCCCGGTTTCAAGCATCTGGTGGCCAAGTCATGGATTTCCTTCTGGGAAAGAGCGCGGTGAACAACAAGCCTTCAAAGGTATTGTAGTTTTGACTTGGCTTGGGACGGCGCGTGCCAAAGCTTGTTGTGCTCTATGGGGTGTGGCATTCTTTTGGGGGATGGTGATCAAATGGATGAACAATACCCCGCACCAGTTAGGATGGATGAAGCCCTATGAATACTGAGTTAAACCACCTACCAACTATTGCAGGATAAGGCAATACTGGTTTGCATGTTGTCAGGGGCAGGTTGGTCTTCGCACTTCCCCACGTTTGCCAGTTGCGCTGAAGGAAAATGCGATGGACCAGAACCGGGAGATTCCTTCGGGACGGTACTGGAAGAGAGTAGTTGGAGTGGTCTTTCAAGGAAATGCGTAGGCGCTACTGCCTCAGGCAGTTGTATGGCGGCCTTGATTGCTGGCAACCCTGGAGCCTTGCCCCTTTGAGGGGGGCCCCCCCAAACAGGCTGAGACAGGAGAAACTTGTGGCCCTTTTTCCGGAGACCCTTCAAAATAGGGTCTCCTGCAATATCCTGTCCGCTTGTTGTATCATTTTCTAAGGTCGACCAAATCACCCAAATCGGAGGTGTTTGAGGAGGGACCCCGGGGCAATTTGATGCTTTCACCCGATCCAAGGGCACCATGACGACCTACCGGCGCATGCTCCAGCAACTTGAGGCAGCAGGTTCTGACATGAGGGCTCTTGCGAATAAACGACCCCTTGCCGGAGATTCAATCATCGGCTTTGGTTGCCATGTTGGGTGAGTCTCCCTGGGGCGATGTTTAAAGGACACATTTGGGAACCCTTATGCAGCTAAGTCACCTGGCAAGACTTCCAACCATTGCCGAAAAGCTGGCCTCTCTTCGAGATTCTACTTGAGGATTGCATGTGCGCATGTGGGGGTGGTGCGGCATAGCTGAGGCCAAACGAGCTTATGATAAAGCATCCCTTGAGTCCTCTTCCCAGTTTGCGGGTTTTACTTTGCTCAGACAAGGCGCGCTACCCTTTTCTTCCTGATGGACAGACTCGCCGGGAATGAAAGTCAGCAGCCAATAATTCTGCGCCAGCATTCCGAAAAGTGGCCAAGTTTCAAGCCCTACCATGGAGAGAGCAAATCCACACACCAAATGTTAGGCGGTGGCTTGTCCCAGTATTCCCAGGGTTTTTATCCTTCCCAACTGGTGCAGGATGTGTCCATCCACAGTATATCCTCCCACCAACTAACACGGATTCTGACAGGGGCTCCTGGCTTGGACGTGCGTCAGGTTCCATGTCAAGATTGGTGGGAGGGTAGCCACCTCATCCTACGTGTCATATCAAAGGCATGCGACCCTGCAGCCTCGTCAGAGGAAGAGCTTGTGCCTCGGCAGGGTGATGAGCCGCAAGCGGAATTGCCAAAAGTCACAGCGCGTCGTCCCTTTTGACAGGCTGGTGTCCAGCTCGTGGGTTGGTTACACATATATATATAGATAGAAAAGTGTGTGTATATAGATTTACATACATGCATACATACATACATACATATATACATAGGTACTTCCGGGTTTTGGCAGACCATTTTTTTGGCTTGGTCGTATTGTTCTTGTAGGGGTTGTTTGCAGTCATGGCTTAATAAGTTTTTTCTTGTAGGGGTTTCTTGCAGTGGCTTAAATCAGATCCTTTTTTTCAATTTGGCTGCCATTCCGGGTGTCCAGACGGCCGGACGCCCCACCTGAAACCATGGCTGAGTGGGGATCTTGATAATTACCCCTCACTTTTCAAAACAAATCGACTGTTTAACCCTTTGCAGGTCCACATTCAGTAAAGGTCCCGAAAGGTTAAACCTGTTCTTTCAAGGTCCTTTGACCAAGTGAGCCTTTGCAGATTAACATGGGACCCAAAAACACGTTACCGGTGGAGGAATCTCCTTCTGGGGGGACCTCTTTTGCAGTGGTGCCCGTTTCGCCTTTTTGTTTGGAGGGGGTTCCCTGAGAACCTACTGCCGAACAACAGGGTGTCCTTTTCTTCCCATGCCACTGGGGGGATTTGGGTTAATGTTGACCCCAAATTAGTACACCCCTGTTTATTGATATGGGGTGTTCCTCTCCAAAAGTGATGAATCACCACTAAAACCGAGGACACCCCCCATATTAATAAACAGGGGTTTATTCGTCCGGGGTGAAAATGAATGAAACTGGAGCAATGCCAAAGCCCACCCCGAGCTGAGGAAGCTTGACCCATCGGTGCAGATATTGAACCAGCTGGGCCCGCCCTGCCAGCCGGCCGCAGTTGGTGAATCGATCCCGGTTTTTGGCTAATGGGTTTGGTAGAATAGGCGGCAAACTTCCATTTGCTTAAGAATATATTTATGTGTGTTTTTTTGTTTTCCCCCTTCTTGGCTTTCAAGGGAATCTATCACTACTGGATATATTATTATTTTTAATTTTCCCGGGGGCTTAAGCAAATGGAAGCAAACCGGTCACATTTTGGTTGGACAAGGGCCTGGTGACTGCTTGTCCGGGGTGGGGGTGTTGCCTTTTGAGGTCCAAATCCCGAGGTTCTCCGAAGAATGAGCGTCAACAAACCACTAGCCAAGTTTCTGAGCAAGATGTGTAAGGGCCTTGGTGCCCGACGTTCGTTGTTGCCTGGTTTTGTCGTCGCCTGGGGTTGTCGTTGCCTAGTTTTGTCGTTGCCTGGTTTTGTTGTTGCCTGGTTTCCAGGAATGCCACGGTATACCACGAACAATGATATGAATGACGCACTGCCCGATATCTGCCTTTCCTTCTCCAGGGGAAGCCCATCATCAAGATCTTGAAAGGAACACGTTCTTTTTCGAGTTTCTTTGGTTGCAACATGTTGAAACTGAGGCTCGCTTCATGCAGGACAACTTTCCGGCAACATGCGTTTCACCCCTTGTTTCCCGTTCCGGTTAACAACAGGGTTCTGAGAATTCGACCCTTGGATTCCGGGCTCCAAATCCCATTGGTTGCAAGTGTGTCTCGGTTTTTCCTGGGCGCCTTTTGCCGTCTGTTTTTCTCTCAGGTACCCCTTCTCGTTGGCTTTGTTGGGATTCTCGGTTTGTGGGGGAGGTACCGTTTGCCTTCCCCCAACCACCAAAAACCCCCAAACCGCCGAGGGCTTGGCGACTTTTCCGAACCGAAGCGCCGCTTCGGAACTCGGGGCCAGGCCTCATCCAGGGCATTACGATGGCCAGCTGCAGCGTCATCGTGGTGCTGCGAGCCGCGGCTTTCGCCATGGGGCGTCCGACGATTTTTTCGTGTTTTTTTGACAAATTCGGGTCTTCCACCGGAGAAACAGGGGGTATAACGAGGGGAAGCCATGATTTATATCGGTCCTTTGCTTGGGGGCCAATTCTTGATTCAGGTTTTGGGATTAGAGTAGAATTTGCAGATGGGGTAGGGCTGAGAGCGTTCGGTGACGCTTTGGGGGCGGGGGGGTGGAGACGGTCGAACCCCCAGTTTCATGAGAATCTCACTTCCTGAGTTCCGGAACTCGGACTTGATCGTCACTTGGGTTTGAACCATTCTAGTGGTAGATAAACAGTTTGGACTTTTTTCGGCCTAACCACTCAGGAAGTGAGGAATAAATTTGGATGACCTAGCGAGAGTGGTAGCTCAAAATGCCTCTACAACCCTAGACATGGCGCGGGTCTACGATGTCTGGCGCCATTCAGAGTTTCGCACATGTTCGGCCCAAGGTGAAAACGACTCGGACGTGCGACAGCAAAACCCCGGGCATTGGGCCCGTGCCGCATGCTGAAAGCCAACTTGCCCTTTGGGCCTACTTAGAATCAGGGGTTTGACAGGTTCAAGGGGGCGGAAACTCTTTGATGAACCCCCCTTATGCACTTCCATCCTTTGGGTCGTGCTTTGGTTTGAACCTTTGGAAGGTGCCTCCGAGTGGTTGTCGGGGTTCCTCCGAGACCTACAGATACGGTGGATGCCCTTACTTGTTGCAAGTAAATCAACCACAGCCCAGGGAATACGGGGTTTCCGGGTTTGGGATCAAGAGGTTGATCCCCACTTCTGTGCTCCAAGGGCTCTCCCGCCCTTTAGCCGGGGAGAGTTATTCTTTAAGAAGCCCCTTTTGTTGTAGGTGGTCATTTCCCACAGCCCTGCCCTTATTCCCTTCTTGCACTATTTGGGGATATTTGAGCCACAATCAAAACGCGGGTAGATGAAGGTTAGTAAGGGACGATCCCAACCATAAATAGCTGCGGCCGCCCTCTTAATCCTGTACATGGCTCTGGGTACACCATTTTAGTACCAGGTTTTGATTGCGACTCATTTGGGGCATCCACCTTTCCCAAGGTGCCACCTGGAAACGGCTTAAGCGAGAGAACGATTCGCCCGCGCTCAGGAAGTGCCAGTGAGGCAGAGGTCTATGCCTGGCTGCCGCCGGCACTGGCGGCACCTGGGGCGTTTTTTGTTTTTGTGTGTGTGTGAAAGGTGAACCAAGTGTTCCATTTGGGTAGGAATATGTGTTATTTTCCCCTAGCCTATGGAATCTATCACAACTGGAAATATGTTTTGGCTCCAGGAGACTTCAGCAAATGGAGGATGTTGGGGGTCCCATATGTCGAGCCCGCATGAAACAACCTTGCACTAGTAGAAAGCTGTGTCCACCAAAGTGAAGGATCCCCTCTTAAATCGATTTTTGCGGTAAGCCGCCCCCTTGATTTTCTGGAAAAAGGCTTGCCAGGGTCATAGTCACGACCACGTCAAACATCAAAACTACTTGGCTCAAGGATGGCAGGGAAATCGTTGGGCTGACTGTTCCGAACTGTCTTCTCCCGTTGGCTTCAAAGGGTCAGAGGTTACGACTGGCAAGTGCTTTGTAGTTAGGAAAATGGAGGCTAGGCCCTGTCAACGCCGTTTGCGACCCTGAGAAGTTTTGGGGTTGGGAAGGGAGGTTGTGCTGTTGTTGCCCGCTGTTGCTTGAGCACCTCGACTGTCAAGGGGGGGCGGCCAGGTAGCTTGCAAGGCCCACTGGCATGCTCATTTGCCTTTGACACCAGGCACCGGCCTTGTAAAGAGGGTTCCGTTGTTAGACTACCCCAAGGCAGACTTCAATTTAGGTGTGATTGATTCCCCCAAAAAGGGAAACCCCTCAGTTTAAGTCAAAAAACGGATCCCAGCTTGTATATGCAGCTTGTTCATGTTCTACATTTGGCTTTGGATGCTCCTACTTGACCTCAGGCCGAGCCATGTCTTGGGTTTAAAAGCCCTCGCTTCTTGCAAGAGGGCTGGGGCTGCGGGGCTGTAAACACCCCTGGATCAACTACGTTGCCTAGGTCCGGGGGGGGGGGGGGGCAGCGCTGGATTTTCCGGCCCAACACTCAGCCTGCTTGAGGCTAGTCTATTCTTATGGAAGTTTACATGAAACCCAAAGAAAAGGCCAATATGAAGAAGACCTTGTTTCTGTGTGGCCCCTTTCTGCTGCTGCACGTGAAAGGGGCTGATTAGCTGAACTGCTCCTTGAGTTGTGTGCTTACGCCCCCCATTGAAGGAGAGCTTTACCTGGACAGGCACATGAACGCCTTGTCTTTGCTGTAGCCTTTGACCTATGCGTCGCCGCAGCCGAGGATAAGCTGGACGACAGCAACGAGACCAAGAGACTTGGATAGAGGTGATCCAAGTGTTGCAAGGACTTGGCTGTGTAACAAATTCTGGCCCCCCGGCGGGTTCGTCGGCATATGTCTTGCTGTTGTAGCAGACGTGTGACCTTCAAGCTTGCTGGTTCTGACTTGTCCGCGAAGCCCCACACAGGTGAGCACCCGGGATTTCCAGCTCCTTTGGACATGACAACCTCAGGTTGAAAGATGCTTAGCCAGTTGGCGTTCACAGAGTTGGACAGGGCCCACACTTGTCGCTTTGAGCGCCCTCATGCACATTGACGATCCTCAGCTCCGAAGCCTCTCCGGGCACAAGGGGAAGGATCCATCGAGGGGGCCCCAAGCCCCATGTTTTCTTCGAACCTCGGAATGCTGCACGGTGGTTTCCCATTTAGTCCCTCTACTCCAAGAACCTTTAAAAATAAAGGATGCAAACGAAAAACCTGGTTTTGAGCCTGTTGCTTACTGAAAACAGGGTTCTTGGAGTAGAGGGATCTCTATACAGAAGCCTGGGGTTGAACCCCCAAACCCCCAAACCACCAGTCCAAAGCACCAACAAGGGGTATACGCTGACTGCGGCTGGTTTCGCGGAAACTTGCGGGACATTTCGGCTAAGGCAAGAGGTGAAAAACTGGGCGCTGCGGTTCAGTGAGCAGATCTGTAGCTGGGCCGCCCGCCAGGGCTGATGGGTTAGGGGGAATTGTTGCACGTTGAAGGTAGCTGGCCCGGTTTTCCCATCGGGCTTAATCATCCTACCCTGTGTTCCCCGCTTGGTGTTACTTCGCCATGTCATCCTATGTACCCCACTTGGTGTTGTTTCTAGATTGCCGCTATGTGATTCCTATTGGCCCGGCGGCGGAATGCTGACCCGAGAAGGTTGTACAGTTGAAGAGCCTGTGCCGTTCGACTTGGGCGTTCCGATCGCTCAAAGCGAATCGACCGGGTCTGACCTTGTTTTGCCAGACTGTCCCTCCCAGCAATTGACATGGAACCTGGCAGGGGTGCCTTTAAAGGTAAAATGGTCCAAACCCGGACACCCCCCGAACGTTAGGTTCCATGTTAACTAGTGGGAGGCGAACTAAGCTATTTTGTTATTCGCGCGCAACAAGTTTAATGACTGTTTGCAGTGCGGCGCGTGTCTTTGAAGCCAGTTTGAGAACGGCTGGGACATGCGAGGCTCAGCATTTATTGGCCTTCGGGAGTCACCGAGGAATCGCCGCAAGATTCGCGCCGGATGCTTAATGTATGCATTCCATGGACCGTACCCTTGGCCGCGCGGCCTATGGCGAGCGTTTCCTCCGGGTGACTTCTGACAATCTGAAGCCGGCGTACTTCCGATCCATGTGCTCCTGTGGAATGACCGGCTTCATGCAAGCCACGCGCCCGTCGTCCATGGAAAGCCCCGCCACAGTTACATTCGTTTCGCAAGGTGGGTGACCTCATATTTCTTGTCTGTCAGTGGTCCGTGGTGGTCATTCAACTGAAAAGGGCCGCAAGCTTGAGGTAGGTAGTTCAATTATGCTTTCGCTGCAGAAGTGGCGCTCAGACCACCCCGGATGCATCCTCGACATATCCAAAACATGCGAAGGGTCCACTTCATGGGACACCCCCGATTAGTCAAAAAAAGATCAACTCATCCGGGGCTTGCATTATATCATGAGAAGAGCAGGCGTGTGGAAGATCTCTCCATGGCTCGGCGATAGAATGAGTGCCAAGAATCGCAGGACGCTACCATCCACACGCACGAAGGTGTGTGTGTGCGCTTTAGCACTTGTTATTGCATGTTTTATTACATTTGCATTCTGTTTTTTTTTTTTTTTAATGTATATTTTGGGTACCCGTTTTAGGCTGATCGACAGGAAATCCCAAGCGAGCAAATGTCCCCCTATTTTGAAAACCCTTCATTCCTGGCGTGGCTCATCTGACTCTCCCACATCCGCCGGAATCCGACGGCGCTCTGGTTATGATATCATTTTTGCGCAGTTTTCGCGTGCTGGTTCTCAAAGGGACGCGGCACTTTCAGCTACTTGTGCTGCGTGGCGCAAAAGTGGCCTGATCGCCGCGGTGCTGCCCAATGGACTGTTTGGTCCAGTGGGTGTTCATGGCCGGCTGCTTGCCAGAAGCAGGCCTCGCATTTTTGTTCTTCGGAGGCTTGCTATGGGTGTAGCGTTTTGAGGGCACCCTTCATGCCGATTTCAGGGGTCTGGGCGACGGGGCAAGCGTCATTTCTGGGCCCCCCCTATTTTCACACGTTGAATTTTCAAGCCCTGGCGTGGACTTCGACTTCGGCATTATTTTTTTGAGGCTGTCACTTGCGGCGTTTGCGTTTTGGAGCTCTGACACCAGCCATGCCTTTCAGGAAGATCCCTGGATCCAGGTGTTTTCTGCATACGAGACTAAGCCAACCTTAATGACAGCATGCTTACCCTCCCACTGGCGAACCTGGAAGCTGACTGGGTGGTACGCCAATGGCCTCGTAAAGGAACTTTCTGCTGAGTTTCATGTTGGGCGGGTACAAAGATGGTACATCTTCAGAAGCCTTACTCTACTCTAGTTCTCCTTTCTGAGCGGGGCTGTCTCCAGCGACCGGCTGAGGCTCCCCCGAGGCTGGGCGAGAAAGCGGTTGCGAAGCTACACCCCTACAAACGAACGGAAAAAGGGGTCGACAAACGGGTTTTTGGGTTCCATGTAAATCTGGGGGTGCGCTGTCAGGTCTTCACTCTTGGAGTGTGTTTACTTTGTGGGCTTTAGTCCTGATTCAAGTGTTTGCTACCATGCCAAGGGGTGGGAAGTGCGTATCCCAGCTTGGGCGAATCGGCAAACTGGTTGGCTTCCTGGTATCCCTGCTGTTCGAATTCAGTTTGAGCAATGACCACGCCAGCTCAAATTTGGGTGATGTTCGCATGAGTGAGCCAGACGCGATCCCCCGAAGTGCCACAGGGGGGGGTGTTCCCTGCCAGAAGAGCCAAGACCACTTCGGTGCTTCGATCCTGGGCCCCCCGTGACTTGCTGAGGCTCCCCCCCAAAAAAAAGGACACCCGGAATTTTGGGAGTTGCCTCTCAAAGCTGAAGATTTGCCCAGCCACTCAAGGGGGACTGGGGCTTGCAAAAGAACAAGCCCCCGGGTGCTTTTCGACCTCTCTTGACCTCTTTGATCAGGTATAGCCCTTAGTTGGTGGTTTGAATTGGTGGGAGCTGAACCCCCTCTACAAGAGCCAGGGGAAGCCCATCCATCTCTGGCCAGGTGCGATCTGGTCGGCATCCGCTCAGCGCCAACATGGTGGCAGCTTGGATGACCTCGCCTGGCGGCTTCTCTCTTTTCTTCTTTTTTTTCAGCACGGCTTTTGGGTCGGGCTGAAGGACTCGTTTGCTTGTGTTTGCTTCCACGCGCTGAGTTGCTGGACTTGAGACTTTTTGGGAAGACCAGGTAAACAAACAGTTTTTTTCTTTTTTCTGGCCAATCTACTGGGGGAGTGAGTTCCAAACTGTCCAACAGAAACTTCAAGGAATGGACAGACTAACCGAACAGGACCCCTTTCTCTCAACATGCCGATCCTTTCTTTAGCCATGCCGATGTGTTTGTCTCACAGCGGAAGCAACTAGGTGAAACCATTTGCATATATTTGCATCATGGCGCCTTTTGATGTCGAAATGTGAAGGCCATCCAAGCTGAAACGTGTTTGTCTCAACCTGAAGCTGCCTCAAAGGGTTTCATTCCTTTTGGTCACCCGTTTAACCGAGCCACAAAAGAGGTGTCCCCCTAAAAGAACAAATCTCGTGGAGTTCCAAGCCGTGGCAAGTTGGCACTTTCAGGCGATCGCTAGGTTTGCCCATGGAGACTGCTTGGATCAGTAACGACGAGTGGGTTTTGTGGTGTCAAACAACCCAAGAGAGAGGGTTTCCTCAACAAAAGCCTCCAGTGGCCATGGTGTCCTTGCGCGGTCTTTTGAAACATGCAGTTGTGTGGGTCTGTCCAGTCGCGCGGGTTTTTTGGACAGCTGTGGTTGATTTTGTTGACCCCTTCCATTCCAACTTCTGGGAGGTCCGAGTGAATGTTCCAACAGCCTTCGCACGCGAGGCGCGATGAAGGCTCGTTCTCCGCTTTCGATCGGATGGCTTGTAATGTGGGTCTAGGAAAGGAATGCTAAGCCACAGGTTTCCCTTTGTGCTGGCAGGTCCAGGTGTAGCAGCAGGCAACTGCATGTGAAATGTCTATGGGGCCAAACGTGGAATCATTTCCCCTTGGGCAAAATTTACATATGAGCTAAATACTCCAAGGACCCAATCGCTTAACTTGACTCGGGAGTTTTGGCCCCCTGGCTACCAGTTGTGTCTTTTGGACGGGAGGGTAGTTCTTGAACTTGTGCTGGTTCCACAGGATTACTCAGATTCGGGAGGTGTTGCAGAAAGCCAACATGCGTGTGGTCTTGCTTGCTTTTTGTTCCTCGTTTCTGGCCGGAGTGATTCCCATAGCGCGAAACTTGCATCCAGCTTGTCCGCTGCTGCTGAGTTCATCAACGCCATGATGCCTCCAACCACAATGAGTGCAGCCTTGTTGATTTGAGCGGGGTGGTGTTGGAAAGGGACACATGCGCCAAGAGCAACATTATTATTGGGGTATCGGTTTTGAGTCGGCCCTTCTCGGTTGTGCAGGTTGGTGGCTGTGGGTTCTGGGTAGCCTGTAGACGTTTCTGGTTTGAACATTACCGGTTATTCCAATTAGGAGCTGTGGTGGGGGAAGAAAAGACGGTACCCCCCGCCCTTCCACCCCTTTGCTGAACCTGTCCCATACGACAGGACAAGCCTGGGCTGAATTACTTGAATTCAGTGCAGAATTCGGCTCTGCGGTTGGTCGGCGGTGTGCCACGCTTGCGCACCACACGCAGTCGGTTCCACTCTTGGCCCTTGCATCAATTTTGGTTGTCTACCTGGAGTCTCCGTGACCCTTTAAAAATGGGTCAATGACCCCATCATTTTGGGTAATGGCCCCATTTTTTAAGGCTCATGGACACTCCGGGTAGTTCGCCCTCGTTTCTAGACATCGCCTTGAAGCAAGGCGTTTGGGGGTCCCACTGGGCAGCCGCAGAAAAATTCGCTTCAAGGGCAACCGCTCTCTTGGGCGCGAGTTGCTCAAAAACATGTCGCGGAAGGCGGGGTTGGGCGGGTTGGCAACTTGTTGAGATGAATCGAGGCTTCGACCTGTTGACCTAAGTTTGGCAACCTTTTTTTTTGGCAACCATGTGTAGTCGTGGCACGCGTTGATCACCAGTTTTGTTTGCCAGGTTCTTTGGGCTGAGTGCTTCCGATGCGAAAATCCGGGGGTCCCTTGGAAACCCTCACAGGGACCCAGGCAGGAGAGGCACCCAGAGACATGGTAGAGGTGATTTTGTTTTCGACTGGGTAAGGTGAAGTTCAACCACCGGTGCCAACTTTTTCCCTTTCTTTTTTGGTTGGGAGGGCAAGCCCCTAAAACAGACTACAGAAAAAAGAAACGGTACCAACTGATTCTAACTTCTCGACTGGACCTAGAATTTCATCTGACTTTTGGTGAGTGGCTCACACAAACACCTCATTTCGATCAGGCCTCTTGGTCTTTTGGTCTGGCGCCCTCTCTTTGTCTGGGCCAACCACCGCTTTCGGCACGGCCGTCGTGGTGCCGTTTAACGGGTGGTCTCGGGGGAAAAAAAACAAACGAGGGGGCCGTCAGTTCATGTCGCTTGTAGTAATGGCTGCCGTGGGCGAATGCAACTGGAGTGAACTCAGCGGTCAAGACATCAGAACACGTGGAGCACAAGCTTCTTTGTGTGACCGTCCGAGTCTCCACACTTCAACATCCCAACCATTCCGGTTGCTGGCAGTGAACTAAGTGTATTGCTGATTGGGAAACATACTGTAAAAAAAACAAAATCCTACACCACCGCCTAAGAATCCCAGGAATGAGTCCAATGGAAATACCAACAAGCAATTGCTTCCCATGGTCTGTTAGGACTTCAGCTTTTTGCCAACTAGCGGATTTTCCTTATCAAACCACTAAAATGTTAAACTTTTAGCAGGGGAGCAGAAAGCATGTGGCAAACACGTTTCTTGACTGCTATGGGGTTGGATCTTTAGACTTTAACTGTTTTTGGGAAACGAAGGGGTTTTCCACTAAGCCCACCAACAAGTTAAACTTTTTGCAGAGGGGTCAACAGCAACAAAGGTTTACACACTTTTGTTGTGGGGGGCGGCATTGGACTTGAGTACTACGGGCCGCAGCCATTGGAGCTGCATCAACATTTCGCCGCCATGCCGAAGGCAGCAACCCTGATGGCTGCAGGCGAGACGCGCCTGTTTATTTAGTTATTTAGTTAAGTATTGATTTATTTATTTATTTATTATTGTTATTACTATTTTTATAATTGTAAGTGGTTTACCCTGAATTGTTGGTTTCCTTTGATTGTTCTTTACAACCACCAAACAAGGCGAATCGACACAACCAGGACCCCCACGCATGAAGAATTAGGAGGTTTGTTATACCCAGAAGTGAACATCAGGTTGATGCCCAAAGCCAGTGAAACGCTCGAGCTCCAGCACGGCCTGTTTGGAAATGGTATACGCCTAAGAGGGGGTTTGCTGGACTTGTAGTAAGGGGCTTGCTGGGCTTGAAAACCCAGCGCTTGCATTTCCCGAAAAGTATCCAAGGGAGCCACCTTGAAAACCAAAAGGAAGCCGGCTCACCTGTGGAAGGATGGAATCTTGTGCCACTTTGAAACCATGGGAAACCATTGTCCGTCAGCCTTTGCTGGGGAAGAATCTTCATTCCAGGGTTTCCTAGGTGGTGCGAAATGGCTGTGGGTCAACACCAATGGGATCCCATTTTGGGGTAGGTGCACCACCCATTGTACTCTATTTTAGTAGGGGGGATTGAATCGGATGTTCACTGGGGGTACGATTTGGGTTTTGACCCGTGGCCAACTGGATTTCGCAACCATCCGAAGGCTTGACTGGGATCTGGGAAGCATCCACTTGACAGGCGCCCTGGGCGCTTTGGGGACGACCTTCCTGGCCGGACCATCCGCCTCATCCGTCTCACCCGCCCGCGCCTCTCCCGCCCTCCGGGGCCGGGCGGGAGAAGCGCAAGCGCTGCTCGGCGAGTCGGTTTTTCGGGGCGGCCGAGGGTGCGGAGCAAAGAAAGCCCGGCATCGCTGACGCTTGGGTTTAGGGTCAAACTTGTCATTTTTCCTCAAAGGGAAGCAGGAGTGTAATAGGCGATTCATGGGTGTTTCTTTCCAAACCCCGTTTATCCAGACCCCGTTTAAGCTCTTGAAGCGACCAGCTGGGTGCTGTTGAGCAGATCTCAGAAAGGCGTTGGTTTGTGTGACCTTATTCAGGGTGGCAAATAGCAATGATGCGCATCACATGTACATATGCATATATGTATATGACAAAATAGGGTTCCACCTCATTTCTGCTTTCTGTCTTCCCAAAGCAAGGTGTTTTCTCAGTCGCCAGCAGTCTTCAAGGACTGTGGCTTTCGCAGGGTGTTCTTGATGGTTGCTAGCTTTATTTGGGCATGTCGTTCTTGAGTATCCCCCCAAGGATGGGTTGTTGTCCTTTTGGTTGTCCTTTAAAACCACCCAAAAGGGGGACCCTGAAGAACAAAAGACACACCATGACACACCTATTTCCCCGTGTTTGGGTGAGTTTCCCTTACCTTGGCAACCCCAGGAGCTCAAGGAGAACCAGCCTAAAGCGCCGGCATGGGGTTGACAACAAGGCCTCTGAATTCCCACAGGCTGACCGAAACCAACCCCAAACCAACCCCCCCCCAACACCCCACCCCCCCAACCCCACCACCCCACCCCCCTCAACCCCACCCCACCCCCACCCCTCCTAGCTGCTGACACCCCAAGGCCAGCCGGTGCCGCCGCATGGCTGGCACCGGCTGCCGCCACGGCAGTGCTGGCGGCCGCGGCGCAGCGCGGCTCGGCGGAGATCAGGCCCCCCTTTTAGGGGCCTGGGCTCGCTCAACCTGGGCAGCGGTGGTTTCAAACATCTCCTTGGCAAGTTTACGGTGAGGTTTTCTGGCTAGGGGTGATGAAATGAGGGGAGATGTTGGGAACCCTGATCCTCAACTCACCCTGTAACTTGTGGGCTACAGGGAAGTCAGACCCTTCAACAGTGTCGCTTGAAGAGGGAGAACCCCAAAGTTCAAAGCGAAAGGAACCTGTGCCTTGCTTTCTCGGTCCTGACCCAGGCACGGCGCGGAAAGCGACGGCGACCAACGAGGAGCCTGTCTTCGACCCGAGGAAGGAAGCAGGAGCGGTTCCGATGTGGATTGACGTCAGGTTGCCATGGTGAGAAGGAGTTGGCTTTCTGTTGGTCTCCATGCTTTGGGTTTCCTATTGCCAGTGTCCCTCCTTCCAGATTCGACGGCGTACTATCGGAATTACTCCTCAAACGGTCCCACACGTGATTGTTGGAACAACTGTCTTTCCCGAAAAGTATGGAAGGTTTGTCTCAACGGTTAGTTGTGGAGTAGGATTGGCCACCCCTCCATTTTGAACAGCCCGGCTAATGCTACTCGGCAAGGCGGCTGACAAAAAGTGTACCAGCCAATTGGTTGTGGATTTGGAGGAGCGGCGCTACGCGAATAGGACTGAGCGGCCTCACCCCGATACCCTCCCTCTTGTCATCTCAAGGTTGCGGGTCAGCTTGTGTTAGCTTCCATGTTCTCAGATGCCCAGTCAAGCACTCAGTTGTTCAAAACGGATTGGTTTTTGTTTGGAACCTTTTATGGTCTCCCTTTTTGGTACCCACCTTTTAGCAAAGCCCCCCCAAAAAAAGGTGCGATCACCTCGCATGCCCGTCCCTTTGCGGGGCAGAGCGTCTCAGAAGCCTCCGCGGCTGCGGGGCTTTCAGGCACCTCACTGGAGCCCCTTCCAGTGGCTTAAGGAATCCGTGTCTTGTTTTTCCTCCCAAAAGGCGCATGTTTGCCCCTTAAGGAATAGGCCTTCAACCGTTTGGGTGAAGGCGAACCGTTTGGTTCGAACACATGTTTTTTTGCACTTGCTTATTTAACATTTATTTTTATTTTTATTTTATTTTTTGTTTATTTGTTTTTTTTTTCCCTTTGTTGGCTTCAAAGGGAATCGATTCCACAGGACATATCTTTGCTCCTCCTTCCCAGGTGGCGAACAGTTTATAAGCCACTGGAAGCCAGGTCACCCGCATGCCTCCCTCCCCTCCCCCTCCCCTCGCCCTCGCCCACGCGCGACGGTGGGAGAGGCATCACCCTGCCCATGATGTACTTCGACCCCTTGGGTTTTGCCAAGGAAGGCGACCGGGAAGGCGGGCGGTTGGGCGCCGGAGGAGAGCCTCGAGCCTCTGGCTGTTGGGGCTGTTGGGGGTAGGCCGCGGCCAAGGAACTCACGCTGCAAGTCTTGGTTTTAACCTGGCTCCAACAGGCCCCGGTTCCTGAGCTTTTTAGCCCAGTGCTTAGTGGTAGTCTCCGTATTTAGCCCGCTAAAAGTTAGGCACTCTTGGCGGGGGAGCAGAAAACGGGCGGCCCAGTTTCGTAGTGGTTGCAACAGGAAGCTATGCACATGGGACCAAGGACGACAAACACATGTTCATGAAATTTCAGCCGTCTCCACCAAGGTTCCCTGCCTGCAACAGCGCCAGCAGGGACTGTGGGCCATATTTTTTGTCCAAAAGGGGGAGGGGGTTGAGGGCAGGTGCTGGTCACACCCAGTTCAGCTTGCCTGCGCTCGCTTGCGCCGCAGGCTTCTACCAGCTCCGAGCAGCCGAGCTCAAGCACGGCCGGGTGGCGGGGGACCACAGCAATCTCCCGCCATTGATGGTATCCAAGTTATCCGAAAAGCGAGCCCGTGGCGAGCTCGTTCATTTGTTGTTGAACTTTCATCCAGGTGGTCTAGTGCATCTTCTGTTTGAACTTTTTCGGGATGTGGGTGTGGCTGTCCTATTTGAAGGCACCTTCTTGATGAGCCAGTGGTTGGCCCTTGGTTAGTCGGTGGTACATTAAATGCTTGGGTTTGATAGAAGGCTTCCGTGTGTGTGTGTGTGGTGTGTGTGTGTGTGTGTTTGTTGTGTGTGCGTGTGACTGTGTGTGTGTGTGTGTTGGAGATGCCACCTGGGCTGGTGGCTTTTTTGTGTTTGAGAGAACCACTACCAAAAAAGGGGCGCCCCTTGTGGCATTGGAGTCTGCGCCAAGCTCGTGACTGCATGGGGCTTGTGGCAAATCCTTTCTGCAAATCGTTATGGGGGGAGAGGGGCGGGGAGAGAGGGCGCATTTGGGCTCCCTCGACCCTTTGCACCTGTAAGGCGAATCTTCCGGAACCTTGACCCCAGGGGGAAAACTTGAAGGTCGAGAAATATCGGCTTGCAACTGAGAGGACCTTTCCTGCCTGCAGATTGAGCAGCGCCCTTTTGAATGGGCTCCCTCCACCCCCTCCCCCCAAGCCCCTTTCCCCCGAAGCCCCATCAACGGCGGCCAGTGCGAGACTCAAACCCCGCTGGATCCAACTGCCGCGCGCATTGCCGCAGTGAGGCGATGATCGCGTCCCTGGGCTGCGTGATCCAGCACTGGTTCCGCTTCCCAGGCCGCGGGGGGGTTGAACCCAACGACATCGGTCCCTTATGGGGGCTGGGGGGGCGAGGGAGGGGAGGGGGAGGGAGTAAATAAGGCCTTAATAAGGGCTTAATAAGGGCTTAATAAGGGTTTTTTGGGCCCCCTCCCTTCCGAACCTTTCTGGGCGTGGAACTTCTCTTTGGGAGCTCCCTTTACCGGTGGCTCGATAGCTTGCACAAGCAACTCTGCATAGAATCCATTTTCTGGAACCCATTTGTTGGAACCCACCTGTAAAAAGACCCAGAGTCGTTCGGACCCGACTTGTTGGGGTGCCAGTTGATAGAAACCCATCACCCAGATGTGGGCGTGTCTTTCCTTGAGGCTGCCCCATTTCTCTGAAGGAAAACTACAATGAACTCCGAAATTTCCAATTTGGGGAGGTCCAACCCAAAGACCCATGTCCCTGAAGTCCCATTTGGGTATGGGTCAAAATTACACCACCAGGGAACCGCAGGTTTTGGTCCATGTTGCCACTTCCGAGGCTTCCATTTGGGGTACCTATTTTTGACCCAACCCCAGCCATTTCTTCCCGAGTTTTTTTTTTTTGGGGGGGGGTCCAAGCTGAAGACCCATTGGCCCGAAGTGGCACCGAACCGGCGCCAGGCTTCGAGGGCGTGCCGGCGGGCATCCAGGCGGTCATCACCCCACCAGGCGCGTGGGCGCTCACTCCAAATTTTCGGGACCGGCGTCGCAGGTGTTTTCAGGAGACCCTAACTTCCTGTTGGTTAAGAGTGTGTTTTTGTAGTTCCCCCTTGCTCTTAAAGGGAATCTATCACTACGGGATTTGTTTTGTTTAATGTTGTTCAGGTGACTTAAGCAAATGGAGGCTAACATAGGGCAAACAAAAAACACAGCCACGTCCAGCGGGCGTCATTCCTCATACTGTGGATCAGCTGCTAGGTGGTATCCCAGTTTTCACAGGTTTGATCCATCCCAACAGGCGCCAAAACTCTCAATTCCTGAGTTCCACCAACACCCAGACGGTTGCAGGGTTGGAGAAGAAGGTGGGAAGGCCATTCAACCATTCAACCATGTAACAACCGCCGCAGCTGTACAAATGTAGATTTATATTTGTTTGGCTAGACACCGAGGGAAGGTTTGCTTAACGAACCAAACCCTTCCCCTTTTAAGGAACAGCACAGTTGTGATTGTAATCATGGTACCTCACTTCCGCCCATTCAACCATTTATATTTGTTTCTTCCTGATTTCTGGAACTCGGACTTGAGCCACTTTTCGGGGTTAGGTTATTCATTTGCGTCTTAAAACCAACACCTTGGTGAATTTTGCCAAGGGCTGTTAGGACTTTAACTTGTTGATCCAACTAATGAATTGGTTTTCCGAACTAAACCACTCAAAGTTGGTCACTTTTAGCAGGGGAGCAGAAAGCAACCAAGAAGTGGCTCATGTCGAAGGTTTTCTCCAACTCTTGGGATCGGAAGGGTTGGATGATTGGCGGCCTTTCTTGCGTTGTAAATCAACAGTTCCTGGTCACTTTGTCTTGCACGACCCACTGGATCGGAAGAGGACAGGAGGGTCCTGATGGTTGCGAAGTCCATGCTGCGCCACGAAATGAGTTGCCATGGTGGAAGCCATGGTTGGGATATTTACGTTGGGGAGTCATCATTCCAGGGGTTTCTTAGGTGCGAAATGGATTGCGCAACCATCCGCATGACCAGAAAGTCATTTCGATCCGAGATCCTAGGCATCTTTGCCCATGACAGCGGACATGTCAATCTTCAGCTTGGGCTGCGAATCGGATAAATCTAGAAGTGGGTAGGTACTCTTTATGTACCCAGATGGCCTTTGTATTGCAGGGGAACCTGCGCCCACAACACGGTTGGACTTGTGGATGCATGTGTGTTCTTTTCAGAAAGTGATCTTCAACTCATAAGGAGGCGGCATGCGTGGGCTGTTGACGAAAGCGATTCTTTGGACCCCTCTTAGTTAGGTAGCTAATAGCTGCTTCTTGTCCCAGAAGGAAACCGAAAGGGGATGAACAATTGTTAGATTTTATTCAGACCCATTAGACATGGTGCTTATCCATTCAGCATCCAGGGTATTCGGCCGGACCTTTCTGAAGAGTCACCTGAGGTACTTTCGGCTTGGTCGGCATCATTGCCTTGTGCCTTGCCTGCATATTTGCTGGGTTGCGAGCTATCCGGGCGTAAAACGAGCGAAAGCCATGATGAAGGTCATTCAAGATCCTGTACTTAGGGGTTCCCCGTTTTATTTGTACTTGCTCTTCCTCCCACTAACATGGCACCTGAGGCAGGGTATCTGGAAGATAACTTTCCTCTTAAAAGGACCCCCTGTCAGGAGCCATGCTAGTGGGAGAGGGGATAGAAGCCCATGGCTTTGTAGTTAAGTCGGATCGTGGCGGGCAGAACCCAAAGAAAACACCGTATGGAGAGGGTGCTGGATGTGTGAAGCAGAAACCCATGATGTGATTCCAGGCAAAGCTTGGCCACTGTTTTTAGGTTTCTCCAGATGATGGACCCTCTTTCTCGTTGGCATTTGAAAGACACCACCATTTCAGAGACTACCGCAACCTACGCCACAGCAAGGATGCAGACCTGCACCTTTACCTGTGAATGATATGCTTTTCAAAATGTTGATCCATTTGGAGTCAAGATGTCAAGAGGGATAGCTGCTTCAGAGGACCTCCTTATATGGCCCTTGTAACGCAGGAGGTTTCGAGGAGAAATCCTTTCAGGAGCCCTGAGAGACGACCTTTCAACATAGGTCCACTGGTCAAGATTCCAAGAGGTCGCGGATCGGTGAGATCCTTATCCTGCCGGCAAAAACTGAAAGCTTGTCTGTGTGGGCAGTGCGCGCATAGGTGCTTGTCGGCATTTACGGAACGTGGTTTCCCTTTATCGCAGCCAAAAAACAAAGGTAAATATTCACGCAAGGTTCTGACTGAAGTAGTACAGGAAGTAGCCCCACACCCACCCTGAACCATAGGTGGCTTTGAATTTTCACAGGGCCCCCGTAAAAAGTCCGAGGACATAAAGCCGCAAAATGCTGAAAACGGGGCAACCAAATAATTCGAACTCATATCCGTTGGTTTGTCTCACAAAACATATGTTTGACCTCCCATTTTGGATGGCTTCCTTTCATCTCCCATATCCAGACACCAAGTGTTGAAGGTTACCCTCAGGACTCCCCCCTTTTTCAGGTCCGGAAAGCTGCCCGCGAGTCCACGGGGCTCTCAGATTCTAAGGGCGGGAGGTTTGGAGCTGACGATCTTCAAGCAGGACCCGGAGAAGGATCCAGGCGATTCGAACCGAGCGAGGGGAAGCCGGACCGACCTGAAGAGAAGCACCGAGGTACTGTTCACCTCGCTGGGGGAAGCCGACAGCAGAACTGTGCGGTGGTCCCTATTTTAAGACAACTGGACAGCTGGACATCCCCAAGAGAATTCGATGTTCGCCTAAAATGGTGCACTTTGTGTAATCAAGTATCGTTTGCATCTTGAAGTCTTGGAATCCCAATACCCTCCCCAAAAACCACAGGCTGGTATGGTTGTCCCTTTTTGTACTCACTGAAACGTAGCTCCAGGTGGCGTCTTGTATGCGGCGCACATCTGGCTCAGCCCGGAAATCAACGCGGGGATGTGTCAAAGCTTCCCCAGAATTAGTTCCCCTTTATTCTTTGTTGCTTTTTTGGGGTCCCCTTTGTTTTCCACTAACCAGGCAAAAACATATTTTTGCTCGGGTCCGATTTTTCCAGCCAAGAAAAGGTCACCCCTTGAACCCCCGACCTGTGGAACCTGAGGTCAGTTAGATCCCAAAGCCCACGGGGAGCGATCTAAGCGCCGTCCCGCGGGCCGTTCATCGAGAGGGGAAGTCCTTTTGCGCAAGGCGAAGGATTGTGGCAACTGGCAAAAGCACAAGGGTACATTTGGGTATGGGTCAAAATTCAAGCACCAGGAATTGGACCGCAGGTTGAATCGTCCATGTTTCCATTTACCAGGGTTCCATTAGGGTACCCTTTTTTGACCCACAGCCATTTGGAGAGGTGAGAGTATCCGGAAAGGACAGTCCAAATACCAACCAGAGGGTCCTTGTGCGGTTTCTCGAAAGCTGGCCAAAGCCACCAACTGAAGCGTCCAGTTGGGTCTGGATCTCCAAGCATAAGGTGTCCTTTTCAGGTTGCGGCTTGGAATAGATGGTTAGATGGGTGTGTTTCTTTGACATTACCCTGTGTCGCGGTTTTCAAGGGACACCAAAAGGAAAACCACCCAGTTTGGGGGTCCAACCTTAAACAAAGCATACCCAGATAGGTTCCAGCTGGTTTAGGTTCACCTTCTGGGTTTTGACGTTCTTGGCCCCAATCCACTCATCTGATGTTGAAGTCCAAAGCTCTAGGGGTTGATTCCCCATTCTTTTCAACCACCGTTCTTTCCAAAAACCGGAGCCGTTTTCGCTGGATTTCCGGAGGTTTTCTAGAAACATTCGGATCCCTGGAAAGAATGGACATGGAAGTAAAAAACAGCTCTTCTTTTTTTTCAAAACCAGCCATTTCCCCGGGGTTTTTGGGTGGTGTTCGAAGTTAGCCCTAGAAACCAACCGCTCGCAGGTGACTTCGGGGACCCGGCGGGCTTCGGGCAGTACTACACCGAGTGGAAGGACCGGGAGCTCAACAACTGCCGCGCCCGGGCTTGACCGAATCGAGCGCAGGCGAGCGCAGCAAAATCGCGGCGACGGAGGGAAACTCCGTTGTTCAGTGGCGCCCTTTTTCTTTGTCAAGCCCCAGAAAGGGTTCCCCTTTTTTTCCCAGGGTCACTGAACAACTGAGTCCCGGCTGGTAGCTCACGTGAGTCACAAGCAAAACCCGGCTTTTCTGATGCAGGCTGGCAAGGGGAAGTTCTAAAAACCAATGGGCGCGGAATCCCGCCTGCACTGTTGTGACAAATCTTTACATTCTGGGGAGGCAATTTTAGCGCCGGGGCTTTGATTTGGGGCTCACTTTGGGGTTTGGACAAGAATGCAGGTCCTTCTTTTTTCTCCTCGAAGTTTCGAGATTTGCTGGCGAACTGCGATTTGGGGCTCACTTTGGGGGGTTTGGACAAGCCCTTTGGGGGATCCCTTTCAGGTTTTCCGAATTTTGGAGATCGGCGAACTGCGGTGAAGAGGTGAGAGCCAGGTTGGGGTTCTCGACTCCGATCCGAGGCCTGGGCATGATCTCCTTCCTGGGCATAGTGCTGGCGGAGCCTTTCGGCCAGATGGCTTCGGCTTGGGTTTCGAGGTGCATTTTGCCAAGGGCTGTTAGGACTTTAACTTTTTGCCAACGGATGGGTTTTCCGTATTAAACCACTAAAAGTTGTCAACTTTTAGCAGGGGAGCAGAAAGCAACCGAGTTTTTTCTCACCTTTCAGATGAACGGCCGCACATGTGACATGGGGATACTTCCATCTCCATGCTGAACCCAGGGATCCGTTTTTCTTTTCAGAAAACCATCAGAACCTCAGGGGAAACCGACCCGGTTATATATTGAAAAGAACGATGCTTGAAAAGAATGGGAAATCAACCCCTAGACATGTGTGTGTGTTTCCCACAATGTGCGCCCCTCTGACTTGGAAGTTCCTTTTCCCCCTTCGATGGGGCTGTCTAGAAAGTGGGGGGCGGGAGTTACAGGTAGTTGTCTCAAGATGAAGCCAACGGGGGATGTGCAATTTGTTATTTTTCCCAGACCCCCCTAATTTGGCACCTGCCTCGCCAAAGCAAATCGTCTTGCTCACGGCCGGCTTCGTTGGTCAGTATTCCCATGGTCCATTGGTAGTTCTTGTTTTTTTCAGGTCTGCAGATGTTCCAACTTAGGTCCAGGTGTTTGCCGAGTGCTATGTTGAATGAACGAAGGGGGAAAAGCCAGAATTCGGGGCTTCCCCTTTGAAAAGAGGCTCAAGCGAGTCGTAACATTTGCCTGCGGCACAGGTTGGCGACAGGCAAGGACGGGGTGGACCAGATCTGGACCCCGTTGGCCAATTTGCCGGTGGAGTGAGTCGCTGGCTCGGGCGCCAGGCGCAAGGCACGGCCGAGTGCTGGCCAGTTCTCGCCGCGGAGGAACATGACCTTGTCCCACACTAGAAGCCATGTATGTAACACATACATACAACACAATACAGTACACTACAACACACGAATTGCATGTGCGTTGCATTGTAATACATGTTATACTACGTGCATACGTATACACACATATATATATATACATATATATGTATATATATATACATATGTATGCGCATGTGTTTAACCAATTAGAAGGGTAAACCATTGAGTGTTTGGGTTTGAGAAGCAAGACGTAGACTCAGCTGTGCGCAAGGCAGTTACTTAGATGCGGCATTCCATCAAGGCGGGGGGGCTTTTCGCAGACACTGCTTTGAGAATCCCAAGGGCACCCAGATGCAGCTGTTGATTGCTCCAGCAAAAGTGCGGCCCAAGTACCAGGAAGCCCCGCCATTTGTTCAGCTCGCGTTTTCAAGGCGCGTGAGACAGGCCATGGGGTCCCCGAGCAGGCCTCAGTAAATGTGAATTTGGAAGGGTAGGGGGGGACCTCGGCCTGGTTGAGGCAACACTTCTCTGTGCAGAAACGCTTTTCGGAGCCTAAGCTCCCATTCGGATCGCAAAAAGTGTGGGTCGATCCGGCTGACAAGACGCAGATTGACTGGGGAACGCTTTTTTTTTTGGGGGGGGGAGGGGAGAGAGAAGCAAGGACATTTCCCATGGTCGTTTCTCATCCACCAGAGGCTGCTATATCAGATGCGCATTCTGCAGAGTCTCCCAGGTTGGGCTTTGGCTTGTCAAGGTTTACCTCTGCCAAGATGTGACCCCACCCGACCCCCTTGAGTGGAATTGGAGGAGTGGGGTGACCCCTGGAGATTTTTGGTGAAGCCTCCAGAAGGTTAGGGGGATTCCATCACCATCGTTGCCATTGCATGCCACGTGTGAATTGTCTTTCACTCTTTTTGCCTGGACAACCAGAAGAGGATGTCTGTCTTTTAGCGGGGTCCTCGTATCTTTTTGGAAACGGAGTCAAAGGCAACTCGCAAAATGCCACTCCGTGCAACCCCCTGTCAACAGCAGCGAATCGGCATTTGGTCCATTTTGCATTGGTCCGTATAGGTCCAGCTACCTTTGCCAGTGATTCTATTTACCCATGTAGTAAGTAACCAAGGGAACACCCTTCAAAAACCAAAAGGACAATTGGTTGGACACCTACTATGGTGGCTGGGATCCAGCTACCTTTCACACGGCAGCCCAAGTTGGCTCAAACCATCTCAAGCCATCCGCCAAATTGGAGTGAGCGATCGGGCAGCATGGCGATGAAGTATATGGGCGCCTACCTCATGGCTGTGCCGTGGCATCCTTTTGGCCTCCCCAGTTCATTGGATACGCACCAGTTGGTAGTACTCACCCCAAGTAATTTGTTCAACATGGGTTTCCCATCTAGGTTCCAACCCCCGTATTGGGGGAAGACTGGGAAAATGACCCTCCCCCTCCTCAGGGTACGGGGGAGGGGGGGTGTTGGCCCGCCAGTGGGCTTCCTTTTTCAGGATGAGAAAGGCGCCAGAATTGCATCTGACACACGTGTCTGAGCACCAGCCAGGTTGGCCTACCAAACATGGCGAGCGGCCTCGGGACCATTGTGGGTCCTTCCTACTTCCTCCACGCCCTCCCCATGTTTTCTTCTCCCCCAAACATGGCCAACAATTGGAGCCTCAAGCAGCATTGAGTCGTACGGAGCCACGGATGCACCTCGTGGAGCGACTTGCAGTGGGGCGCCAAAAAGCCCCCGTTCCCTCCCACGAAAGCAAGCTTCGCGGCCCGTTGGCCGAGGTGCTGGGCGGCAAGGAGAGGGGAGAAGAGAGAAGCTTCTTGCAGGTGAGGCCCATGTAAACCTTCTATGACCATGTGTGGGTCAAAACCAATGGGATCCCATTTTGGGGTAGGTGCACCACCCATTTTAGACCTATGTTAGTGGGGATTGGGATGTTCACTGGGGGTACGGGATTTTGGCCCATGTTGGTAGATTTAAAAGTCAATGTGTGTTGGGTTCTGCTCAAGGAATTCCCGCGCCCAACTTCAAAGAATTGTCCCTGGCCAAAGTCTAAAACATCCAAAGTCACCGCGCTCGCTTGGGCAACCGAGCAAAGAGCGGTGAGCCCTGCATGTCATGGAGCAGCAATTCTTTGTAAGGGACCTTCTTGATAACAGGGCCGTTTCGGACTTCTATGAAGACACACACACACACACATATATATATATATATACACGGCCAATTCCTGGGGCTTGCCCGAACCTGCAACGTCCCCGACCCGTTCCGCAGGGGGTTCAAGAGCGCTGCCCTAAACCATAAACCTAATCCTGAACCCTAAACCTTTTGACCCTAAAACCATAAGTCCGAAACCTTAACCCTAAATGTTGAACCCTAAACCTGAACCCTAAAACCATAAACCCTAAACCTTAACCCTAAAAACACTAACCCCAAACCCTAACCCTGAAACAAAAAAACCCTAAACCTGAACCCTAAAACCATAAACCCTAAACCTTAACCCTAAAACCACAATAACCCCAAACCCTAACCCTAAAACAAAAAACCCTAAACCTTAACCCTAAACCTTGAACCCTAAACCTGAACCCTAAAACCATAAACCCTAAACCTTAACCCTAAAAACACAATAACCCCAAACCCTAACCCTAAAACAAAAATCCCTAAACCTGAACCCTAAAACCAGAAGCCCTAAACCTTAACCCTAAAAAAAGCCTTAACCCCAAACCTGAACCCTGAAACCTTAACCCTAAAAACACATTAACCCCAAACCCTAACCCTAAAACAAAAAACCCTAAACCTGAACCCTAAACTATCTTAACCCTAAAGCAATAAACCCTAAACCTTAACCCTAAAACCATAAACCCTAAACCTTAAGCCTAAAAAACCTGAACCCTAAACGTTAACCTTAAAACCATAAACCCTAATGAGCCACAGGCACCTGGAAACTGCAACCGGGTTCTCGTTGCAGGCTGTCAGCTCGAAGCGTGCCTTCTCGGTCTCTGGTAGAAAGGAGAGTGTGTGCTGGCGTGAAAACAAACACAAGGAATGCCAAGCGTGACGTTCCCACTCGCCACTACTCGTGTTGCTCGAGCCCACTCATGGCATCATGAAACGTTGTTGCCCACCATGAAGGGGGCACAAACCGCAAGTCAGCACTGAAGCCTCAACATAGCAGGTCAGATACACATATGCACATATATATATATATACACGCGCTTGTACGCCTGGGCAAACCCCGGGCGTCGCGTATAAACTATATTAATATATATATATATACACATAATATGCCCCAGTGTCTATGGTCACCGCCTCAAGGTTGTTTAGAGGTTGTGGTAAAAACCATGTCCCCTGGCCCCTCCCTCCCCCCGCCCGCGGAATCGTGGTGGGTGATTGCTGTTGCAAGCATTAAGCCTCACAAATAATATGAATATTTGCTGAGGTGGGGCCTCACTATCAGATGAACCTGGGGTCGTCATGAGTCATCGTTGATGGGGATGGGGGTGCGTCGGTTCTGGACAGGCGTACCACATCGGACCTCTCGAATCATTTGACGATTGAGGTTTATTAAGCCGAATGCTGCCCTACACATTGACATGGAGCCCAAAAACGTGGTCAAAAGGAGTTTCCTCTAAACATAGTTTGTTTCCATTTTATTCTGCGGGGGCTTCATCATCTTTAGTCCGGGGCGCACACATCCGTAACCCACCACAGGAGAGCCCATCGGCCGCAGACATCAAGAGCATCCTGGAGGCGGGTTTGACAACTGAGGGTTTGCAAGCCACCATTGCTGCGGATAGCCACACCCACATGGAGTGTTCCTTTTCTTGCGTTCCCTTCAGCGAAATGTGCTGTGTTTCCTGTGGACGGTTCACTGCCTAACAAGACTATGCTTTGTTTGTTCTTGTGCATTCATTTCGCCTTGCCTCCTATTCGCCCCCGAAAAGGGACCAATCCCAGTACGCATAATGCCACCCAATAGGGCTCAAGGATTCGTAAGTGGAGGGTAGGTGGCTGAGCCATTTGTTGATTCCAGTTTCCTGGGTGCAACAGCTGAAATTGTGAATCCTATCAGTGGTATGGTTGATCCCATGTTGACGAGTAAGCATATGTAGCTCACAGGGACTTCTGCACGTCGGCAGCCACTTGCCCTTTGGGCGGTGGATTGGCGAAATCCTGCACCACCTAAGCAACCCTGGAATGTTGACCCCCGAAGCCCGTTGCTCCTGACCCATGCACCCATGGCGGCTTTTCGCTTGAGCAGCCTTTGGGGGTTTGCAACTTCCGTCACGAGCAACACGAATGACATGTTGCAGGGGGCCAAAGACCGAACCAGAATGGGCTTTCACGGGTGGCCTGCAGCTAGCTGCCATTTCATCCTGGCCGTTAGGGTATCCAGGTAGGGCAAAATCTGAGAAGAAGTTCCATCAGTTTCAATTCTCTGGTTCAAAGCCGACCTTTTGACCTCTGTTTCCCTTGTTGGTCCTTTTTTCGTCACGGTTCCAAAAGGTCAACCTTGCATTTCCAGGCCCGGAAGGGGGCAAGTGAGTTCCCCGTGTGCAAAGACTAGTGGCACGGAGTCGGGAGACCTTTTGTTTTTCTTCTGCGATGCGAGTGGGACATGAGCCACAATCAAAACCCGGGTAGATTAGGTTAGTAAGGGACGATCCCAAGCATAAATATCTGCGGCCGCCTTCTTAATCCTGTACATGGTCCTGGGGTTACGACCATTTTAGTACCAGGTTTTCATTATGAGCTCAAATGGAGCCCAAGTTGGAGCAGTTTCATTGCGACTCACATGTCCTCACAGCGCAGCAAACCTGTACCAGGTTTTGATTGCGACTCACGCAACTCCTTAGCCGCACTCAGTGACTTAGGCTGGCGGCATCAGCTATGAGGACGCCCTCATCGACAAGCTGGTCTCCCGCATGGATGGCAAGAAGGCCTTCCTGCTGGTTTTGCGAAGATGCTAAGGAAGCCACGAGGGGATTGGTTTGGTAGACTCACTTGCCCAAAGCGAATCGACCTTTTGACCTTTTGGTTTCGAACCCATGTTTGGAATCCCATTTTTAGTAAAGGTCCCAAAAGGTGATCACCTTTTGTTTCTGGGTCCCTAAGGGGCAACTGAGTTTTTGGTTGTTTTGAGTTGGTTCTGTGCCAGGGGGGTTCCACTTGACCTATTTCTGGGTCCCGAAGGGGCAACTGCGTAGATGTGGGAAGCATCTTGGAAAAGTCACGGTTCGCACCTCTAGGTTTCTTGGGACTCTCTGGAAACTAGCTGGCGCCCGGCTCGAGAGCGGGCTTCCTGTTTTCTCCATGCAGCCGGAAATGCAGGTGCCAGGCTCCTGCCGGGTTCTGATTTTTGTTTGGAAGAAGCGCAGAAGGTAAAAAAGGAGGTGAAACAACAGGTTTGATGGGATCTTCTCCAAAACTACGTTTTGTTTTGGAGCTGACTATCTATATATATATATAATATTACTTCCATTTGCTGAAGGATATTTAGATTTTCCGGTTTTATCGGGAATCTATCACTACTCGAAATATTATTTTTCAGGGGGCTGAAGCAAATGGAAGATTATGCACAGTTGAAGATATTAAGTTTTGGAGTACACCAGGACCAGTGCCAGGCCCACGAGATGATCACTGCTGGCATCGGCAAGTTTGCCGCCTGCGGCGGCGGCGGCGGCGGCGGTGGCGGGGGTGCAGCCGCCGCGGGCGGCGGCGGTGGCGGCGGCGGCGCTGCCCCAGCGGAGGACGGGGCTTTCGGTTGTTCAGTCGTCCCGGTAGATTTTGTGAGGTTTTAGTTGGATGAGCTAGGTCCCCCAGTAGTGCCCTTTTACCCTTTTGGGGGAAGGGTCCCCCTACTAGAATAGAGTACAGAAAAAAAGGGTACCTCTATTCTAACCTCTCTACTGGCGGACCTAGCCACATGTGCTCAACCATATTTTGCCTTGAATCTGGGTCAACTGCCCTTCTAAATAAAGGTTGTATACAAAGGGGTGTGCAAGCATGTGCTTGGGGCAGCACACCGCAGGGGCGCAGCTGCGCGCACGTGACAGGGTTGGTCCGGTTTTTTTGGTTTTCCTGCTTTGGGAGGCTCTCACTTTCTTTGTTTCGAAACTTCATTCTTGATGGGGTGCCATGTTGGTGATAAAATATGATTGTTTGGCTGGCTTTGGTTTGCTTTGAGGTTTTTTGCGTTGCTGTCGCTCGGTGTCCTGAGCTGCTGTGTGCATTTGTTGCCGGAGATGTGCCATCTGAATGGTTTGAAGTGGTGGGTCTACATGTCTTGGTCTGCCCGGCCTTCTTTTTAGCGCAAGCTGGCTATGCAGTGGCTGCACTGCATGTCCTTTTTTCGTCGGATCGTGACTCCTATGGCGATGGGGGACGGGTGCACTCCGGCAGTCGTTCAGCGACTGACCATTTGGCCCGGCTTTCGGGCAGAGCAAGAGAAGGTTGGGTTGGGTAAGGGTCAAAATCAAATGACCCTGGGGGCCGCAGGTTTTAGTCCTGGGTTCCATTTACAAGGGTTCCATTTCGGGGTTACCCTATTTTGGACCCACAGCCAGTTCACTAAATCACCATGAGCAAATGTGAGAATGGGGGGGATTCCCGGCCGCCAGCCAACTACGGTAGGAGAAGAAGAAGGTGGAGGAAGAGGAAGAGGAAGAGGAGATGGACTTTGACCTTTTCGGCTGAGCGGAGAAATGAGCGTGGTGGAGAAATGAGCGTGCCGCGTCGAGTGCGCGTCCAATGGGCACAGGCGCCGAGCGTCCAATGGCCTGGGCTGATGTTTTTGGGGCTTTCCTTTGCGCTGGAAGAAGGAGGTTCAAGCGTTTGGTGCATGGAGGTTTGAAGAGCATTTTGGGTGAGCCTTGTTAAAAATAGATAGCACTGGTTTAGCTGGGTTTTGTTCCATTTACCAGGGCCATCTATTTTTCCCAAAGGTCGCCTATGTTTAGGCATCCGTCCAAAGACCCGTTTCATACGTGAGGAATTCCAGGGTGCTGAGAACAATCCCTCGGCCTCGTTAAGAAAGCCGTGTCAACCCGCGCAGGACCTCAACATCATAAAAACCCGTGCTGCCGCCTATTGCCCGCCAAGTAACCAAGAGGAAAGTCGTCTTTCTATTGGGGTCTGTGCACAAACCCATGTTAGCTGGTGGGAGGGTAGCACCTTGGGCCTGGATGTTCTGTCCCCAAAGGCGTGGGCAATGGTCGACCGAGGCTTACGGGAGCTGTGCCGCTGGTATACGTGAAGAAGGATAGGGATCCCTTATTTTCGATTGACTTGTAGCGCGCCATTCGCTCGGGGTTGCGAATGTAAGAATGCAATTTTACGTTTTCGCCTCCCCCCTGTAAGGGGGTGGTGATAGCTCGCCCAGATTTGGTTCGTTGGCTTCGTGGTGTCTCGCATGTCCGCTGTTTGCATATGCGCTTCATGTTAGGCATTTGGCTCTGGCTTGCGGATTTATTGATCCAGACGACAGCGACCTCAGGCATCTCCCAGACATGTTTCGCAGCAGGAGCTGTTCGAAGGTGGTCCAATCCTAGGATGTGGTTGCTCTAAATTGAGACGAGTTGTGGCGTTCCAATTTGGGAGAAACTCTTAATTTTCGCATGACTACGAGTTTTGGCGTTCCAATTCAGGAGAACTTCTTATCGCATGATTTGGGTCTTCCATGTCGATGACCAGAAGTCAACCGCATCTGTCGCCGGTTGGATTTAGATTTGGCCTATACTTGGCTTCGCTCGGAAGGCCCGGCCGGGCCGCGTGCGACTAGCATGGATGAGCTGAGTGGCGAGAACCTGGAGCCGGACCTTTGCAAGGACCTCCAAAAATTGCTGTGGGTCAAAACCGTTTTGGGAGTTGTTAGCGCGAGGTGCTGGGCAAGGACAGGGGAGAAGAGAGAAGCTTCTTGCAGGTGAGGCCCATGTAAACCGTCTATGACCATGTGTGGGTCACCACCCGTTTTAGAACCAATTTTAGTGGTTGGATTGAATTGGATGTTCACTGGGGGTACGGGATTTTGGCCCATGTTGGTAGATTTAAAAGTCAATATGTGTTGGGTTCTGCTCAAGGAATTCCCGCGCCCAACAGCAAAGAAGTGTGCCCATAGGTGTCCTTTTTAGGTGAGCCTGATGAAAAATTGATGACACTGGTTTAGATGGTTACCCACTCTAGTGGTAACTGGATCCACTGGGCTGGTTTTGAAATATGGCTGTGGGTCAAAACCAAATCCCATTTTGGTAGGTGAGTTCAGCACCCATTTTAGGCTTCCTATTTTGTTGGATTGAATCGGATGTTCACTGGGGGCTAACCGATTTAGGTTTTGACCCCCTCGGATTGGGCTTGCCTCGGATTTGGTTCGGTCTCTCCCCAGCCCTCGAAACTGAAGCTGGAGGGTTTCCGTTTGGATTCCGTCGAAACGAGGCGCCCCGAAGACGAGAGGTTTTCAGCGGTTGGGAGCAAGCAACCTGCAACCTGCTTGGCCGTTTTTGTGTTTTTTTTTGCTAGCGGTTCCCCAATCCGTTCCCCAGTCCGTGCGGTCATGTGTGAATCTTTTGTCAAGGTACTTGTTTCGCAGATCCTTTGCGCAGAGATGGTTGTTAAAGGGAGGGGGTCGCCAAGACAAAGATCCGCCCAGATTCTGTGAGCAACTCAGAGCTGGTTCAAGAGATGCCATGGGCTTGTCTCAACTCGCCCAAAGTAGTTGTTTTTTTCCCGATCTTAAGACACACCGCAAAAGGGTATCCTCAACCAAATGCCCAGTTGCTGCGTTACGGTCAGGATGGCCTGCAGCGGCGGAAGATCCAGGACATCCGTGATTGGGATCCAAGGCGAATGCACGAAAAATCCGACCTTCGCCTTTTTGCAGAGTCCCAGAAGCTTGGGGGACCCTGGGTTTTCCAAGCCTAAATGTGTTTGATCTCCATTTGGGAAAGGGGTCCTATGTGGGTAAACACAAGAGTCCGGCCAATCTCAGGGAGTGAGCGGCTCGAACGCTTGAGGAGGCCCAAGCTGACATCAGCGCGGCGCCCTCTGGCTTCTACTTCGGGGAGGAGCAGACGGAGAAGTCGGAGGACACCGTGTATCCCAGGTTCGCTCCTCGCCATGAACCAGGGCATGCTTTTGGCAAGCAGATCTGTTGTGGTCGCTGTTTTTTGTTTCTTCTTGTTTTTCTCCTTTTTCCCCTGTTTTTTGTGTGATGCCAAGACGGCCTTAAAGAGACAAAGTGGTCATATGTAGGCATGGGCCTGTGGTATGACAAAGGGACAAGCGGGAGAAGATGGGAGAAGGAGGAATTTAAAGCATGCCACTCCTGCCTCTTGTCAAGGCATTTGCACCGCCAAGAACAAACTCTACATGGTGGGCATGTCTTTTCCGAGGTCGAGAGTCGACGTGCAAACTCGGGGTTTGCGTGCTCGTTCCCTGTTTTCATTTGGTTACCACAAGTCAGGGCGGTAGTGGCAGATGCCGGGGTTGAAAGCTGACCCCCGGGATTCAAGCCACCATGAAAGCAACGTCATCAAGCCACCTCAGGCTTTTGCCTGCTCGGAGCTTCATCATCCAACTTGGTCAGCAGTTCTAGTTGGGGTTTTCGCCCTAGGGCCGCTAGAAGCTTTCTGGGTTGCCAGCCTCCACGAAAGGATGGTCCACATCTGAGTCCGTTGGGCCGGGTTTCTGCCCCATTCAGCCGGCCTGTCTCGTCCCACGGTGAGACACAGGGCGTGAAAAATCGACCCAGGCTCACTGCAAGTAGCTCACTGCAAGTCGTAGGGCATTCCTTTCCGGTCTTGGAACTATAGCTCAGTTGGTCAAAACGCATCGACTTTTTGACCTTTGGGTTCATACCCCTCGGCTTCCCTGGTTTCCAACCCACTTCATAAGGGGTATATACTATATACCCCTTTTGGGGAGAGGATATGGCATGAATCGGTATGAACCTCAGGACAAAAATGGGTTCGAATTTGTCCAAGGCGTAAAAGGGGTATGTTCACAAGCACCCCTGGACTCCTGGACTTTGGCCCCTCGCCGGCGCCCCTTTGAACATGGGATCAAATCCCCAAAAGAGTCGCTGATGGGTCACCAGCTGCAAGCGGGTGATTGATCAGTTCTCCCCTAGAATTAGCTGCCCTTTTTCAGTTTTTCCTTTTTTTGGATCCTTTTCCTTTGTGTTCCACTGCCCAGGCCAACAACAATATATATTTTGCTGGGGGCCGAATTCCAGCCAAGATTTCTGAATGTTTGCTTGTTTGCTCTTCTGACCCGGCGTCTAACCCGGCGACTCAGCAGCGACTCAGGACATGTTTCCGGAGCATTTGCGCATCGGCCCATGGTCCCGGCTCGCAGCGCCCTACCTGTTGCTCGCAAGCATGTGGACGGACCTGTCCTTTCGCTTCGGAGCAGTGTTAGCTTCAAGTCGGTTTCGGTATCCCAGCCAACCCAGGGTAGGGTGTCTCTTCGCATGATGACTGAAACGTTGGGTTTCAAGCTTTTCTCGCTTTCGGCCAGTTGGGCATTCAGCCGGCGCTGGTTTAATCCAATGCATGTGGTCAATGATACCCTCCCTGTGAGGTTCCACGTGAATTGGTGGGAGGGTAGTTGCAACAAGGTTGCAGAGCTGCCGGCGTTCTACCGTGCTTCAACACCAGTTTTGCTCAGCTTCAATTGGACCAGCTTTGCTCTGTCATCACCTGAAAGGGCCTATCAGGGTCTGGTTTTGCCTAACATGCCAGCGACAGCTGTAGGGTCTCCAGCCAATCTGCGTTCACCCTGGGCTTATTGCTCAAAATGTGGTATGGCGGCATGGCTTGCTGTTCCTCGGTGACAAAAGAAAAGGGTTCCCGCGTGCCTCATTTGCGTGTCTGATCTCATTCGCCTTGTGGTTTTCCCAGGTTTGTTGCCGTCGGTCAAGATTCCAAGAAGGTTTTGCCATTTATTATCGACTCTAAGTAAATTCTGCCAGAACCACACCACCAGCCCACTGGAAGCTAGATAGACTCGCTGGCCTCCATTTGCTTATATAAGCCCCCTTGAGAAAGCAAAACATATTTCCAATAGTGATAGATTCCCTTTAAAACCAACAGGGGAAGTCCGCAATCTTCATTTCAGCAAACGGAAGGTGGGAACATTTAAGCCAATGGGAAATTAGTTTCCTTTTCCGTGGTTCCATGTGGTTGCCATCACAGCCTTTTGGGCATGCCAATGCCATTGGTGGCAACCATTTGGCACCTCACTTGACCCACCACCCGAAATGGGGCTAAGTGGGGACGACTAAACCCAAGTGTATGGGATTTATGCCAACTACTGTTACCCAACTGGAGTAAATATATAGACCAGAGTCTGAGCATATTATTTTTGGTGTACCCTTTGTCTCTCCGCCTTGAATGTTCGTGCTCTGGCCATGATTTTCACCCTGGTGTATGTTGTTGTTCGTTCGGTTCGAGCCTTGTTTTGGCCAATCCACTCGTTCCGAAGCATTTGAAGGCTTGGCGCCAACTTCACTGTTTCGCGCACTTGCCCAATGCGAATCGAGCTTTTGACCTTGGGGTTTTTCGTGTTTGCATTTTTAGGCATGGCTCCAAAAGGTGATCGCCTTGTATTTCTGGGTCGAAACAGGGGGCAGAGCCCTGCATTTTCATATGGAAGTCCCCAAATGGTGGACCCCTTTCACTGGGAAACCCAAAAGTAAACCAACCAGCTCAGCTTTTTCGGGGTGCCCCTTTTTTGTCGTTTTGAAGTGAAGGGAAACCAAAAGGAACACGCCCCAGTAGTGCCCTTTTACCCTTATCTGGTTGGGAGGGTTTCTCTACTAAAATAGACTGCAGAAAAAAGTGGGTACCCTAAAGCCTAACCTCTCTTCTGAAGGACCTAGTCTGGGTCCAAACAGCCGCCACGTCCCCCCACCCCCCCCCCCCCCCCGCGCCATCTCCAGTCCAGCGCCACCTCCGCCGGCTGGGCCGCTCCAGCTCCAAAGGCCCACGGCAGGCTGCAGACCAAGCAGCAAGCCACCAGCAGCCTCCCGGCCCAAGAGGCACGGGCCGAGGGGGTGGCGCCTCTTTTGAGGGTTGGGGTTGTTGAAGGGTACCTTGGGTTTGATTCAAAGGAAAACGAAAAGGCAGCCAGCAAGTGTTGGGAATTTGCCTTCCTTTTTTTATATTGGGGCGGGGTCTTATGCCTACCAGTTTTTTTGTTTTTTGTTTTAAATAATGTGTCCTAGTGCAAGGAGTCACATTGTCTCTTTTGTTGGTGTTCAAACACCACCTTGCGGTTGCCAAGTTGAATTGAGTTTCCAAAAAGGCGACATGGTCCGGGGTTCCGTTTTGCCCCGAGGTGTGGCCCGGTCTCCATGTACGTGGCGGGGGTGCAGGCCTATGTGGGCTACAAATTCCAGTGGTGGCCCTTCCTGACTTACACCTGCGCCTTGGCTGAGCTTTGGCGTTTTGGCCACGGGCGATGGACACCACCAAGGGCGGGTCCATGGGAGAACCACTCGCCATGCAAAGGGTAGAGCATGGCCATGCCGATGGCTATGCCGCTTGTCCCTGGGGAGAGGGTGCTGTTTTGTTTGGGTCGGATTTGTGTGGGTCCTGATGTTTCCCATGTTGCGATTGGAAGCACTTGCGGTTTCGACAAGTTGAGGTGAGTTTCTTGTGGGTGATGTTGCAAGGGGGGAGATCCACGGAGCCTTGAGCCAGTTGCATTTGTTCCATGCTTTTGGAATGCCTCGCTGTGACAAGGGGGGGGCTTTGGTCCATCAAATGAGGTGGCAGCTTGGGCCGTGTTGTCCCGTCAGGTGCTCCCTTCCGTTTGCTTCAGGACATATGTTTGTTTTTACCCCTGCTGGTTTCAGAGGGAATCTATCACTACTAGACATATTTTATTTTTCCAGGGGGCCAAAAAGCAAACGGAAGTGCCCAGAACACACATTTCTCAGTTTCCTAGGCAGAAAGCGGCCACTGGCAAACCTCACACGGGACCAACTGTCGACTTTCCCCTTCTTGAAGCCAGTTGCAATGACTTCCATTTGCTTCGTTGAAAAAAACACAAAAACGTACTTTTCCCTATTGATTTAAAGGGACTTTACGGGCAAAGTTGTTGTTCAGGGGACGTAGCCGCACTTGGAGGATGAAGCTTGGTCTAAAGAACTAGTTCTCCTCCACCGCCAGTGGCCGGGGACCAAATCGAGAAACCAGCTTCAAAACGGGGCCTTTGTTCCTCAACGCTTAAACTAGTTCCCCCGGTAGTGCCCTTTTACCGATTCTTTTTTGGGGGAGGGTTCCCCTACTAAAATAGACTACAGAAACAAGGGTTATTGTAACCTCTCAAATCTGGAGGACCTAGTAAAAGCACAAGAGGCCTTCTTCAAGAGGCTCTCACATACACAGATCCGCATGAGCAATGGAGCAATTCTTCTAAGAGCATCTCACTTCCTGTGTTCCTGGACTCCAAAATGTTCGCGACGAATTCCTGTGGTAAGCAAAGGGACCGGCCAATCAACTCAGGAAGTGAGCCTAACAGGCTTACTTACCCACCCAGTATTTCTCCTTTGGGTTTTTAGATCGGGTGGAATCACTGGGCTAGGCTAGAAAACGGTTTGTGGATGCGCCGTTTTGTGGATTTCACCTCCTCTTCCCCCTGTTGGTCCTTTGTTTTATCATCTTTTAGTACTCTTTTAATATCCAGGGCTGGATCCACAGAAAAAAATAGCCATATCCACACCCTGTTTTCTGGATCTGTTGATGAACAAAATCCTGCACCACTTTGAAGCCGTAGGGGAATCAAATCATTCATTTTGGTTTCTGAACGGTGGTGCGAGACTCGCGGATTTTGCAACATCCACTGTAGGTCACTTTAAAGGGGTACTGACCTGCCATCCCTGCAAGCTAGGTACCTACGAACTGATTGGAACCTTTGAGGGGTGGATCCACAAGCAAAAACATATCTATTCACAACCCAGTCGCTAGGGTACCCTATCTCCCCCCCCATTTTCTGGCGCTATGGGTTTTGGTGCCCGTTTTCTGGCGCTAGATATGGCCATAGGTCAAATCCAATGGCACCATTTTGGGGTAGGTGAAATCACCACTCATTTTAGTAAATTTTAGTGGGGGATTGGAATGTTCACTGGGGGTACGATTTGGGTTTTGACCCACAGCCATATATTTTCGGCGTTTTCTCCCCCAAAGCGGTCGGAGATCGGATCGGATCCGAGGCTGGTCCTACGCGCTGCTCAACTTGCATCTTGACTGCTGATTGAAATGAAGTGTTTTTTCACTAAAACCACAAAAAGGGCAGCAAGAAGAGGTAAACCCACTAAACCCACTTTTCCCCCGAAACTTGTTGGCAGAGGGGTCAACAATCAACAGCAAGGCATCTGCTGCTCCACGCGGTGCAGCTGCCGCGGAGCGCGGAGATCCTGCGGTTCCCGGTGCTGGCCATGGCCACGGTGACCACCTTCGCGCCTTCGGATCGAAGGATCGAAGGATCGAAGGGTCGCGGATCGGCGAGTCGGCGGATCGAATCGCCGGGGCCCCTTTAAGGGGAACCCAAGAGCCGCCGGGTTTTTCCATCCAAGATGAGCATCCAATGGCCCCTTTGAGCTTCCAGCTGCTTGAGAAGATCTTTTTTGTTACTTTCCCTGGTTGGTTTTTGGAGGGAGTCTGTCTAGGCTATTGTTTTTCCAGGAAGCTTAAGCAAATGGAAGTCACGGAGCAGGCCCGGAAAAAATCGGCCTGTTCAGAGGCAACGCAGTTTTTTTTTTCTTCTTTTTTTTTAAATAGGGAGCGAGGGCTTGGATTGGCCGAGCCTTTTATTTTGAACAGCCCGGCTTAACTTCCATTTGGTCAAGAATATGTGTTATTTTCTCTGTTGGTTTTGAAGGGAATCTATCACTACTGTTTTGTTTTTTTTCCCCAGGGGGCTTAAGCAAATAGAAGTTAAAGAACCCATTTCGGAGGGGCACTTGCGGCAACTTTGCAGTTGTTCCACCCGATCGCCAAAATGTATCGCGAACTTCACCTTGCGACTTCCATTGTTCGCTTCAATCAAGCAGACCACTTGTCTTGCTGGTACGGTAGGCAAGGAATTAAACCATCCAACTGGTGGTTTCCTTTAAGGGGACCCCAGGGTTCATTCCCTCATTCCCTACTTAAGTCGTTTCCCAACTTATCCGCCATCGCATGTGGTGCGTCCGGAAGTTTTCTAAACTCGCGGCTTAAGGCAAAACGATCGTGGCCAAGTGAATGGGATCAATGTGGGTCTATTGAAGTGGTTAACATTTTGAGGTGCTCTCTTCAGCCATTTTTGTCTTTGCGACTCGCTCAGTGCGCGGCGTTTTCTTCAGCCATATGTAAAAATGGAAACCGTGGATGTCACTTACCTGGGTTGTCCGACTGGCTCCTGAGGTTTGGTGGCTCGTGCTGGTTCCCATCCTGGTTTCGCTCACTGAAGGGAAGTCCCGCAAGGAGTTCATCAAGTTGAACTTCAGCTGCTCGGCATGGCCCAAGTCTGGGCCTTGCAATGCGCAGCGCCTTTGGTTGCCTGCGAATTCTGAGAATGAAGGCGTTCACACGGAGGTTTTCTGTAGCTCTCGGGCCGTTTACTTCAGCACGAAGGCCACGTACAATGGCGCAAGCGCCCCGGTTGGGTCACTGCTGAGTTTGTTCCGTGAACCTGAAGCAAAAGAGGAAAGAAGTTGACGAGGACGAGCATGCCCAAGAGATTGTTCAAGCAACTTCCATTGGCTCTGGCTGTTAAAGGAAATCTACTTCACTGGACAGATGTTTTCTATTTTTTCCACTGGGGGAAGAAGCAAATGGGTCCAAACCACCAACTCAAACCACCAAGAGGGAAGCTGTCTTTTGGGAATTCCATAGGAAGGCTTAAGCTTGGGAAAAATCATAGCTGCGAGCTGCGGCCTTAAGCAAATGGAAGGCAACTGGGCGCGGCTGCGCGCGGCCAGGTGTGCGGTGCGAGAGAAGAATTGGTAGATGTGTGACATGTGTATATGTAAGTAGTGCATTGAGGTGTTTGTTGTATGTGTATGTATATATATATATATATATTTGAATGTATTTCATAAATCAACAATATTCATAGTGTTAAACTGTTCAATCCATGTCGAAGTGCATATCATTCGGATATATTCATTGCCACAACTCCACAGGGAAACCTTGGACCGCATAGATATCCTTGGAATGGGGGCTATTTGGATCTGTTCAGGCCTTACGGTCGTTGATTGTTCCGAGCTTCCCTGAAGGGACCCCTGTGGTTTTAAGGCGTATGGTTTGCCTTGTGTGTTTTCCTTGTTCTGTTTGGGAACTTTTATGTCCACTTGCCGATCGATTTTGTCAGCCCCAGAATCGCCGCAGGCTTTTTCCTGGTCAACATGCACCTGTTCAACTTCCCTTTGGCACTTGCCGGCCACTTGCTGGCCCCGCGCAAGCTGGTTTTCGCTGATTTCTGGGTGGCGGCAGTTATCGCCATCCTGCACCTCGATCTTGAAAGTTTTCCCCTTCAGCAAAGAAAGTGTTTTGGTTTGGGCGGGTGGCGCCCGTACTGAGCTGGGGGACCTACCCTTCATATAGATGGTAACGTGGAAGAAGTTACCTTTGGTGCATTTTGCCAAGGGATGCTAGAACTTTAACTTTTGCCAACTCATGGGTTTTCCATTAAACCACTAGAAGTTAAACTTTTGGGGAGCAGAAAGCAACTAAGTTACTGTAAGGGACCCCGCCTTGTGGCCAATGTTTGGTCAAGGTTTCAACAGCGGAGGTCCTTTGGGCGAGTGAGCACACGTGTACAGGCTTCCACGATTCCCGGTGATGTACGTTCTTCTCTTGGAACATGAGCCTTTTGAGTCGGTCCTGCTGCAAGGTACCTGCTCTTCTATTTGCTGGCCCTGGACCCGAGAGGTGTGCACCTCTACATCATCTTGAGCCTTGGCGGCCGGCTTGGGGGGGTCGAACCCCTGCCCCTTCCCCCAAGAACATGGGAACACACGGAGCAGGTTGAAGCAGGTGGCCAAAGAAAACAAGAAACGCGAGGGGTCGCGCAATTCGAGGCATGCCCGAAGCTAAGTGAGACATGTTGCACTGTCACTTCCCAGGCCTAATCACCACTTGCAGAATCCCTAGGCACATGGTGTACAGAAATGGGTCTTTTCTTGCCAGGCATGGATCCTCACATATGGAAATGCCCCCGAAAAAGATAAAAAGAAGAAGAACGCTTTCCTGTTGGACTGAGAGCCTTTGGCCTGTGGCTCGGGTACTTCTCTTCCTGGGTCTTTGGGCGTCTGGTCTGGGAGACCGCCGTTTCATGGGCATCTGTCGGGTCAGCTTTTTTCAGGACGCCTCGGCAGTGGTGGTGTGTCCTCTGCTACTCGGGCATCCTGGGCCTCTATGTGGGTCTCTTCTGGATCTTTAGCTGAGCCAAGAGAAAGCCCGAGGTCAGCCAGGGGCAAGACACCGAATGCCGAAAGCTCCACTTGAAAGGCTCTGGCTGCTTGAGAAGCCTCGGGCAACATAAGTTGCTATGTTGCACGTAGGTCATGGACAGTTGGGGTTTTTTGCGAAGCAGGGCGTACCTCCTTGGCTTCAACTCAGGCCGCATTGAGAACTTCAGGGGCTTAGAATAGAACATCCAAGTATGATCCAAGTCTCTGAGTCTTAAGTCTCTTGAAACACTCACTTGCCCAAAGCGAATCGACCTTTTGACCTTTTGGTGTCCCATGTTTCGGATCCCATTTTTGTTTCGGTCCCAAAAGGTGATCACCTTTTATTTCTGGGTCCTTTGGGCAACTGAGAACAGTGCAGTTGAATGATCCGCATCATGGTGAAACCGCGCGGTCTCCTGGGCGTTTCAATTGACGTGTCAAGCATATGTAGGCTTGTTTGGCGTCAGGGTCGAGTGCTTGTGGCACCGGACACATGCCTTGCCTGCCAGATCACATTTTCCAACAGGGCCAAGTGGATCATGTAAGAATTTCTGTTGTGAAAGAGGATTCGCACGTGTCCTCGATTTTGCTTCAAAAAAGAGGCCGAAGCCCTCTGAAGTAACACATGGTCATCCGCCCAATGACATGTTCTTGACAGCAACTTGTCTGAGCAACGCGGCGCTTTGTGAAGCTGCCAGCAGCCCGAGTTAGAGTTCTCACCTCGTGCTCTGACTGTGGCGCTTTGTGACAGTTGCATGATCCATGAAGCTCAGAAATGCGCAGGGGTGTGTTGTTGGGGTGGTGTCTCTGTGTGATTGTGTTTTGGCCTGTGTGTGTGTGTGTGCTAGAGCGTGTGCTTGTTTGTCCCTGTTGTTTGTCTTCCTTACTTCGGGTTTTGTGTGGTTTTGTGTGTGTGTCATTGTATATTTGGCGCATTTTGCTTGGATGTTAGGACTTTAACTTTTTCCCAACCAGTGAATTGGTTTTCCGAATTAAACCACTAAAAGTTGCCCACTTTTCGCAGTGCCTCGCCTGGCCGCCCTGGCCCAAAGTTCAGCCTGAGCTGCCGCCTGATTCAGCCGGCAACCAGCACAAGCATATGCATGCCCATTGGGCACACTTGCCTCCGAAGCTTCGGCAGGCTGAATATTGAAGTAACATTTGCACATACTCTTCACATTTACTCTGTACCCAACAGTTCAAGTTTGAACGACCTTTTGGTATTCACAGCTTTTCCAGGTAGGTTGTTGATTGTGGGGGCAACCACAACTTTTACCTTGGGCCTTTGACACCGGAATGCATCCCATGCTGTGTTCAAAGCAGAGCGGTTGATGCACGGAGATCGACAAGCTGCTTCGGGCCGATTACAGCACCTGAATCGATTCAGAGTCACAGATCAAAAAATGAAGCTGGCCAGCCTTTCTCCATGTTTGCTTGATTCATGTGAGCTTCCACCGAGCTTCGATGGTTGTGCAAACAATTGGGCAACCAGTTGCCGTGCCTTGAGGAGCAAGTGACTACAGGAGGCTGTCCCTTCCTGTTTTGCCATGGTAACCGCAGGCCCCCTCCTGCACCTCACTCCCGGCCCCCCGTCACCCGCCCCCTTACCCGTTTGGGAAAAGGCGGCGTGAGACATCCGCCTGTCCCGAAGCGGGTGCATGGCGCTGAAAGAGGAAGAGCGATGGCTCCGAAACGACCTCCCGGATCCGGTCACTTGGCTTGGGGTATGTGGGTGAGGGGTGTGGTGGGTGAGGGGTGTGGCCGGTGAGGGGTCGGGGTGGGGTGCGGGGCTTGGGGGCTGGGGTAGGTTGGGAGGGGTGGTGGGTGGTTGGGGGTTGTGGGCGTCTCGATGTTTTTCGGCTCAGCTGCAGAACCGGGACGCCTTCTTGGGGCCGACTGATTCCTTGGGGGCCTCAGTTCAGAGAGGTGGGATGTGTGCCACACCTTGCCAAAGCAAAAGGATCTTCACCGCCCCCTTCTTGTTTTGATCTGATTGGCATGGAATTCCCACAAACGGCCGGCCTTTCAAGGTTGGCCGGGTCAGCTCGCTTTGGCAAGTGAGTTGCGTTTGCAGGTCCGAGGGCTCAAGCATGGACCCGCCGCGGCATGGCTGGGCTGGTTGGACCGCATGTTTTTATTTTTCTTGTTTGTGGAGAGTGGTGGTTTTCTGTTTCCCTGCTTCCCCGTCATCTAGTGCAATGGACAGTCAACATATTGCCAGGACAGTCAAGGAACCAATATTGACTAGGGCTTGCGTTGGCCTCCAATTGATTAAACCAACTTCGTTAATGAATTGGACCTGCCGTTCCCGGTTCAGCCAAGCTTGTGGGCTTAAGTTGTGACGGCCTCTTTGTACTTGGCCTACACGTGGCGCTTTCCTGAACTCACCGAACTGAGCACATTGAGTATGGCAAGGCAATCCTCACTCCTGGCTTAGGTCCTTGGGCTTGAACTCGAACGGGAAACCCAGGCCGGCTTCTTTTTCCTGGGTGCGGTGCCTGTAGTTGGGCGCCTACAGTGCAACAAAGATCACAAATTGTATCGGATTTTGTTGGCAAGTCGCAGGAAGTGAGAAAGAGGCCGTTCACCCGGGCAAACTGAAGCCTTCACCTTGAGCCAAGAACGGTCCCGGTTAATGGCTGCACTACTGCGCACTTGGCTCCATGTGACCAACGGAATGTGGTGACACTGCAAGCAACAGACACGCCTGCGTCTTAACATCTTCTGGGCAGGATGGCGCTAAGCTATCTATGTTGAAGCTAGGTACCCCTGTCGTGCCCTTTTACTCTGTTTTGGTTGTGAGGGTTCCCCTACTAAAATAGACTACAGACAAAAGCTGGTACCCTTATGCTAACCTCTCCACTGGAGGACCTAGACAGAATGTTGGGCGGATCTCCAAGAGACAGTTCCCTGAAGAAATCTGAGCCAGGACCCCCAGTAAAGTTTCACGGGTGGATCTCACAGGCCGAAAAGCTGTGCGAGGGGCAGGCCTAGAGTCCGTTTCAGACTGTCACACAAGAATTACTCTTTGCAACAGAAGGGCAGTTGAATGCCAACAAGATGCAGGCATGTGGCAGGGCAGTGCATTTGCTAGGTTCATAACGTTATGTTTGTTTTTCAGCTTACCGTAGACCCTCTCATACGGAAGTAGTTAGCCTTATCACTATTTTCAAGCCGCCCGGCGCCGCCCGGCGAAAGTTTTGTGGCAGTCGTGTTCTTTTGTTTTTGATGACTTCCCCTACTCCAAGAGCTTTCTAGGTGATTCTCTTTGGGCTCTTTTCTTGACTGCTATTGGGTTGGATCTTTAGACTTTAACTTTTTGGGAAATAAAGGTGTTTTCCACTAAACCCCCAAACAGTTTTCAACTTTTTGCAGGGGGGTCAACAGCAACCCGGGTTTTTAAGAGCCAAATCAAACAAGACCAACCCCAGCTTTGAAGGCCTGCAGGAGGGCCGCCCCCAAAGCCCTGCCTTGCTCGACAAAAAGGGTGCGGGAGCGAGACGCGGCGCGCGAGGAGCTTCCTTGAAGGGGATCTCCCCGCTTATTCCATTTTTTCCTGCTGAGCATCAGCAAGGTAAGGACATGGTAGGCTTACGGGACTCCACTAAGTGATGTCCAGGGCCTGCGAACAATTCCCATACCAAAAGCGGCTACTTGTGTTGTGTTTACCGCATTCAGCCGGCGACCAGAAGGTCGCCATAGCCTCGACGTGGATTCGCTTCGATCCGCGGTCCTTATCCATGTCCGTGGCTGAGCGCCAACATCTTACTTAGCAGCGTCCATTGCTCGGTTTGCTCGTGTTTTCTAGGCTAGGTCCGCTGGTTTATATGGGTCTTCCTGTAGATGTTGGATATAAGTTATAAGGGGATGACTCCATGGTTGTTGCAACGGGAAACATGTTTCCCATTTTTGCTTATTGTGGTTTAGTGGTTGAAATCCAAATCCACTTGGCTGCTAAAAAACTCATTGATTTTTGCTCCCCTTTCAAGGTCAACCAAGATTGTCCAGACAAGCTTCATGAGCAGGGTTCCTCTTTTTGTTGACTACCTTGGGGCAGACTTAAACCCGATTTCCCTTTTGGGGGAATCAATCACCCCTGGGTTTAAGTTGCCTTGGGGAGGTCAAACAACGGAACCCCGTTTATGAGGACTCGAAGTGCGTGATTGACCTTTGGGACGAGGACGTTTTGTTTTCACGGGAACCACATGTTAGGCTTCTGTTGGCAGGAAGCGAGGCAGCAGCCATTCACCCGGGCGAATTGACGCCCAGAGAGCGAGCGAAAAGATGGAGCCAACAGCTTCCATTGCTTAAGAATGCGTGTTTTATTGTTTCTTGTAAGGAGTTTATCAATACTGAATGTATTTTCCCAGTGGGCTTAATTGGTAGAAACGAGAACAACTTCATGTTTCTTCGGGGTCACTGGGATTTCCAGCACCTGCGATTTCCCAAAGAGGGAAGCAGTCTTGGCGAAAAAAAAAACATTTTTTCAAGAGGCGAGCACTGAATTTCCTGGTTGGACGAAACTCGGCTATCAGGCCTTGCTCAAGCTCACCCGCTTCCCCTCGATTTGGTCAAAGAACATCGGTGCAATGGCAATGCAGATGGAGGACTCATCGCCATTGGTCGGGGACTCCCCGAATCCCAAGCTGAGCGCATGGACCCGCCGCGGCGGCTCGGCTTTTGATACCAAAAGTGTTGCAAAGTGTTCGGAACCAATTTCAACAAGGGGATCCCCCCGTTGTTTTTGGTTTAAATGAGCTAGCCCCTATTGGGATGTGGGATTTTGCGAATCGGCCCCTATTTGGCCCAAATAATTGCCATATAAAGATGCTCTTTCACCAGGTTCCTTTGTTTCAACTAACGCATTCGTCATCCCAAACCCCCTAGCGAATAAGCCAAAGTTTTTTGGCCTCTTCGGCAAAGTGCCCCAGATTCGCTTATTATGGAGCCCAGTTTATGCTCCCGACTCCCAGTTGCTCATCTTGTTGGGGGTTGTCTTACAGGCCTTTTGAAGGTGAACATCAGCCTTGCCAAAGAATGTGCACCCGCCGGGGTTTGGCAAACCCTCTGTTTGGCTCGAACGAATTCTCAGGCGCGCGTGCGTCGCATGTTGTGCGGGAGGGTTCAGCGATCTGACGTCGCTCGCGGCACCTGACCAATGCTTCCTAAAGCCCACGGAACGGTGGGCCGTTGAATTTGGGGTTCGCGTTGGTCTTTCGTTTTTTGCTTTTGGGCCAACGGCATGGGCAGATCTTTTTAAAGCGTTGGTCTTTTGGCCCACAGAACGGTTCTTTGCCATTTTGCAGATCTGGGCATTGAACTTCCATTGGGAAAGTTGGGCCATCGGCATGTGCCCACAACATCTTCCGCGCTGGGTGGCTCGGTACCCATGGCACCGGAGTTTTTTTCGCGTTTTCCCCCCGAGGGGTTCCGAGAGTAAGGGGAACCAGCCCACGTGATTCCATTTGCCCATATTGCCTGTGTTGTGTTTTGTTCACCCAGGTCTCTTTTACACGAGCAGTCTGAGTGATTCATGGATGAGTGCCACGTTTCTGTTGGAGGGGTATTTATTTTAGCTTTTTGTCCGCTTTTTTTTGGTTTTGGCTTCTTGGCTTTTCAGCTTCTTGGTTTTTCGGCTTCTGGCTTTTTGGCTTCTTTTGGTTTTTTCCGGCTTCTTGGCTTCTTGGCTTCTTTTGGTTTACGCGGCTTTTGGTGGCTTTTTGGCTTTGGCTTTTCGCATCCTCAGCGTCCCTCTCTATTTGAATCATCACTTCTTCAAACATCATGGGCGGGGGCTGCCGCCCCCCCCTAACCCCCGCTACTTTTTAGATTTGCTTTGCAGAGATTTAATTGCACCCCTATTTGGTTCATCACTTTTTCAAGCATCCAAATTCGCGAGAAAATGCTGTAGAATACGACATTTTATGTAATCTATGTAACCTATGTAATCTATGTATGTTTGCATGTATGCACTTAATCGAAATCATAGGGAAGCCACGCCCGCCAAGCCTCCCGCTGCTTTTTATATTCTATCGCACCCTTTCTTGAATCATTGCACCCCTATTTGAATCATCACTTCTTCGAACATCATGGGGGGGGCGGCTGCGGCCCCCCCCCAACCCCCCCGCTACTTTTCAGATTTTCTACAGAGATTTAATTGCACCCCTAGATGAATCATCACTTCCTCGAACGGGCTGCCGCCCCCCCCCCCCCCCCAACCCGCTGCTTTTTAGACTTCATCACTTCTTCGAACATCATGGGGGGGACTGCCGCCCCCCCCAACCCACGCTACTTTTCAGATTTTCTACAGAGATTTAAGTGCACCCCTAGTTGAATCATCACTTCCTCGAACATCATGGGGGGGGCTCCTATTTGTTTCGACCCCGTCAGCCCGCCAGCTACTTTTTAGATTTTGTCACCCACGATTTGTTGGTGATGCTAGCGATGTTAATCTAGGGATGTTGGTCGGACATACGGGGGATGTTGACAACGATGCTGGGGATGTTGGCGGGCTAGTGTAAAATACGTCAATTTTGCGAGAACATGCTGTAAAATACGACATTTTACTGGCCCGGACGAAAAACGGAAAACACAATCCCAAAATAAAACCAACAATTCCCAAAATAAATCCGCACCCGTTTCTTTTTCTTCTTTGCAGATATGCGGGGGCAAACTCACTTTTGCTGGCAGTTGATTATAACATGGCATATCAAGTGCGACACGTCACCCGTATAGGGTAGTATTTGTTTCTCAGATGTCTTCTCACGGCCTTTGGTTCATCGGGCTGCACAAGCCCAAGCTTTGCTCACAAGTCGCCCAGGGCTTCTCATGACTGGGGGCCTCGTTTTCCTCGGCGCGGTTGGCTTAACTGTGGGCGCCTACGAAGCCATGAAGGTTCCGGAGAAGAAAGGCTTTGACTGGACTCAAGTGGAGTTCCCGGGCATGTCGTGCCTTGGACTGGCTGGGCTAGGGGGCGGGATGTTGTGAAGAGTGATTCGGCGGGGTCCCAGCCATCCGGTTCCTTAGCTTTTTAGATTTTTTTTTTAGCTTTTTAGTGTTTAGTGGGGATTTCCACATTTAGCCCAATAAATCTGAGTCACTTTTTTGATGGGGGATCTGAGGGCAGCTCAGTTGTGACTGATTTGTTTTCTAATGTTTTCAGATGTCTCCAAATGCGGCGGGGCGGGTGTCCTTAAGCCGCCATCTCCCAAACAAGCTTTCCCACATTTGGAGGCCGAGACTAGGGCCGACTGAGGAGGTCAAGCTGGGTCCCCTCTCCCTTGAACCCCCTAAAAAGCGTGGTTCCAAAAGGGTGTCGGTTTTTGGAGGGTACCTTTTTCACCCTGGTTTCAAAGGGAGGCCACAAGGAGAATCACGAGTTGTTAGGGAGTTCCATTCGCAACGTGTTTGCGGCTGTTTTGCGTTCACTGCCAGGGATGTGAAGGAGATCCTGGAGATGGTTCAGGAGATCTACCCGGACAATGGGAACAGCGTCTTCAAGGACGGATTTCTTGGACCCTGAGAGCTCTCGCAATTCCTTCAAAGCGTGGAGTGTGATCCCAATAAGGTATCCGAAGATTTTTTGTTTCGCGCGCGAAGCCCTGTATTGGGTTCGCGAATTTTTTGAGGGCACCCCCTGCAACACCAGACGCGAGCATTTGGCGGCCTGTGTTGATTCATGGGGGAAGTGCCTATCAGCGAACAGTGCCCCCAATCGGCGACTCCCAATCAGCGACGGCCAATCAGCGAACACACGCGTGCCAAGCAGCGATTGACGCGGGACCCATCCGCGAATATCAACAGCTAGTCGCGAATGGCTGTGGTTGTGCAGGAATGACTCAGGGTTTGGTTTAGGGTTAGGTTTCAGGGTTTGGTTTAGGGTTTGGTGTAGGGGTTTCCTGTGGCGGGTCGACTCTTTCTGGTGTTCAGGATTGCTTTGAGGGTTTCCTGTGGCGGTTCGGCTCTTTCTGCTGGTAAGGATTCCTGTGGCGGGTGGACTCGTTCTGCTGGTCAGGATTCCTTTTAGGGTTTGCTGTGGCGGGTCGACTCTTTCTGCTTGTCAGGATTCTTTTTAGGGTTTCCTGTGGCGGGTCGGCTCTTTCTGCTGGCCGCGATTCCTTTTAGGGTTTCCTGTGGCGGGGTGACTCTTTCTGCTGGCCGCGATTCCTCCTAGGGTTTTCTGTGGCGGGGCGACTCTTCCTGCTGGCCGGGATTCCTTTTAGGGTTTCCTGTGGCGGGATGACTCTTTCTGCTGGCCGAGGTTCCTTCTAGGGTTTTCTGTGGCGGGGTGACTCTTTCTGCTGGCCGGGATTCCTTTTAGGGTTTCCTGTGGCGAGGTGACTCTTTCTGCTGGCCAGGATTCCTTTTAGGGTTTTCTGTGGCGGGGTGACTCTTTCTGCTGGCCGGGATTTCTTTTAAGATTTCTGTGGCGGGGTGACTCTTTCTGCTGGCCGGGATTCCTTTTAGGGTTTTCTGTGGCGAAGTGACTCTTTCTGCTTGCCTGGATTCCTTTTAGGGTTTCCTGTGGCGGGAAGACTCTTTCTGCTGGCCGAGATTCCTTTTAGGGTTTCCTGTGGCGGGGGGACTCTTTCTGCTGGCCGGGGTTTCTTTTAGGGTTTTCTGTGGCGGGGTGACTCTTTCTGCTGGCCGGGATTCCTTTTAGGGTTTTCTGTGGCAGGGTCGACTCTTTCTGCTGGTGAGGATTCTTTTAGGTTTTCCTTGTGGCGGGTCGACTCTTTCTGCTGGTGCTGTGGCGGGTCAGCTCTTTCTGCTGGTCAGGATTTCTTTTTGGATTTCCTGTGGCGGGTCGACTCTTTCTGGTGTTCAGGATTCCTTTGAGGGTTTCCTGTGGCGGTTCGGCTCTTTCTGCTGGTAAGGATTCCTTTTGGGGTTTGTTGTGGCGGGTGGACTCTTTCTGCTGGTGAGGATTCCTTTTAGGGCTTGCTGTGGCGGGTGGACTCTTTTTGCTTGTAAGGACTCCTTTTAGGGTTTCCTGTGGCGGGTGGTAAGGATTCCTTTTCGGGTTTCCTGTGGCGGGTCGACTCTTTCTGCTGGGCAGGATTCCTTTTAGGGTTTGCTGTGGCGGGTCGGCTCTTTCTGCTGGTCAGGATTCCTTTTAGGGCAGGATTCCTTTTAGGGTTTCCTGTGGCGGGTCGGCTCTTTCTGCTGGTCAGGATTCCTTTTAGGGTTTCCTGTGGCGGGTGGACTCTTTCTGCTGGTAAGGATTTCTTTTAGGCTTTGCTGTGGTGGGTCGCCTCTTTCTGCTGGTCAGGATTCTTTTTAAGGTTTACTGTGGCGGGTCGGCTTTTTCTGCTGGTGAGGATTTCTTTTAGGGTTTCCTGTGGCGGGTCGACTCTTTCTGCTTGTCAGGATTCTTTTTAGGCTTTCCTGTGGTGGGTCGCCTCTTTCTGCTGGTCAGGGTTCTTTTTAAGGTTTACTGTAGCGGGTGGACTCGTTCTGCTGGTCAGGATTCCTTTTAGGGTTTGCTGTGGCGGGTCGACTCTTTCTGCTTGTCAGGATTCTTTTTAGGGTTTTCTGTGGCGGGGTGATTCTTTCTCCTGGCCGCGATTCCTTTTAGGGGTTCCTGTGGCGGGGTGACTCTTTCTGCTGGCCGGGATTCCTTTTAGGATTTCCTGTGGCGGGGTGACTCTTTCTGCTGGCCGGGATTCCTCCTAGGGTTTTCTGTGGCGGGGCGACTCTTCCTGCTGGCCGAGATTCCTTTTAAGGTTTCCTGTGGCGGGGTGACTCTTGCTGCTGGCCGGGATTCCTTTTAGGGTTTCCTGTGGCGAGGTGACTCTTTCTGCTGGCCAGGATTCCTTTTAGGGTTTTCTGTGGCGAGGTGACTCTTTCTGCTGGCCAGGATTCCTTTTAGGGTTTTCTGTGGCGGGGTGACTCTTTCTGCTGGCCGGGATTTCTTTTAGGGTTTTCTTTGGCGGGGTGACTCTTTCTGCTGGTCAGGATTCTTTTTAAGGTTTACTGTGGCGGGTGGACTCGTTCTGCTGGTCAGGATTCCTTTTAGGTTTGCTGTGGCGGGTCGACTCTTTCTGCTTGTCAGGATTCTTTTTAGGGTTTTCTGTGGCGGGGTGACTCTTTCTGCTGGCCGGGATTCCTTTCAGGGTTTCCTGTGGCGGGGTGACTCTTTCTGCTGGCCGGGATTCCTTTTAGGGTTTCCTGTGGCGGGGTGTGGCGGGGTGACTCTTTCTGCTGGCCGGCATTCCTTTTAGGCTTTCCTGTGGCGGGGTGTGGCCGGGATTCCTTTTAGGGTTTTCTGTGGCGAGGTGACTCTTTCTGCTGGCCGGGATTCCTTTTAGGGTTTCCTGTGGCGGGGTGACTCTTTCTGCTGGCCGCGATTCCTCCTAGGGTTTCCTGTGGCGGGGCGACTCTTCCTGCTGGCCGGGATTCCTTTTAGGGTTTCCTGTGGCGGGATGACTCTTTCTGCTGGCCGAGGTTCCTTCTAGGGTTTTCTGTGGCGGGGTGACTCTTTCTGCTGGCCGGGATTCCTTTTAGGGTTTCCTGTGGCGGGGTGTGGCCGGGATTCCTTTTAGGATTTCCTGTGGCGGGGTGACTCTTTCTGCTGGCCGGGATTCCTTTTAGGGTTTCCTGTGGCGAGGTGACTCTTTCTGCTGGCCGGGATTCCTTCAATCCTCCGTCAGTGCTCCGTCGTTTGTCCGTCAACGCTCCGTCAATCCTCCGTCAACTCTGCGTCAGTTCTCCGTCGATCCTCCGTCAATTCTCCGGCAATTCTCCGTCAGATCTCCGTCACTTTGCCGTCAATCCTCCGTCAATCCTCCGTCAATCCGTCAATCCTCCGTCAGTTCTCCGTCGCTTCGGCGTCAATTCTCCGTCATTTCTGCGCCGGCTGGCCGTGAGTGCTCCGTCGTCCGGGAAATCCCGAAAATTCTCCGAATTTTTCAATATCCCCGGGCGTCAGTTCTGCGTCGATCCTCCGTCAATTCTCCTGCAATTCTCCGGCAAATCTGCGTCACTTTGCCGTCCATCCTCCGTCAATCCTCCGTCCATCCGTCAATCCTCCGTCAATTCTCCGTCGCTTCTGCGTCAATTCTCCGTCATTCCTCCGCCGGCTGACCGTGAGTGCACCGTAGCCGGGAAATCCCGAAAATTCTCCGATTATTTCAATATCCCCGGGCGTCAATTCTCCGTCGATCCTCCGGCAATTCTCCGTCAGATCTCCGTCACTTTGCCGTCAATCCTCCGTCAATCCTCCGTCAATCCGTCAATCCTCCATCAATTCTCCGTCGCTTCGGCGTCAATTCTCCGTCATTTCTTCGCCGGCTGGCCGTGAGTGCTCCGTCGTCCGGGAAATCCCGAAAATTCTCCGAATTTTTCAATATCCCCGGACAGTGGTCCATCATTTTTCCTATCTCTTCCCCCTCAATCATCCGTGTCAGTTCTCCGTCAACTCTCCGTCAATTCTCCGTCAGTTTTCCGTCAATCCTCCGTCAATGCTCCGTCGATTCTCCGTCAACGCTCCGTCAATTCTCCGTCAACTCTGCGTCAATTCTCCGTCGATCCTCCGTCAATTCTTCGGCAATCCTCCGTCAAATCTCAGTCAATCCTCCGTCAATCCTCCGTCAACTCTGCGTCATTTCCCTGTCGATCCTCCGTCAACTCTGCGTCAATTCTCCGTCGATCCTTCGTCACTCCGTTGATCCTCCGTCGATTGCTACGTGGCTGCGCACGTGAGACCTGAATAACAGCGACACAGCCAACAAACCTGTCGACGATTAATCCCCGATTGGACCCCGGCCATTCCCCGATTGGCGCCATGACGTTCTACGATTGATTTCCGACAGTCATTCCCCGATTGGATTCATCGTTCTCCGATTGGCGTTCCCCGATTGGTTTGGTTCCCTTGATTCATACCCGCCTCGGCCCGCCTGTGTGGTAGCTCGGTGGGTGTGCGTTACCGAGGCTTGCGCGGGTTCCAGACTTGGATCTTGCAACCAACCTCATGGCGTAGCATTGGCTTGGCATCACGTGGCTCCAAGAAGTCCTATGCCTAAATCTTGGATGCGTTTTGTGTGGATCCACTCTGGTATCCAAACAACTCGTAAAACAACATGATCTGACCCCTCTTGCTCCGCTTGCAGTTCCAGCCACAGGAAGTGCCTTGATCGGCGCGGGAAAAAGGTGCACATTGAGGGTGCGCCTTTTGCGGGGAGTTTTCATGGTGTCTTTTGGTGGGCAAATACGGTCGGGGTAGTTGGCCAGCGCAAAAAGCTTGGTTTGTCAGCGTCACCTTTAATGGTTGGTTGGTTGGTTTCCTCAGTGAAGTGGACAGAAGTGGAACGAGAATCAGGCGCAGCCGCCTTTTCCACTTCAACTTGCGAAGCAACGGATTTGGCTCACGATGGAGCACACCCACGCGTAGCCTGGTTGAACTGTAGGGACTTTCTAGGTGACCATTCAACTGTGGCAAACCAAAGGTTTGATTTCCTTTTGCTGCCAATCCACTCAAGTGGGTGGAACACAACATAATATGGTCTTGACTGCTATTGAGTTGGATCTTTAGACTTTATCTTTTTGGGAAATCAAGTGGTTTTCCACTAAACCCCCAAAAAGTTAAACTTTTTGCAGGGGGGCCGTTGCAGCAACCAAGTGGTTTGGTTTTCTTCGACTGCTCGGATCCTCTAAGAGCCCATGCGCCCGAGTTTTTTTTTTCTCCCCCGATTCAGGAGCTGAAGGGCCTGGACGTGGACAACTCGGACCCCAAGAACATCAAGTTCAAGCTCAAAAAGTCGCAGTACCCCAATGCCACCATGCGATCCTTGCAGGAGGGACGGAGAAGACAAAAAAGCGAAGCAGGGCAAAGAGGGGCAAGGGGTTTAGGTAATTAGGGGCATATCTTATATGGACTTGCACGCCCACGAGCTTGTTGAAGGGAGGTCAGGGCCCAAGACATGCCAAACCTCTGTGAGAATGTTGTTAGCCCAGCACATCCCCATCTCAAAGTGATTTTTGGAAGGTGGCTGCTGCTTCCAAAGCCCAGAGGTTTCATGATTTTTCCAGGCACAAGTGAAAGACATATTTAGGTCATACATGAATCCACCAGAGGGCCGCAGGTTTGATTCCCTTGTTTCCCCTTTGTTTACCAAAAAGATCCGGGCCAGGAGGGTCCGGCCACCATCAGCTACATGAAGTCTCTGGAGTTCGCCATGTGTGGCATCGACGGGTACCAGCCCCCTGGACCTGCCGATGGCTCGATTTTTTTAAACGAGGTTTGACAGCGCTCCAAAGGGTCCACCCCCGGATTTGTTTGTTTGATTCCTTCTTTTTTGTTTGATGAGCGCAGGCCCAAATTTGGTTCTTTCTTTCCACCTGGGGTCGCTAAACCGCTAGAGAAAAGGAGTCGGGAATGCCTATCAGAAGAGGCTGCGCTGATTGGATCATTCTGTCATCATTCTGTCACTTTTTGTCGAGCTTACTTGTAGCAGCCAAACGAGCTTTAGTTGCTTCGGGATGTTGTGCAATTCTTTCAGGTCACCCCAGTTGGTGGTGTGGATTGGTTTGGGGATTTGAACCCCTGGTTCTTTGGGGGGTCAGCAGACCCCCAGCCTCCAAGGCACCAATCCGGACCACCACTCATTTCATTTACATTCATTTACCTTTTAATAACTTTCGGAGGCTCTGTGCTTCAATCCCGGACGCAGCACTTCCTTCACTTTGATTGACTTGAAGTTTGTTTTATTGATCGTTTGCAGCCGCTGTTTACTACCCAAGTCCTGCTCGGCACACGGGAGAAGAAGAACAAGAAACAGATACAGCAGCCAAGTCAGCGGGGCGACCCTCGCCCCTCGCACCACACCACAACATCACAAGCAAACCTAACCAGAAAAGTAACCAAATCTGCTAAAACGGCAACCACTCCAAGACACAATCACCGCACCAGACCACAACGACACAACCCCAGCAAACCAAGACCAAGAGCAACCAAGCCGAACCAAAACAGCAACCAAGCCCAACCAAAACAGCAACCGCACAAATCCAAATCAAAACAACCATACCAAACCAGGACGAAACCACACCAACTCAAAACAGCAACCAGACCTAGCCAAAACAGAAACAATTAACCAAAACAAAACAACCATGCCAAACCAAGACAAGACAACCACGCCAAAGCACAAGCCAAGTTATCAACCCAAGCCAAACCCACACGACCACACCAAACCACAACAGCAACCAAACCAACCCAAACAAAACAACCACACCAAACCAAGAACAAACGACACATCTGCGCAACCAAGCCCAACCAAACCAAACCAGAGCATAACAACCATACCAAACGAGAACAACACAGCAATACCTAGCGAAAACAGCAACCCAAACCAAACTAACACTGCAAACAAACCAAACCAAAAGAAAACAACCACACCAAACCAAAAACAACCAACCTTAACTAATCAAAGCAACACAGCCTGACCTAGCCAAAGCAAGAACCTAACCAAAACAACCACCAACCAAGCCTAACCTATCCAAAACAACCACACCCAAACCAAAACAGCCAAACCAACCTAGCCAACAAACCAACTGTTTTTTGTGGTTGAATCGACGCCTTGGCTCAGGTCGGCCATCACCACGGGGCAAATCGTCACCAACATCCGTACCTTGACGCAGGTCTGCGAATCCCCATACCCGCAGACTCCGGAGCAGCAGGATTTGCGCCTTTGGTCGAACGGAGCTACCTAGGTGTCCTTTTTGGTTGATTTGGTTGAAACTTTAGGAGGGCCCTGGTTTACTTGGTTCAATCAGCTACCAGGGCCATCTATTTTCCCAAAAAGGACACCTACAGTTACAACTGTTTGGATTTGTTTGTTTGTTTGGTTGATTGGTTGGTTTGGTTGTTTGGTTTGGTTGATTGGTTGATTGATCGGTTTGGTTGATTGGTTTACTTGTTTGGTTTGGCTGATTGGTTGATTGATTGGTTTGATTGATTGGATTGATTGGTTGATTGATTGGTTTGATTGATTGGTTTGATTGATTGGTTTGATTGATTGGTTTGGATTGATTGGTTTGGATTGGTTTGTTTGACTTGATTGATTGATTGATTGATTGATTGATTGATTGATTGATTGATTGATTGATTGATTGATTGATTGATTGATCGATTGATTCATTGATTGATTGATTGATTGATTGATTGCTTTATGATTTGATTTGATTTGATTGATTGATTGATTGCTTGCTTGCTTGCTTGATTGATTAATTGGTTGATTGGTTTACTGGTTGAATGGTTGAATGGTTGGTTGCTTGATTGCTTGCTTGCTTGATTGATTAATTGGTTGATTGGTTTACTGGTTGAATGGTTGGTTGCTTGGTTGCTTGATTGCTTGCTTGCTTGATTGATTGGTTGGTTGGTTGATTGTTTTTTTGATTGACTGGTTGATTGGTTGGTTGGTTGGTTGGTTGATTCATTGAGTGAGTGATTGGGTTGTTTGTTTGTCTGTTTGTTTGTAGGTTTGTGTTGTTGCTTAGTTGGTTCAACTGTTGTTTGGTTCTTTGTTTACTTGGTTTTAGTGTAATTGCTTGTTTGTTTGCCACAACTGTTTGGTGTGTGTTGGTTGGTTTCTTTTGTGTTGTTGTGTTTTCTTGGTTTGTGTTAAGTCGCAAGTTATTCTTGTTTGTTTGTTAGTTACAGGTGTTGGTTTTTGCGTTTGCTTGCCTGTTTGTCTGGTTGTTTGTTTGTTTGTTGTTTGTTTGTTTGTGTATTTGTTTGTTTGTTTGTTACACTTGTTTGGTTTGCTTGGGTTTTTGGTTGTTTGTTTGCTTGTTTGTTGTTACGCCTGTTTGGTGTGTTTGCTTGTTTGCTTCTTTGTTTTTGTCCTTGCTTCTTTGTTGTTTGTAACAGCTGTGTGGTTTGTTTGTGTGGTTCCTTGCTTATGTGTTTCTTTGTATTTGATTGTTTGATTGTTTCTTTCTTTGTTTGTGGCTGTTGCTTGCTTGCTTGCTCGCTCGCTCGCTTGCTTGCTTGTTTGCTCGCTCGCTCGCTTGGTTGGTTGCTTGTTTTTTTGTTTGCTGCTCCTTTTGTGAATCCAACAACCGTTCCTTCCAGGGCACCCTTTTTCTGGGCTTGTCAAAGCAATCATGTTTGTGTGGCCGTCAAAGTTACGTGTGGGACCTGGTGCGTTTCATGTTGACCGTTCAAAAGTTCAAATGTGAGAGAGAGTTACATTTTAAGGGTGGTCTCTTTTGAATCAACGCTAGGTGGCCCCAAAAGCGAGCATCTTGAGGGGCTGTCCAGCTTCTTTCGCGGGTGCTTTCACCATCTAGAGGGTATCTTTGAGCATGTCACTTAAATGGATCCGGAAACACTGGTTCCCCTTTTCGTCCTTCGGCTACCGAAGCAGCAAGGTGCGGAGGCATGGTTTCGCTGAACATTGCACTTTGGGGCCGTTTGGCGGCAGTTACTCATCGGGTGGGAGGGGGGTGAATGCAAGCTCACCGATTGAAAGGGTGCCGGCCACTTTTCACGTTTTTTTTTTCATTATCTGTTTGAACCCAAGAGCTGGTGAGACCTTTGCATCCACCAAACTAATCTAGGCGAAGCCGGGTTAGGATAAGACCCCACGCCAAGTTCAAGCGCCAAGTCCAGAATCATCCTGTTCTCCAGAAGAAGCAAGCTTGGCTTTTGGCAAGCCTGGCTACGATTCGTGATCCCATGAAAAGGACTGCGCAGCCGGGCCCAAATCTCTCGAGGCGATCGATGCTGCGACCCAACTCTGTGAAATACATGTGAGTCACCCGTGAAATATGCGAATGCTACCCAATGGAACTGAAAAGCAATTGGAGACTTTAAGCCTGAAATGAACTCCCCAGTTTCACTTGGTTCAGGGGACTTGCTGTTTGAGAAGGCGGAATTTGGTGGCAACCAACAAGTTTGGAATTGTTTCTTTTTTGTTTGCACATCCCAAGAAATACCTCTCCTGTCAACTGAGCTATTGGGTTTGCAATAGCCGCGGACGTGATTGTCGTTCTCATGAGGTTTTAGCACATGATCGCAACCTCACCTTCGGGACGCCTTCTTCCCCACACCCCCCAGTGCCTGCTTTCCTTTTACTTACTTGCCCAAAGCCGACCTTTTGACCTTTTGGTTTTCTGTTTTTTTTTGGTGATCACCTTTTATTTCCAGGTCCTTTGGGCAAGTGAGTTTACCAACTTGACGATAGAAACAGAGCGGATTCTCCCTGACTGAGGGTTGAGCAGCGACCAAACTTGCGGTCAACTTCTGCAAGCTGAGACAACGCTACCATCCGGCAGCTCTTTGACACTGCCAACCACGTGCCAAGACGCATCAATCTAGATAGATATGTACATATACATATATATATATATATACATATATATGTATAACTATTGTACTCCACGTAAGCATTCCCTTTTTGCGAGGCTTCCTGGCGTGCTTCATCGAGGACATGGTCTCCATGTGCGGGCCTACCTTCGACTTGAATGCAGGCAGGTCTATAGTGCTACCTTCCCCATTCTTTCCAGGGATCCTTCTTTCTAGAAACCTCCGGAAAGCCAGGGAAACGGCCGGTTTTCGAAAAGAACGATGGTTGGAAAGAATAGGGCATCAACCGATAGAATTTTTAGCTTTTTCGACCTCTTTGCCATTGAATTGCTCAGGAGGCTTAGAGAGAGGGAGAGTACGGAGCCAGGCGGTGAGAGGAACGGATGAGTCTCATTTTCGAAGAACTTGCCTCTGATTAAAAAAAAGCTTCCCGTAGCCAAGTACTTTCCCTTGCCAGGTTGCGTGAAAACCAAGAACAAATCCTTGCCGGAAGGGGTTCGTCCCTAGTACGGTTGGTTTTCTGTTGGTTTTCCGTAAAGCGGGGGGACCATTTTGCTATAAATTCCAATTGGGTGGCACGCACAGGCTGCGCCATCGACATCACCGGCTTTTTGACCAACTTCGCGCTGGCCTCTAGCGTGGCTCGGCGGCAATTTTGCCAGTGCCCACTTGGCACTGGGTTGGGCCATTTTAGTATCAGGCACCCCTTAGTTGGTGGTTTGGATTGGTGGTTTGGGGAGTTGAACCCCTGGTGCTTGTGGAGGCTTAATGGGAAACCCCTCCTTAACCACCAAACCACTAATTGGAGGGTCAGGTGACCTTTCAAACCTTCCCGAAGGTGCAACAACTTGGAACAACTTGTCTTCGAACAAACCGCTGGCAATTTTTCTCGGATTTCCCCGCGCCCTGGAGGGAGCTGTGGGAAATCAAAGCGAGACTTGCTGAGCTCATAGGCTTCAGCCCCGGAGAGTCCGAGCTCTTGACTTGTTCACCTGCAGCGAACATGTCCTCAAAGCACCCAGAGTTGTCAGTCGAAAATGGCTTTCGAATTTCGACAATACCAGGGGCTGTCCCTCATGTTTGGTCAGTACACATCCAATTGTCCAGTGCCACCTGCGACTGGAGCGGCATGTCAACCCCTGTGCTGGATTCCAAGTTTCTCTGTTCGGTACACACTCCTGTTGCTCAATTTATCAGGGTTTCCTCGGTTTCCCGTTTGTGGACCTCGGAAAGTGTCACTTTTAATGGATCCCAGCAGTCATTTCCCTGTTTATTCTGGAAAATGTTGACCCCGTATTAATACACTGGTTCTATTAACAGGGGGGTGTCCCCCCTCTCCCAGAGTGGTCTGAATCCCCACTGAAAGGCAACAGGGGCTACTTTGATCCGGGGTTTGATTCCATCGGAGCACCTTGAAGTCCTTACCTCGTTAGCACGCCTCGACTCAGGCTGCAGCCGGTATGAAGGGCAACTGCTTCCCCCCAGGGGGCTACAAGGCACGGGCGAACTTGGCAGGGTGAAGCTTAGGAAGCCACAAGGAGCTTGTCTCAAAGCTGTCTTTTTTTTGGAAGCATCCTCTGAACAGGCCACTACTCCGGCGCCGGACGCGGCCGCCTCCCCACTCATCCAGGCCAGAAACGTGCAGGCGCATTCGGTCGAGCGGATCGATGTCCGCGAGAAGGTCGACATGCCCCCCCCCCAAGAACAGGCCCCCCCTTCCCAGCTAGATTGGTTTATCTAGAGCCCCAGCTTCGTATGGCTTTTCTTTTCAGTCTTGGCATTTGTTCCAAAAAGGACAACGGCTGCTTGGTGACTTAGAAGGGGATTTTGTTGGTATCACGCATGCTGCCCCGAAAAAGCCACGTGTTCCGATCAAGAAAGAAGGCCAATACCTGACAGGGTCAGCTCGGGATTGCTGCCTTGATGGGCTGGGAATGAGTGAACGACCTGCTACTTAGATTTGCAGAAGGGCATTTGATTGGTTTTTGTGTTGTTCGGCGCACCACCCGAACTTGCAAAAAAAACAACGGACAAAACACGACAAGACCCATGGACTCCTGTATCTGTTGGCAGCAGCAACCCAGCAAAAAACAAACAAAAACAAAGCAACAACACCCATGGACTCCTGTATCTGTTGGTATGTTTTATTTGGTGTTTGTGGGTTTTCTCGAGGTTTTCTGTACTTTCCCCCCACCTCCCCAGCAATTCTTTGAATCCAAGTCTGAATTGCCCAACAAACGCGCACACACACACACACACACACACACGCACACCACACACACACACACATGGTTTCCAATTCTTCGGCCTTGCAGCTCGTTGTGTTGCGTAATCTGGGGACCCCACAAATCGCGGTTTTTGAAATTTGGTCTCCCTTCAAAGGTGAAAATGGGTACCTTCACTTCAAGGTGAAAATGGGGTACCCTCATCAATAACAGAAACACATCATTTTTGAAGATTCGATTCCAGCGTGCGCAAGGTTGTTTTGGAATAGCAATCCGGCTGAGCTGTTGTTGAGATCCTGCTTGAACAGGGCCACGCTCGCCCGAAGCTTTTTGAGATGATAGGTTCTGTTCAGCCATGTTGCCCAGCAAACCAGCTTCGGTGCTAGTCCTGTTGAATTTGTGCTGGACATGCCGTGTGCGACATGCTCAAGGTGGGAATCTGAGGGGCCAAGCAATTACACATGTGCTTCTTGGATAAGCAATGCTTGCTTTAAACTGGGGATCGTCAGCCGGTCGACTATTTCATGTTTGTATTTTGTGTTTAGGGATATATGGACAAGCACCGCCCAACATAGTGGATCATGGTGGAACGGTTCTCTTTGAACGCCTTTGAGGAAATGTGCATTTTGGGTGCCGGCCTTTTAGACTGATAGTATTTTTTGGACGGGCCAACCAGTTGTGATGACTGTTGTAATCCAACCCTCGCAGGTGAGTTGAAAGGGTAGCTTTGCAATATGGAGTTGGCATCGGTTCTCCATTTCAGAGGCCGACACCATCCAAGCGATCAACGACTTTGTGACGAAGCGCAGTGTCCTGTCAAGTTTGTGATGCTGGTTTTCAAGAGATAGCCAGACACAGGCGCAGGGGGACTTTCTAAGTTTTTGGAGCTTGGTGTCCCCCATTTTTCCGAAAGAAGGTTGGCTCATGGGATGTTAGTGGGAAGCAGGCCTTAAACCAATCCACCCGGTGACGTAAGTGCTTCAACCAAAGATTGTGCACCCGATCCGCTCTTTTACAAGCATTTGCAGTCGCTATGCATATCGAGTTTCTGGTTCCATGGTGACACTCACAGCCAAGCAGTGAGAAGAAGGTCCAACGGGCCCAAAACGGTGCACAGACACCTTCGACATATTCACTGATTGGCAAATTATGACGAGCTCATTCGCAGAAAACAAGCTCACCCATGTTGAGGCCGAGCCTTGAAGAATACAAAGCGGAAGCCTATGATACTTGCAACAGGCAAGAGTGAAAAATGACTGGGAGATTCCAACACCGGAAATGTCTCGTTGTTTTGGGTAATGGGCACGATTGGAGAGAAAATCTGGTCGTTCGCGCAGGCACCGCTGGACAACTAAAACAAAAAAAAGGCGCTGACTCAGGTGCTGCAGGCCCAAGCAGTTTGAGCAATAAATCTGACATCAAGTCAAGGTGGTCCCTTTGCACTGCTGGCTTATCCCTTTTGCAAGCATGCCCTACATCGGTTGAAAAATCGGGGCGTTTTTTGTGCGAGGCAGAGGACCCAATCGACCCACTTTTTTGGTACTCACCTAAGCACACACGCAACTCCCGCACACAGCTGAGATCGAAGGGGTTTGATGGAGGGATGGGTTTGAAGGGTTGGCGAGTTCACAAGCTGGGGTGAGGTGAGATAACTTGAAGGGCCACTGTCCCATTTGCTTGCTAACTTTGCCCCTGGGTTCTAAGCATGGTACGCCCAAGCCCTGCCAAAGCAGCTTTGCCCTGCCCGAGGCAAGGAGCAGGAAGAGCAGCGGAGGAAGGCGAACGAACGCCTGCAGGTGCAGTGGGCTGTGGGCGCTGGCGCACGCCGCCTGGAAGGCCGAACAGAAAATGCACGGGTCTTTCTCAAATCGGGGAATCCCGAAGTCTGCGTGGCGGTTTTCCTATCGGCCTCCCTTCAAACACCAACCAAAAGGTGGTGCAGACCCAAAGAAGCAGAGGGCCAACCCTGCATTTTACGCGTTGGCTTTTTTTTTCTGAGACGGATCGCGAATGAGGGCGCAACCATTTACCCAAGGATCGTAAGCGAGCAACATGGAGGTTTCCCAGCACCAGCCGGTTAAAGGACTTACATGAGTTGTTTTTCTTTCTCGGACTTTAGTCTATAGATGTCTATAGTCTCTTTTTGGCTTTGGACCGGGGTGAGTGGAAATCGTTTCAGGCAAAATGATCGGAGTGGGCGGTAGGGGTGGGATGCAACGGGTCAAGAATCAAGCCATAGTAGAAGACCAAGATCTTGTCTAGCGCCTCATGTTGACTGCACTTCCCACTTTTCCTTTCTATCGAAGGATCCTTGCACGCTGGTCTCTCACGGCGAAAAGAATGGGAGATGAACTTGTCAAACAGTTGGCAGCGAATCAGAAGCTGGAATGAATTTATATCGAAGAGTGAATGGCGCGGATCTGATCGATCGCAGGCAAAGAGTTCCACACCCTCCCAGTGCCAAACGCGCTGAAGACCCAGGCCGGACGAATCAAAAAGATTCAGAAGCATAGGCGAGCCATGTGTAGGGAATTCCATGGGCAAGCTCTGCGCATGATGGCTTCTGGTTACCTATGATGGCTTCCAGGTCGCCTACGCCCCAGTGCAAGCTATTGCCTGTTCCCTAGCCACACGTCGCCAAAACCCTCCCATGGCTCCTGCGAGTTGACACCCCGAAACCCTCAAGAAAGGCACCCGGCGTTTGCCCTCCCACCCCAAACGGATTTGTTTGTTTTTTGGGGTGGTTTTTTTGTGCATTTTGTTTTAACAGAAAGCCAAAAGGAACCTCAACCATTTGTTGCTTCTCCATATGTTTTTGTGGCGACACATGCCCAAATGCCATAGTTTAGCGCATTTCAAGGTTCAAGGAATACGTTTGCCAGCATCGGTAAAACATGCACAATACTGCCAGAGACTGCCAGACACTGCCCGTCTTGTTGGCGGGGCAAGAAGCTCTCAAAGTAAAAAGGGGGGAATCTCATGGCAGAAGAGGACGTTCTTGGGATTCCAAGATGGACAGAAGGGACCAATTCGCGAATATGGTCAGATCCAAAAAAAAGCAAGTGCTGTTTTCATTTCCTCCGGACACGTGTAGTCTCCTGGGAGCGTGCCGTTGAAGATGGCACGAAGAGAGAGCTTTGTGGCTGACCTGGGAGGTCGGAGTTTGAGACCTGTTCGGGTCTCGGGAGACCCGTTCCATTCTGGCACGCCACAAAGGGTCCCGAGCTGTTTACCAGTTGGGGGCTTGCGAAGCCAGGAGAGCCTACAGAGCGACGTGGACTACATGAACGAGCGCGCCCAGGAGACCATCAAGACCGTTAAGGAGCGCATGGAGAACCGGGAGGACCTCGACCAAGACACCATTGACACCATTCAGAAGGTGAAAACCTACCAATCCAACCAGGAAGAGAAGCGACTCGGGCCAAAAGCAGAGGGCGGCTGTTGTTTTCTTTGAGCCCAGTCCGGGTTTGTGGTTGTGCGGGAAAAGCAAGAAACTCTTGCTACTGTATGCTGGGTGCTCGTTGCTGCTGCGGATGCCCTGTGCGTATGCGCATGCCTGTGCGCTTGCTGCGTGCGCTTCTGCGTGTATTTTTGTTTGCTGCTGCGTCTGCTGCTGCTGTGGTTGTACATGTGGACATGTTTTGCCAACCCCTTTAACGGGTTTGCACACTTTAACGGGTTTGCACACACACACAGACGCACATGTTTGGTTTGTGTCTAAAGTATTTTGGCTAGAGCCAGCAATCGTTCACTGTGTTGGAGCTCAACCATTGCATGCTGTCATCAGAATATAGAGGCGCCCACAATCTCCTCCACAGCAAACTGCCATCGCGATGGAATCGCCGTGCTGCTGCTGTTCAAGGGTGCAAGCACGAGTGCAGAGACCTTTGATTGTATTTACAAGGTTCATAAATTTTAAAGGTTGCTTGCAGAAGGAGTTGGTACATGCAAAGTTTGGAGCAGGGGTTCAAACAAGTGTTTCTGACCTGCCCTTGTATTCTTCACAGTCCCTTCCCATAAGGGGGGGGCTTACCATGTGGCCCTCTTGAGCTATCAAGGCACCCGATTCTCGCCTTCGACTCCAAGCTTGGTTGGTTGCCCGCTGACAAGCCGAAGTGTTCATTGGGCCCTTGGGAGCCTTAGGTTTCTACAACTTGACGTGTCCATTTTCCCCGTGACTGGAGAGCTGGCCTGGGGCAGTTACCCCGAGCCGGAGGTGCAAGCCCAAAAAAGGAGAAGTAGACGCTCGGCTTCCCGTGGCCCAAATTTCGACCTTGCCGTCGCGCCCCGGAAAACTTCTCAGACCCACCTGGGGCTCCAAATGTAAATATATATATATATATATATGTATATATGTTTTTAACACAACAATCAAATAACACCTATATACACACATATATATATATATATGTATATCTATCAACACAAGAACACAACATTATATATATATATATATATATATTTATATATATATATATATATATTTATTTAACGCAACAATCACAGAACGACGATATTATTTATTATACACGTCCAGCGCGGGCGCCTCGCGGGCGCCTTGCGGGCGAAGCCCGAGGCGCTGGAAGGCGGCGGCCTGCGCCTTGGACTCGCAGAAGGCCGCGGCGCGGCTGGCGCAGTTCGGGGTGCTCATCGCCATGGCGGAGCAGGACTGCTCCGCCGCCCGGCGGGAGAAAAGTCAGATCAGCAGATCGGACACCAAGGTGTCTACCTTGCACTCGGGTGTGTACTCCTGGCTAGCCCCAGTGCCCTTCTCTCCCCTTTTTGGGGGAGGGCGAGAGATCAGCACTCGGATGTGTACCTAGGTCCCCCAGCTAGGTTTTTTTGGTTTTGAGGGTTCCCCTACTGAAATGGACTACAGAAAAAAGTTGGTACCCTTCCAACCTCTGTACTGGAGGACCTAGTGTACCAATCTCAGACTCTCACGGCTCTCACAGAGAGCGTGGCGCAAGCCCCTTCTCAGGTTTGAGGGGAGCAGCTCGGTCAGGGGCGTGGTTTTGAGGCCCTTTGTTGGGGAAAGTCTTCGGGCCCTTATCCTTTGTAGGGGGTTGGTTTGGAGGAAAACCGAGAGGAAGGTGACTCTCCTGGGGCCACCGGGAGAATCAGATGTGCGGCTTCCTTCCTTTGCCTCTTTCGAAGCAGAAAAGGCGAGCAAAGGTGAAGCTGAGTGGCTTCCACCCTTTCCGTTGCTGGGTTTCCCAAGCCCAAAGGGACCTGTCAGCTGGGTTTCCCACACAAAGCCGAACAGGTTGTCAACCAGCGGTTTTTTTGTTTCTAGGGCGGAGTTGGCGTGTTGGTCCCTCGAGATAGTAAAAGCGGCCCGGCTGAAGGGAATCTCCAGCAAGAAGGAAGTGCGGTTTCGAACACAGCTAAGGCTGCTTTTGCATTGGGCTCAACGCTGCCTTGGTTCTATTTTGGCTTGAGGATTGACCTGTTGGTGCATGCGTTGCGGTCGAGTTTTAGTGAGACGGTGGAAGGGAAACCATCACCAATTGGAGGAAAGCTGAGATGTTTTGCGGGATCAGGTTTCCTCACCTGAGGCTTCCGATTCGAGTGCGGGTGCTTGTGTGCTGATGTATTTTCTGGATTCCTGAATGCGGATGGGACCAACTAGTCCCCCCAAGCACCTGCCACCTCTCCCCAAACAAACAACTGCAGGTTCGCTATTCTCGGGGTTGTGTTCGGGGTGATGGGTTTGGGAGGTGCCCCGCTTCAAAGCGGCTAAATTGTTTGGAGCGCCCCATTCTCGGTAGATGAATTTGGGCTAGCTCAGAGGTGCCCAATACATTTGTTGTTTTTTAGGGCCCTGCAACCAACCGCAAACCAACAGGTACCCGCAAAAATGCACATATCACACCCAAAGTTGTACCCGTTAGCTCCGCTGAGCGCTTTGCGCCGAGTCGCAAAACTTCGACGCGAAGGGGAACCAGGGGAAGACGAAGTGCGCAATCGACGTCACCGCGGCCATTGCTTCGGCGGGGATTGCAGCGAGTTTGATCACCATCAGCGTCATCAACTGCCCTCAGAGCCTGGAGTTTACCAAGGAGCATTCGGGTCCGAGGCTTCAAACTAGAAACACAAGCCAAAGGCTAGGACTCCCGAAGCTGTCCAATTGGTTCGGCGGCCTCCGAAGGGCTGTTTTGGGTCTCAATGACCTCCAACTGTCCGAGCCTGGGTTTATAGGTGAGCATGCTGAGTTTCGGTTTTGTTGGCGTGTTGTTGGGAATTCAACCGGCAGGAATTGGTCAAGTCCTGTCGGCCTGTGTTTAGCCAGCTGTTTTGGCCAATAGGTCCGCAAAAGGAATGCAAAAGTAATGTTGTTTCACGCCAGTACTGGAGAGAGCGCTGACCAATTGCTTCCCCTAAAAACCACCCCCCAATAGATGTATGGCCTGGAGGCCAAAACATGAGTCTTTCCGGGCTGAGAGGCCATTCAACATTGCGATTTTCGAGCAAAAGGATGTCAATCAGCAGGCATCCAAGTCATTCTTGAACTTGCACTGGTTTGAATTGGTTTACATATCATTCAGCTAAATAGTCACTTTCTTCCTCAGATTGATGTTTCGGAGGTCGCAGCCAGCTTACGCAGGAAACTGGCGACAGACTGTGCGCCGCAAGCATCATCGACTTGGTCACGGCTTCGGCCTACATTGGGACCTCCATCGCCAGTGTCCAGGGAACCTGTGGAAGTCTTGACAAGTATGAAGGCTGCCCGGCGAAAATGGATCTGGCGTGAAGGTGAAGATTTCAAGACCAAAGATGGTTGACTCACCCTATTCCGAGAAGTTGTCAATCCCAAGTCCGCAAGGTCACTGGGCAACCAGACTCGAAACAGACCATGGATCCCTTATTTAACCGAACTGAGACAGCGTTCTAGACCCCGACTCCTGCATTTGAAAAGCGTATTTGAGAGGAATTATCATGAAACACACTCACTGTCTATGTCGGACTAGCCTTTGAGAAGAACGTTGTAGCGGAAATCACAAAGATTTGTTTGCCAATCCGCGCGGGAAGATCGATATCCCTCCAGATGGCGATGGCCTCCCGTGTGTGACCATGCGTAGGATTTGGCATTCCCACAAAACCCCCCAAAAAAAAAACACGAGACATCCTTGTAGGTGGTGCCCCAGGCCAAGAAAGGCTTCGGGAAAGGACCAGGTCACCCATCTCAATAGTCTGGGTTGTTCAATTCTCCAGCCCACCAGATGAACTGATCTTGCGGAATGTGGCATGTTGTGAAAAGAAGCCAGACCGATTGCCACTTTCAGCAGCCGTGGCGCTGAATCAGAAGGCTTGAGTAAGTGCATCAGTGCGTCCGTCCGTGCGGTTATTTGTTTTCTTGCTTGCTTGGTCGCTTCTAACATGTTTGATTGGTCTTTTTTTGCTTGTTTGTTTGTCTATGTGTTAGCGCGCGCGCGCTCGTGTATGTCAAATGTGTTGGGGACTTGCGCAGGTGTCCCTTCGGAGCATTATGGGTCAGCTCTGACAGTGAGGCGCTGAGGAGCGTTTGACAAAGAAGCGTTCGCTCCCCAATTCTCAGAGCCCGTGTTTCAGGGAGGTAGCTGGGAATTCTTCCCACTGCACGGAAACCTCGCCTGGGCAATGGCTGAATTATTACCTACTCCATTGGCTCTATGCTGGAGGCATGAGCAACTGAATCGAATGCTGTGATGCAGTGAGCAACAGATCAGCTAGCTAGTTCTTCGCGGAGCACCTTTTGCTCCCCTATGTTTGAGCTAAAGAAGGGACAAATGTCTTGGGGAACATACGAGGTTTACGGAAGCTGGCCTAAGCTGAGTGACATGGTTTGTTGCTCACGTCGGAATCGGGACCCCATGTCCCTGGGCAAAGACCAGCAAGTTGCAGAGCTTCTGGCATGTTCCGATATCTCCCGACACTCCCGAAAGCTGTGTATTGGCTTCGGGAAACCCTAGTTACACCTAAGTGGCAAATTGGAAGGTGAATCCCCTTGGCTTTGCAGGCCTAGTCGGGGGATCTTGACGCCAAAGCCTGCCTTGCTTGAAAGGGCGTGGGCCAAGGTGCAGTGGCAATGCTTGAACTCAGAAAGTTGTAGCCCAGTTGCGCAGAAGCCTGAGTCACAACCAACCCTGAGAGTCCCAGCAGAGAAACAGGGGCGGATATTTGCCGTCCTGATTTTTATGTGGTCTTGGGTGGGCCCTACTATGACTTAGTGGTAAGGCAAGAATGTTCTTCTCCGTGAATGTGTGGAGCTCGGCCAAGCGGCAAAGCGTATTTGAGAGCAGTTGCGACTCTTTGTATGCGCATCTGTTGGCCCTTTTGGCGCAGTCAGCCAGCAACCAATAGAACATCAGCCATTCCAGCCATCGTTGCGCGAGACGGATCTGCAGAGTTCTTCTTGAAATCAGGTTCCCCTTCACTGCGGCCCGTCGATGCACGGAGCCAGCTCCCAGTCTTGTCTGAGTCGAAAGCCGCCACGCTCCCTATCGATTTCTCATTACGGCGCTCTTTTCCGCTGTACCAGACCTACTTGGTCGGGGGTTTTCCCTCTCACGTTCAACCAATAGGCCTGAAGGGAAGAGAGGCCGAAAGGGAAGTGGTCCAGACTTCCACTGGTTCCATGTTTTTGTTATTTGGAATTTTTCCTTTGCACTCAAATCTTATGAGGGTGCCTTTCCTGTGGAAATCCACTGCGCTGGAGGTCTAGGGGTGGATGAATTGGAGGAGGTGAGAAGCAGCCATTTGCAGAGGCGACTTGAACTGAAGCCAAGACGGCAAAGGCAGTTCTGTCAAAAGTCCATTCGCGCGTCCATCGAAGTCGATGGGAGGAAACTGGAATCCCAGCAGTTTACACTCCCAACACATTTCTACACCAAAAGGGGTTCTCCCATAGTCGCAGTGAAACTGGGGATTTGTGCGAGGACCGCTGGGACCTTGAGGCAAGAACTGGCCTGGGTATTGGCTGCGTTTTTACCTTTTCATATATGATCTTTGCTGGAGGCATGAGCAACGGACTGTGTGAAACTCTGAGGTATGTTGCGCACAGCGTCTTGTGCTTCACTGTTCTTGGCATGTTTTTTTGGTTTTTTAGTTGTTTGGTTCTGTTCATTTTTACTGGGGGTCTGCAAGAAACAAAGTTTTTCGCTACCATACCAAGAGTAGAGATGTTGTGGGCCTCGGCAAAGACCAGCAATCAGCAAGCGGAGCTTTTGGCATCCCCTGTCGGCAGGCCTAAAAGCTGAGACTTTGGCAGCGTTTGTGGTGACTTCGCCCCAAGATTTCGGCAACCTGCGAACTTGAGCCGGCGAAGTTTTTGTGATTCCGACAACTCAGCCATGAAACAGCTTCCAGTTGTTTGTGCACAGGGATCGCTAGGCAACATCTTCTTGGGCTTCTCTCTGTGGGATGGCGTGTAAAGGGGGCAGAAAGGATCCCGTGCGCGTTCAAGAACCAATCTCGCTTTCCTTTTTTCATCCGAATACTCTGTTTAAAATGATCAGTCAAAAATTGGCCAAGGCTCGGGTCGAGCTCAGTCCCCGTCGTTGTTTTTGTGCAGCCATGGTTTGTCCCGTGAAACTGAAAACCTCCAGAATTTGTTTTTCCTTGGAATCCAAGCCAGCGAAACAACTGCCAAAGCTAAACTCAGCTTTGGAGGCCTAGACCGGCCAGGTGAGGCAAAGCGCCAAAGCCCTGCCTTGCTTGAAAGGGCGCGAGCTGTATGACGGGTGGCGAAGCTCAGGCTTCCCAGGGACCCAGAGCAAAGTCGCAAGCCGTACTTGATCTGCAAATGGGCGAGTACACCGGGTAAAACAAGCTCATGATGTGGGTCCTTAGGGATACCCTTCTGGTGGAATTGCACAACAGTCTTGATGCGAGAGATGCAGTCACGACCCGGGTTGAAGGTACTCGGGCAGTCGAAGAGCCAGAACTAGATCCTGACCTGCTTTGCAAGTTTGTTGCTGGCATGTTGTTCCCTCTTGGGTCGGGCAAGCAGTTGTAAAGGCGCAGGCCTGATATTTTGCATTTGTGTTTAGGCGAGCTGGGGGTTAGTTCAATCTCCAGACGGTGCGTTTCACTCATCCACCAACTTGTGCAATTCGACTGTGCGCTGTGTAAGGTCCGACTCAGACACTTGGTTTTGCTTCAGTTTGCCTGGACAGGTGTATTGAGGTCAACGTGCATTGTTCGATCATGTGCATAGACTCTCATGCTTCGAGCACTGTTGAATCAGATTTTGGGCATGAAAGCATTGGGGGCTGACCGGCGAGGTTAGTCACTAGTGTGGAATGACAACTCGGATTCCTAAGTTCCTGTAGACTTTATACTGTTTGGAACACCATTTTGGTGGCAAACGAAAAGTGAATACTTTTTGGGCCATCCACTCAGAAAGTAAGTGGCAACTTGCGGTTCTTTGCCGTGTCCACTTGTTCAAGCCAAATCTTGCTCCTTGTAGGCTATCGCTGGTCTTTTGAAGGCCTTAGAAAGAATTCTCCGAGGAGAAATAGACGATATGTTGGCTAAAGGCTATATGTTGCGCCTGACACTGGGCTGTAGGCTGGTTGAGGGAAGTTGGCCATTGATTGAAGGAGCGCCGATGCGGGCGGACTTTGGTCTGATTCACTTCGAACCGTCACTCCTTTTCGATTTGTGTCACGGGTTTTCCAGATCTCACTTCCCGGTGCCCACGGCGATGAGGATGTTATGCTGCTATGCATCTGGGAAGGGAGCCAAATTGTATCGGATTTTGTTGGCAAGTCACAGGAAGTGAGACAGCAGCCGTTCACCCGGGGTTTGCATCTCAGGCCGAAAAGCTGTGTTAGGGGCAGGCCTGTCCATGTCAGACGTCACACTTACTATTACTCTTTGCAGCGGAAGAGCAGTTTAAAGCCAACAAGATGCGGGCATGTGGCAGGGCAAGTGCATTTGATTCATTTTTTTCTCAGCTTACCGTGCACCCTCCCACAGGAAGGAGTTGGCCTGATCAACGGCCTTGATCACTATTTTCGAGTCGCCCGGCGAAAGCTTTGTGGCAGTCGTGTTCTTCTGTTTTTGATGACTTTTCCTGCTACTCCAAGAGCTTTCTATCATTCTAGGTGATTCCATTTGGGCTCTTTTTTACAGAGCCAAACAAGACCAAACCCAGCTTTGAAGGCCTGCAGGAGGGGCGACCCCAAAGCCCTGCCTTGCTCGACAAAGGGTGCGGGAGCCGCGGCGGGCGAGGAGCTCGGCAGCTCGGCAGCTCGGCTCGGGCGTCGCAGAATCCAAAGTCGCAAGCCTTCGAATGATCAGCAGCCCTTATTCTTGGTTGTCGTTGGGAAACATTTTACATTTTTGCTTATTGTGGCTTAGTAGGAAATCCCCACTTAACTGCTAAAATGTATTTTTGTTGCTCCCCTTGCAACGTCAACCAAGTATTGACTCTTGTTGCAGAAAGTTGGCCGTTTCAACAAGCAGCATCGCACAATACATTCAGGCCGACTCTGGACTGTCGAGTTGATTCGAACCGTCGCGGTCCTATATCGATGTTTGTCACGGTTGTGGGTTGGTCCATGGTTGGTCCCAGAACTGGCCGGGCGCCAACGTCTCACTTCCAAGCAGCGTCCATTGTCCAGACACTTTACGAGGACTTGAAGTGCGTGCCTGACCTTTGGGATGAGGATGTTATGCGTTCACGGGAACCACATGTTAGGCTTTTGTTGGCAGGAAGCGAGACAGCAGCCATCCACCCGGGCGAACTGACGCTGAGAGAGCGAGCGAAAAGATGGTGCCAACAGCCGCGCAGGCCGAGGGAATGTGTAGTCTAAGCTTCCATTTGCATAAGACATGTTTCATTGTCCGTTGTAGGGGATCTACCACTACTGGACATATTTTCCCAGTGGGCTTAGCGAAGACCATTTCCCCAAACCAAGCCCGTTTGCGATGTGTCTTCGGGGTCACTGGGCCGGATGTCCAGCACCTTCGACTTCCCCAAAGAGGGAAGCAGTTTTGGCGCAAAAAGACAAGGCGAGCACTGAATTTCCTGGTTGGAGGAAACTGGCTATGCCGAGCAGGCCTTGCTCAAGCTCACCCGCTTCCCGTCGATTTGGTCAAAGAACCAATCAGCGCAATGGCAGTGCTGGAGGACGCATCGCCATTGATCGGGGACTCGCCGAATCCCAAGATGAGCGCATGGACCCGGCGCGGCGGCTCGGCTTTCAGCAACAAAAAGATCTCCGGGGCTGTCTGAACCAATTTACCGGCACCCCAAAAGGTGATCCCGCCCTGATCCAAAGGAGCTAGCCTTTATTCATCCCAACCCCCCAAGGGAACAAACCAAAGTTTTTTGGCCGCCTCGGCAAAGTGGCTTATGTTCATTGTGAATTAGGTTTGGCAAACCTTTCATTTGAATGAAACGAAATTTCAGGCGTGCGCCACAGGTGGCCGTCACGTGCCGGAAGGTTTAGCGATCTGACGTCGCTCGCGGCACCTGACCAATGCTTCCTGACCCCCCACAGAACGGTAGGCCGTTGAATATGGTCTTA